TAGTCTAAGTCCGACTTTTTTGTAGTCTATCAGTAAACTTGGTAGTCTATATCTGATTCTTATAAGTAGTACAGGATGCACCTTCCTTTTTTGGTCATTTTTCCCACGATACAATAATTGTAGCCCTTTCTTTTAGCTTTCTGAATATACTGAAATCATGTTATTTGGTTTTGTTTTCATAGAGAAAAACACAAAAAAAAAAAAAAAAACGCAACACATTTGAAATTCCTTTACCTCATATCTCCACAATGGGAGCACTTCAGAACATAATTCAAACAGATTCGGGAAGCTACAGTGTAGGGCTACAACTTTCGTTTTTTGACCATTTTTGGTAATTGGTCATGTGACCACCCTCCAGGGAAGCCCATTGCATGGACCCTGACATGTGGGATACATTTGAAAAATCGCAATGAAATGCCCAGGGCTACATTTGAAATTTTGCAATGAAATACCCAGGGTATCTATTGAAAAATTGCAATGAAATACCCAGGGATACATTTGAAAAATTGCAATGAAATACCCAGGGATACATTTGAAAAATTGCAATGAAATACCAAGGGATACATTTGAAAAATTGCAATGAAATACCCAGGGTATCTATTGAAAAATCGCAATGAAATGCACCAGGTATCCATTGAAATTTTGCAATGAAATATCCAGGGATACATTTGAAAAATTGCAATGAAATGCCCAGGGTATCTATTGAAAATTGCAATGAAATACCCAGGGATACATTTGAAAAATCGCAATGAAATGCCCAGGGTATCTATTGAAAAATCGCAATGAAATATCCAGGGCTGCATTTGAAATTTTGCAGAAAATGCGCTGGGTATCTATGGAAAATTCACTATGAAATACCCAGGCTTACATTTGAAATGCCTTTCAAAAAATCCTAAGCATTATAGATATGGCCTCTAGGCTTAAGTCTAAGTTATAGAAATGACCCTCTAGGCTTGGGTCTAGGTTATAGAAATAAAGTGGTAGCCACTAGTGGCTGCCTGATCTTGCGCATACGCTCTCCTTCCCTCTATCAATGCATGGTCCGCTCCAACATCACCTCTTGCAGCTGACCATGTTTTTTCTTCGGTGTGACCATCCCAGTCAGTAGCGCGACTCTCAAAAAATGCGAGGACGCGCCTCATCTCCTCAACAAGCAACTGTACCTCCTCTGTCCACCGATCAGCTCGCGCTTTGCTTTTGCAGAACTCAATTCTCAGTGCTACATACTAAGGTGAGCATCTGTCAAAAAAAATGCTGTACCAAAAGACTCACCTTCATGCAAGTTCTCGTCTTCAGATGATAAAGCACTCTCGCCGAGTCGCTTCCAAATCCAGGAGACGGTGCGATGTCCCTCGGAAGGTATGCTGGGGCGAGCACTTGCTGCATCTCCAGATTTTTTTCTTTTCTGAACATCGTCATCGGGGTCTAAGAGAGCACGAACATCGGACGGCTTGAGGTCAGGATAAGCTGGATTCCACCCTACCTCTTCGATATCAGGATATTTTGATAGTTTGTAGAGGGAATCCCGTGCATGTCGGTATGTAGTTGCAGCGAAATCTACCCTCCCTTGAACTGTGTTAATCACTGACCTCGACCGTGTGTTTGCTCGTTGTCCACGTTGAAAGTGATCCTTGTCAATGTATAGGTATGATCGGAGACGCAATGAATTTCGGAGCTCATCAGGAGCATCATTGGCTTGTGCACGACGAAGTTTCCATTCCATTTGGCGAAGTCGACCGTCACATGGATTCTTTCTTGGCAGCATGGAGGGAAGCCAAAGCTTGATATCGCTTACTTTCTCCTCCTCCTTGGGATCGGCATTTTGTTGGGCTTCCAAACGTGCGATGCGGCTGCTGGGCATGTACAGCTGCTGGACATCCATCCACAAGGAGATTTTTCGTCGTAGAGTCGTGGTGCGAACCGAAATTTTGCGTTTTTGGTCATCTGTAGCATGGAGACCCAAAGCTTCTGTGTCCAATTTGAGTCGATGTCTTTTATGGGTAAAAGCTAAATTGATGATATTGAGATGATTGGTGGATTTACGTACTGTTGAATCTCAAAGTCCATCCCCATCGTAAGCATTGTACTGGCAGAGATATCCTCATGAAGAACAAAGGCCCTTCCTTTCGCAAGATCTTCAGCTTCTGCCTGGGCAAGTTCATGTTTTACTGAATCTTCAGTTACCGCTGGAAATAGTCAGTGAATCAATCAGAAGTGTTGAGCGAGAGACATACTCTTGAATGAGGCCTCAAACGGATTGGGCTTTGTGTGATCGTCCTCCCAATCCCTAAGCTCTCGCTCCCACCTCTCGGTGCATTTCCCATCTTCCAACCCAAGAACAAACTGATGATGGAGAAAGGCATGGTCATTCTTCTGCACGACAGCCTCCTTGATTTTCCGGAGAAGTGTTGGGCCTGAAATTTCTATGAAGTCTAGAAATTGATAATCAGCAAATTTGTTTTACGCACCCATCAGTTTCGTCTTCTTCCAATTCCAAGCGCCAAAGTGATCATCCAACGTATCTCGCCGTGAGCCAGGTCCCATTTCACGTGTGCTTGTAGCAATTGGGTTTATATGTGACCAACCACGCTCGGGTGCCTCGCCATCAGTCCGACCAACGTCACGATTATAATTGAATGAGAAAACCGTTTGGCAGGCCATTATATGGGCAGGGAGGTGGAATTTGGGAACAAGAAAGTGAAATGTTTTTTCTCCTTGGTGATCAACGTGCATCCAATTTGGGTATTGTGACATTCGCGCCCATAACTTCTTACTCCACTGGCATGCGATATCGTACGAAACAACAATTTCAGTGACATTGTTGTGCCTCAAACTACTGAAAAAAAGATAGTCCATATTAACGTATCTGTTGGAACCTAATTTAAGTGAATGAAGTCAGATAATAAAGTAGACATACCGTTCTCCTTTCTGTAAATCACCAACTGAGGTTGGACGTTTAACATCATGCCTTGAGCAGTCGATGGTACCGACTCCTGTTGCAGCAAGACCAGTTGAAGACCGTTCTGCGTTAACCGCATTGTGGTTTGAACAGGTACTTGGCTATTAAACAAGTAAGAGATTAGTAAAGGATTGCCGATGTACAACAAACCGACCTCTTGGATAATAAGATCGCCGAAATCCTTGAGAAACGTCTTGAATTCCCCTTCTTGGACAAAGTACGCTTTACCGTCAAGTAAGCTTGGGTCAACCCCATCACTAGAAACTGCTTTCCGCTTCAGGCGGAAGTTGGCATCGATAGCGAGGAATAGACGGTAAAGAAATCTGTCAAGAAATGAATGGTTGGAACCCATCATCAGACCAAAACCTACCGTTGCTCAGGTGGAGTACTTTTCCAATCCTCTGGAATATTTATACCTGGGTGGGGACAGGTAGCACAGAGAACCGCACATTGTCCAGGCTTTGTAGCGCCAATACCACCTGGATCATGGCCCCTTGCTGAACGTTTTAAGAGCTTAATATACCTGTACTGCCGAACTACGCGCATAAAAGCACGATAGCGGTCCTACAACAAAGTTAAAATCAGTCCATGCATCCGTTGAACAAACCTACTTGCCTTCACCGGAGTGATCCCTGTGTTCTCTGTCTCCCGGGCTAGCGCCGCATAGAACTCAAAGGCGGAGACCTTTGATTCAAAGCTGAGGAGTTGAAAATGTTTGAGAAGACGAAAAGTCACAGCAGTCTTTGGGTTCTTGACACTGGCCGGAAACCATCGAAATCGCAACAGTTGGATGAAATGTTCTTGCGCGGTTTCACAGCTGCAGAAGTAAACTCCCACTTCATGAATCCCGGTAACATCAAGAACGACGAAATCATCATTCCAGACTGTTTGTGGAGCATGACATCGCTGTCCGACTCGGTGCCCAAGTTGTATGCGCAAGCCCAATTTCTTGAGTGTCGTTGATTTAAAATAGGACCCTGTCCATTCCTGAGATACTCGAATTATATTGAAAATCTTAGAAAACAAAATGTGTACCTGGATACGGTGGAGGGGAGTGGTGTCGTGACAGTGGATGATACAAGCTTGACATAAGAGCTCTCCCCTGTCACAATCCTGGCACCTATACAATGTCGAGTCCTGATTCAAACATCGGCAGCATATATCAACCAAGTATTCCCCCCTCCCTTCCCCTCGAATATCTTCCTCCAAAAATTGTTCAGCATCCTTGATCCATTCTCGCATGGGGAAGTCCTATTTTCTTTATATGAAAAAAGAAACAAGGAAATCACTAAGTACTTGAAAAGACGTACAGAGCGCCTCTTCTTTCGGGGACCAACAGCAATATGTTCATCACCCAACATATCAAAATAAGCGGGATCAATGGCGGCGAGCTCAGCAAAAGCCTCATTCACTGAACAGTGAAGAGAGGGTTGGGAGAGGCAAGAAATTGTCGGCGGCGTGTGAGTTGCTTGTATCTAGGTGATGCACAGAGGAAAAATTCTCTTCTGGTTCCTCAGCGGTAAATCGGACATTGCGAGTTTTGACTGTCAAGGAACTGTTGGGAAGTTCGGTGAAATGCATGATAGGAGCAATGATAGTAGGCGGATGAGGCAATTCATTGGGTTCTTCAGGATCATATGCCTGCCGAAAAGGAGGTTCTTTGGCTCTGCGAGGCATTGCGAGAGTCGTCAACAGACCAGCATCCAAAGTCAGTGCTAATGTTCCGCAATTCAGTGAAGGCCCTGCTGAATGAACCATGACAGAATGCCTGTCAATTCCAACGTCCATACTGACCCGCATCATGTCTTGAATGGTTACAAACATTCATGAATCATAACTGATCGCAGCTTTAATAGTGTGAGAGTACCACAAAACATTCATAACTATCTTTGAATGTGATCGCGTGAAGACGCGGAAGAGACAAGGGAGCGGACAGGGCTGATGCATGGTAGCAGGGTAGTCACTGGCTGGCCCAGTGTCCGTTGCGTTCCGAATTTATGGCGTAAGCATTAGCATAATACGAACATTCAACGTTGAACCTTTACGGACTCAGAAATAGACCATCGCAATGGAACACCTGAAAAAAATTAAGGGAGAAGCGAACAGAAGAGAAAGAGACGAAAAACAGACCTTGCTCAAAAACGCCTTACTCCCCAGTCTCCTGCCCAAGCAACGCTGTCTGCTCCTGGACGTCGATTTCTTCCCTCATGAACTGCGGTGGCAGGTTTGGGGAGGTTACAGTCCCATCTGCGGAGATTTGGGTACTGATGTCGTTTGATACAATCTGCTAGAGTGTTACGCAGGTGGATGGAGAAGGAAAAAGGAAGTCAACGCACCACGCTGCCGGGACCCATCCTCTAAACTGATCTTGATCGCTTTGCCAACATCCGCGAGGTTAAGGGTGACATAGGTGGTTGTCAGCTTCTTCAACACCCAGCGAGGTGCACGGGCGACAGCTGAATGAACTGCAACGCTGCAGGGCAGTACGTGCCTGGGCTGGTCATGCAGACTTCACGTACTCTTCGGTGAAGCAATTCGGTGCTTTGTGGGTAGGCGTTGATGAAGGCGTGATACAAGCTCTTGAGCAAACAGATAAGCAGGGGGTGGGTGTGTTTCGGAAGAGGTGATGTCTGTTTGATATTCGCGTAGATAATGTGGTGAAAGCAGATGGGATGGGAACGAACCTTGCCCATAATATCAGCCGACTTCTTCGAAACCTCCATCTGCAACGTATATCTCATGAAGCAATTCGGTGCTTTGTGGGTAAGCATTGATGAAGGCGTGGTACGAGGTGTTCTTGAACAGATGGATAAGCAGGGCGTGGGTGTATTTCGGAAGAGGCAATGTCTGTTCGATATCAGTGTAGGTAGTAAAGTGAAAGCAAAGGGGATGGGAACGAACCTTGCCCCTTGATATCAGCTGAATGAACTACGCCGTGGGATAAGTCCCTGGGCAGATCACACAGATCTCGAAGTACTCTTTGGCTTCAGGCCAGCGTTTCAAGGCGACAAGCGCAATACCACGGGTGTAGTGATATGGCAGGTTGACGCTGTCGTGCAGATCTGAAAAGTTGATGTCGATGTTGAAGATGGGGTTGTTGAGCGAAGGCACAGGGCTTTTGGCATTGAGAACCCTCAGCGCAACATCCTTCGGCAAGGTCGCTGCGGGAGCGATGTGCAACTGAGGAGGCCCCATTCATGGCTGTGGAAAGTGGACTTTCGACGACACACGCGAAGATGCAAGGGAGCAGACGTGGCGTTCGGTGTCGGAAACGATGGAAAGAAGGCAAGAGGTCATTGAGGTTATTGGGATGAATGATTACACGTTGACTGCATCGCCAAAAGAAGCCTTGTCCGATCCGGCCCGCGAGATCGTGAACGGCACAAACAAGACGTGAACCAAGCGTGAACACATCGCAAACAGACGTGAACATTGCGCGAACACGACTCTGGATGGGCAAAATGCAGTCGTAGTTTATGTACCGGTGTCAATAGGCTCTTATAAACAAAAAACTGACATTTCATTGATATACATACAGGATATTAGGGATAAAGAACAACTGGGTTTGATAAGTAACATTCACTGACATCAAATTTGAATCTAACTTCCGTGCATCGTTCCACTGCTCTTCTCTCATTACTCATAGGTCGTACCAAAACACCTCGTGAAATAAAAGAGAAGAATGGTTCTATCACAAGTCCACAGCACCAAGGATTAACCAAAGACCAACGCTATTATCGAAGGTATCGGCGTCTAAGCTGTCTTTGGGAAATCTATTAATCTCAACTTTATTTAAGTCGCCCAGAGCTTCGAGAGAAAGCAAAGATTCGTATGAGGGCCAAGCGAGATAAGGAGTACTTTTATTTTTCTATGAGTGAATTCACAACACTAAGTAAATGTTAGAAAAGCCCAGAAGGCCCTCCGTACATCAAAGACTCACGCCGACAAGGGAATATCCAAGGAAATGTCAACCACCGAACCTTATACGAAATTCCACGACTCCGATTTCCTCACGGATTTGAGTGCCACAGAGTTTTCTCGTTTCCGAATGCTCCGTGAGTGGGTTCGAAAGTGGGCTTCTCCTTGGGGAGGCACTTGGGCCTGGCACTATCAACTCGATTTGGAGCATCAAAAAGCAGTCCATGAGAAGCGAGTAAATGACTGGATTCAGGAAATGTTGCAACATGCTGATACAGGTCGGAGATTGCTAATGCGGCTATCTAAGATGGAAGGGGATCTGCCAAACGCTGAATGGCAGGTGAAGGAGTTGTGGAGACTAGAAGTTGAAATGCTTCGTCTCGTTACCGAGGGTCTGGCTGCCCTAGACGTGCAAGTCAACTTATTGGGCTACAGTCGGGACAATCTCGTATTCAAGTACCAAGTTGAGGAAGAAAAGAGGGATGAGGAGTCGGATGAGGAGTCGGATGAGGAGGAAGCGGGGGACGAGGACTCAGAGATTGAGTACTGATTTTTTCTTATTGCATATGTACAAAATTTTATTTTTCGAATATACTGAACATCGAGTCAAGCAATCAGCAACTAATCTACAATAGTAACGGGATCACTGGGCATGATGACACGACGAGTAGTGGTAACTGTAACTTCCAGAGCATTTCCGGCAATGACGGCGGCGTGGTATGCGGCAAGAGCGTGATCTTTGTCAGTGAAGCGCTGAACGGTACCTCCTGGGGTGCCTGTTGAATTCCCACTCAAATGGTGACTGGGAATGATTGTGTCAGACACTCCGAATTCTAAAAATAAATGGACAATACGCACGCGCCTCTATAGACACCAGGAATCCTGCCAACCGTTATTGCATACCAACGGTTGTCAAAGTTGGCGACAGGATCCGTGCTAAAAGAGCTTTGGGCTGGATCTGCATGGGTTGTAAGGTTCACCAATCAAAACAATTAAGCAGAGCATACCTGTCACTGCAGGAGAATCATAGACTGTTTCGAGGGCAGCATCAGCCACTTCAAGAACAGCCGACGCTTCGTCCCAGCCAGCTGGAAATATTGGAGTAGATGTTACCGGCCTATCCACAGGCCGATCTTAATAAGAGAAAAATAAGATAAAGAGATCATCGAGCAAATGTATAGAGTATACATGCCATTCACAACTGCAATATCACGAAAGTATCTTGCCGTTTCCGCAGCGAGCCTTGCGACCATCACACCTAGTTGAGGTCAGTCATCTACATAGGTTTTAAGTGGCAGGAAAGGCATACAAGTCTTTAGCACTGCAAGAGAATGATATCAATGACGAATTTAAGAAAAGCGGTAGGTAACTCACATTCTTGGTAGGTTGCGACAGCTCCTGACTGGGTGGGGGCTGCAGAGGTCATGGGGGTCGCACAGGCACGGCAGTTCTCGTCTCGGCTGAGCTTTTCCTGAGGTAGATCGAGCATTGATGAGATGAGTGGCAGGAGATGTAAAACGTTGAGAAAGAACAATGAGAGGTGGCTCACCAAGTTCAAACCTAAGGTCGATGAACATTTAAGAACGATTTAAGAACTATGAGTATGAATGGACTGACATTGAAGACCAATCACACCCCATGCATAACTCCAAGCATCAGTCAGATGCGGGTCCTAGGAATGCCAAGACATTGATAAAGGACTCATCTTCAAAACATGGTCAATCGACAAGAATGCGAAGAGGTGACTGACTTGCACAACACTTGCAAAATCTATTGTTGTGATCGTGCAAAGTGGAATGAGCATTTTTCAACAAAGTTCCAAGATAAATTACCCACCCCAAAGGTATATCACATAACACAACCTCGTCTCGTTTGTATTGAACGCAGCATCTGACCTAAATTTAATGGGAAAGTCAACACTCACCGAAGAGGAGAAAGCATGGCTCACCTCACATCTTCCTGCCTTCCGCGAGGCTCAGAAGAAGTCCGAGACCGCCCGATTTTACATACATGTAATCGAGCAATGGTTCAAGAAATTCCCCGAACGCGATCGTCTTTTCCCATCTGTTTTCAGCGATTCACCACTTCTCACCGATGTGCAACAAGCTGAGCTACAAGCTGCTATCAAGAGTCGAAGGGCAGTGAGTATTTTTTCGCTTTTTGATTTAGAGAGATAGTCCGGCTAAAATTTTCTTACCTTGCAGCAGGTGAAGAACTGGTTCTATTGGAACACCCGCGGTTGTAAACGCAATTCACTTCCCGCGGTCGGTGAATCGATAGCGAAAGTATTTGCTGACCGCAAAAAATCCAAACGTGCACGTCTTCCTTCACTCATCCAAGTCTACCAGACGATGTACAAGGCGAAGATCCAGGAGGCATACAACACCTCAAACATGACCCGAGATGCAAACCCTACAAAAGGTCATTAGTTATTATTATCACTGAGAGATCATACCTGACGCGTAGCTATAGGACAACGTCTTGTCATCTGCGCGACCCTTGCCGCTGATCTCTTCCGCGCTGAGACGGACGAAGTCAAGGCCAACGTTTCTGCATACCTGGATAAATTGAAGTCTGAGAAGCTTGAGTCAGCAAGTGACAAGGAAAATGAAGGCGAAGAGGGGGAAGGGGAGTCCAGCCACCGTAAGACTCCTGACGAATACCAGAAGTATGGCACCATTATTCTATATGTGCCCATCATTTTCTGACGGACCAATTTTTGTCATAGAGCCTTGGATGAAATGCCAAACGTTCTCAGTAAGGTCTTCCAGCAAATACGCCGTGAAACCGGTTGGGCGTTCTTCGTTGGCTGTGCTGGTCCACTTCCGAATGCAGGAGGGATCGTTTATCAACAGGAGTCAGTTATTTGTTTTGAAAAGTCCATGTGTTTGCGTTACTTACCGTTTGTTAAGCTATTACTTTGGCCCGAAAACCGACGCTGGAAACGATTTTCAAAATTCATACCCTTCATTTGAGGACTTTGAGAGTGGGTATGCTACGCCCTTCGCTATGTTTGCTCACAGCGTGTTTAGTGAGTTTCATAAATTTCTACTCAATCCAATTCTGACTTACGGCTCTCGGGGTAAAGCACCAGAAATACGGAAATCGATGGCACTAGATGTCGGAATGCATGGACGACCCGTATCTCTGGTCAAAGATCACGATAGTATGAATTCATCAGACTTGATCAGGATGCCAAGATCTCAGTCACCTGACCTGATGCAACCGATTCCCACATCGCCTTCAGCTATTACGCCCACCGAATCCTCATCTCGGAAGGATGCTCTCAACGACAATCATTCAGATCAAATGTTTACGGCATCCTCTGGTATAGGTCATGGTAGCAGCCACAGTGGTGAGGATCTGGATCCATCCATGGCAATCTTAGGTGCGGGTCATGTTAGCGACGACGATGGTGAAGATCACGACCTCGAATACAACGGCTCCGGTGCACCAAAAGGTGATGAACTGGAGTACATCGATCCCACTGGACCCTCCTCTCCCATCTCCCATGCCTTTGCGAGGATGGACCAGTCACTTTTCACACCTGCGCCTCCTTTTCCCAGCCCGACCATTTCAGGCGCTTCAGCACTCGACACAGTCATCGACCCACTCCTGCTGGGAGGATTCGGCCAATCGTCACTGCCTACATTGACATTACAAGTGTCTGCACCTGAATTCACCTTTGAAGATGCTGCCACACCTCGCCTTCCCGTTCATGCTCAAAATCTCCCCATAGCAAAGTCTCCCCTTGTTAATCCGTATGCAACACTTGCCACCGACCCTAAAGTTTTCGGTTGCCCTCCCATCAATGCCTTTTCATTTGGTCATGCCAATACCTCCTCGCCGGCATCGCTCGCTCCTTTGGGACTGACCGCTACGCCTCCTACCCCTGCTCCTGCTTTCTTGGCCGCGACCATCGCACCCCCTTCTGATGTGCATCCTCCCATTCTTGCGGTTGCCACGAATGGTCCACCTGTGGCCGAAACCCTAGCTGCAGCTGACTACAATATCTCTGGGGCGACCGCGACAGGAGATTTGGTTTCGAAGATCCAGGACCCTCCACCACGGATCCGTCCCCGACCAATTAAAAAAGGACGAATCTCCGTTCACCCTTCCGTACCATCTGGCACTGAGGGTCCCACGCCTGATGCTACTATTGGAAAGGAGAATATACCCCCGGCGCAAGAACTTACGCCAGCACAGAAAGCGGCACGTACTAGGGCTCGTCGCAAGGCAGAAGCAGAGGCAGCGTCAACTTCGACAGAGAAGGGTGACAACGCAGTATTGGGCACAGCTGAAGGAGCAGGGGAAGATGGTGGCTGTAAGCGAAAGTCGCCAGAGGATGGTCATACATCCCGTCGAAGTGGACGTGCCATCAAGAAGACAAAGCCGTTCAGTCCAGAGTGATACCTCATTGCACACGAGTGTTTCGTAGACACATTGATAATGAATTTGTTTCTCTCTTCTGCTCAGCGTACGTTTCAAAGTTTTTGTTTCAAAACACCAAGCTTAAAAATGAAAACATGCACAAATAACCGTCTGAGAAATCATATTCACGCAAGTGACCACCACATTGCAGTCCCTTGGTCTGAAACTAATTTTAATGAATAGATATACGGAATGGCTTGATGCACATCTTAATTATATTGAGAAATTTGAACAGGAACATCTAGTAATAAGTCAAACAAAATCTGACCGTGACCAACATGCGACAATATAAATTGTTGTGACGTAGCCTTACACATTTTCGAAGATCAGCTACCATGTTATGAACAAATCCATGATATCAGTGTTCCCGTGATATGGGCTGAGGCATGGTACTGGCAAGGAGTGTCGTATGAATATTGAATGTTGACAGTTACATGAATGTTCAAAGACATCACGTGAATGTTGAAAGTACATCGTATGAATGTTGAGGGACTTTGGATGAATGTTGATCGATGACCGTTGAAGGGTTTGATGGGGCATTGGACTGGAACAGATGCCAGGGAATGCAAGCACAGGGGAATGCGAGCGTAGGGGATTGTGAATGTGGCAAGGGGAATGTGAGCGTAGAGGAATGCGAATGGGGCGAGGGGAATGCGAGTGTAGAGGAATGCGAGCGTAGAGGAATGCGAAAGACATCGCGTGAATGTTGAAAGACATAGCATGAATGTTCAAGTACATCGTATGATGGTTGAGGGACTTTGGATGAATGTTGATCGATGACCGTTGAAGGGTTTGATGGGTCATGGGACGTGGAACAGATGTCAGGGAATGCGAACGTAGGAAATAGGGGAATGCGAGCGTAGAGGAATGCGAGCGTAGGGGAATGCGAGTGTAGGGAAATGCGAGCGTAGGGAAATGTGAGCTGTGAATGTGGCAAGGGGAATGCGAGCGTAGAGGAACGCGAATGTGGCGAAGGGAATGCGAGTGTAGAGAAATGTGAGCATAGAGGAATGCGGGCGTGGCCAGGGGAGTGCGAGAGTGGCGACTCCAGTAACGCTGACAGTAATGAAAACTATTGCGCCAATGGGTACATAGTTGTTCATCTAGGTCCTTTGCAAATTTGGCAGTGCCTACAAAGAGAGGTGCTGTATCAACGTTCAACGTTGGTCATGATTTGGGGACTGTGAAATAACTGACCTGTGGCAATGGTTCAATCTAAATAGAGGTTAGGACGTAAGTGCAATCGACACTCTGTACGGACCAATCGACACTTACGGCGTGAGAAAGACATCAACGCCCTAGAGATTCCAGCTCTGCCCTCGTTCAAGGGCCAAGATTAGGTGGGAGGACGATGGAAAGAGTAAGTATGGGGCAAGTACGAGGTGAGCAATACAAAGGGAAGAGGCAGCGGAGAAACAAATCAGACAGTGAATCCCACGCCAAGTCAGTGTCTCCCAAAGTAGAAGGCCGCAGAGGGCCGCCATTTCTATTTCGAGTAGCTGCCGACTGTCATGATCAATAGCGATCAACGTTTTACCCGCCGATCCATGCCGAACGATCTGCCAAGCCAGCATTTGGATATCGTGCCCAAGGGGAGCCCAAAGTGGAAGGAAAGGTGCCCGGAACCTGTGTGTTGTAATGTGCAAGCATTGTGCAAAGGTTGTGCACAATACCACGTACGTGATATAACACTCGGTTATGCACATCATTATTCAGGCTTATAACACAAGGATTGTGCAAGCATACGACGGTATTGCCTGATAGGATGGGTTGAATGGGCTGGGTTGGGCGTTTGATGAGGTTAGCGTTGACGAGGGGAAGACTTTTAAATAAATTTATGTATGTAACTTGTAAAATGTATTACCGTATCACTCGGGTACCAACCTATCCACAATGCTATGATCTATCCCATAATTCTCGCAGCCTGCCACAACTCTTCACTTTTGTAGCCCACGCTGTAGTCAAATTCCATGAAGATAGCAAAGTGCACGTCTCGGATAGTCATTACTGGGCTCTCACGTAGGATGGTGGTGATTTGGCGTTTTCACTGAGGACAGGTGCCAGAAAAGAAGAAGAAGGAGCGGGAGCAGGACGCATGCATCTGCGTGACGAGGGATACTTTTGTGGTTTTCCTGCCGTATGTGATTGTTATAGAGCAATGTTGCGAGCCGGGAGAGTTGTGCATTTATAGGGAGACATGGTTCTCGGACTCCATGAGTAGACGCGATTTGGAATACAGTAACTTTTTCACACTGCTCAATCAGATCAAACGGTATTGATTGGTTATCCACTGGTGGCACCCAAAGTAGCCCCGTCGCCGACGGTGGCTGATTGTTTACGTTTGTAAAATGCCAGCCGTCGTGGAGGGGTTCAAAAAAATAAGAGTTGCGTTGTTTAAAATAAATGATTGGATCAGTGATTGTATTTGTCATCAAAAATCGTGAAATTATTCTAAGTCAAATCTCTCTGATGAAACTTGTTTTTTTTGTAAACCCCGAAACGACGGCTGGGTAAGAGCCTGACTTTTGAGGGAGTTGAAACGTGTTAGATCCCATTCCACCAACTTCCAACATTGTACGGCGGAATGTGATACAAAGTTAGCAACTAATTCTCCATCTCCACGGCAAGCCTCCCAACAAGTGCACATCTCCCCGTTTCCTCCTCGCCCTCCTCCAACACGCTCCCGCTCCTACTCAGAATCTGTCCAGGATTCTGCTGCAACACCATTCGCATCCGATTCCCCTTCGCATAGCGGGACCAAGTCGGGGATCGCGTGAGTCTATACGTGTTAGGATTCCCTGACCGGACGAAAGAAAGCCAGTACGCGATGAGTTCTTCCGCGAAGGCGGTGGCGATGGGTGACATTGGGGTGTATGTGGTGGTTCCGTTACGTCTACAAGGATATTTAGAATATGTTGTGAAATTTTTGGATTAGCCTGCGTACCCCGTGTTTGTCCCGCGAAACATCATCCAGTTCTCTGCAGCGTGGCGTACTTCGGATCCAGGAGAAGTGGGGTTGGGTTGGTTGTACCGATAGGTCCATACATTTGAATGAAGGGCAAATGATTCGCCCATGAGAGTTCTCTAACAATGCAATTAATATTTGATGGACTGCCGAGGCAAGAAAATCATTCACTGCGCATCTCAACTGGGAGTCACCCGTAATGGTCTGGAATTGTAGATTTGTAGACGCGAAATCGGAAAGTGGGTATGCCTAAGTAATTGTTTATTTCAGCCCCAAAGAGCGAACGGATGCATACTCGTTCGATGGCAGCGATGCCGTCGTCGCTCAGGGATGGAAAGAATCTCTTCAGGGCTGCTGATAGATCTGTTCCTCCGGAGAGTGTTTCGTTGGTTGTGGCTCTATTGCCCGGAGCAGATGAATCGGTGACAGTCCTGCATATGACCAACTTTCACGTACCCGACAATCAAAGGTATTCTGGCAAATTTGTCATTCAAGATAGACTTTGTCGGAAAGTCGGTGATAATTTTTCCGTCCACGACGGGATGGAAAACTTTGTATCCCGACGAAATACTAATGTTTTTCAGACACCTTGCGAGATGATGCGGGTTAATTATCAAGGCTCACGATGATGAATACATTGCGGCATCTTGAGCATGTGCGAGCGCACTGACGCTTGCATTCCTTAGACAAGCCATTGTTGATGATACTGACCCCGCATGACATCCAGCCGTCCGCGCGTAGAATTGAAACAATGACTGGTAGAAATGCGTCAGAAATTATTCAAATACTCGGAAATGAAAAATACCTCTTGCTCTTCTGGTGAAGGGAGAGGTGTCCTGTAAAGACTCTGCACGATAGCGGCTCTAAAAAGCACCTCTCCCTCTTCAGCAACAAGATGAAGCCCCACAGAGCTCCCACCCGCGCTCTCGCCGTTGATCGTTACTTTCGTTGGGTCCCCGCCAAAAGCTGCGATATATCTCTTGACCCATCTAAGCGCTTCAATTTGGTCCAGAAACCCGGCATTCAAGTCCCCATGAGCTGGGTCTCTAAACGCTGGTGTTGCGAGGAATCCGAAGGAGGAAAGCCGATAGTAAACGGAGACGATGACGACGTTGGGGCTTTGTTGGATCCAGTGGTCGAATGGCCAGTTTGCTGGGTTGCCAAATATGTACCCTTTCATGAAGGGAATTAAATCCATCTGATAAATTTATGTAAAGCACGATGAATAATTTACCTCCGCCGTGGATGTAGACGAGGACGGGCACTAGTCATGCGGAATCAGTCTGGATGGAACTGCAATCGGATACAAATCAACCCACAATTACTCCCTCGCTTGGCCCCAACTGGAGCGTAAATGTTAACTTTCAAGCAGTCTTCGCTTCCTGCTCCTCCGGCATCACCGCCTGGTCCCAAGAAACTACTGTCAGTTGCCAAGCAATATCCATCCGATAGTAAGGAAATAAAACAAACCACCAGTAGTCCCCTGGATGCAAGAATCGGGATACTTTGTGGCATCTACAACAGTACTTCTGGAAGACCTTGCAATCCTACCAGTGTCGAGTGGGACTGGGGCACGAAAGCGTCTGTCACCCAGCGGTGGTTCTGCGTATGGGATGCCGAGATAGGCGACGGTGTTTGGGAATGTTCGGTTTCCTTGGTATTTCGCGTAGCCAGTACCGATAATATCCTGATCTCTTGAAGAGAGTACCCTGATAGATGCCACGGTGATAGAGAGTAATCTTTCCCGGAACGTATATGTAGCCAGGACTAAGAATGTAACAGAGAGGATCACCAGGCGGAAGATGTATGTCCTAAGGAGCGGCATTTCATGAACATCCGCAGTACCACAGAAAGTTAGTGCCAGCTAGGGGGCCCACTACTTCACGAATTGAATCCAGCCCGTATTCAGTCAGTAATTCGACAGACGCCAACGTCGGAGGTGGTGGCCTTGAGCAAGAAGTGCTAAACACGTGCAAACATCTGCTCAACGAGCAATGCCAATCTGCACAACGTGCACCCACATTACTCCCTACCTTTATACCGTCTATGAGTCGGAGTACAACCTCAGACTTGAACAATGCGTGAGTAGCAGCTTTCTTGAGCCGGCTGAACACTGATCCTCAACTTGAACAGGGCGAATGCCACGCGTTCGTTGACCCCTACGTGGAGCACGACCATTTGACTCTTCTGCTGGACCTTATACTGCTCAAGAGGGGTGTATACCGACATCTATTGTACAACCGCGGCACGAAGCCTAGGAAGCTTGTGGGAAGGTCAAACGACGACAAGAAGGGCGACTCTAAGCCCGGTTCCCAAACGATGGATGTAAGAGAAAAGGTATGGATGTTTTTTGACTTGACTCAAAAGTGCGTTCGTTAACTTTGGCTATAGCGTCGCTGGATTCTCATGCTGAAACTTGGCGGCGCCCTCATCTTCCTAGATTCGTGTACGTTCCAACTGTGTGTCGATTGACGAGTAGCTGACATGGCCTAAGTTATAAGGTGGAGCTATCTCAGTAGGTGTTCTGCTTTGTGCTTCGACTTCAGTGTTCACATGGCGCATAGACCCAAATCTACCCTCGGATGGTTCGCCTTGGACTGGAGAGATGTTACGGAGTTTCTCGCGCGTTTTAGTTGGGACTTTCGCTGGTACGCCACGTTTTTTTAAAGACCAGTACATACCTCCTGAACTGGTACCTTAGAAACATTTGCCTTTCATCTTGGCATCGTTCTCGTTTGTTACATGGTACTCCACGTCCTTGACTGGCTGCGATCTTGGCGGACGAAGGTACATGTAATCTCCAACATACGGCGGGAATTCAGGTAAGCCCAGCCTCTTTTTCAACCACGCCGTCTTAACCTCATTCCAGGCTCTCCCTGATACCCCTGACCCTCTTCTACTCCTCCTTGACGAAACTCTTCCTTCTGTTCCTCCTCACAATCTGGCTCCCGGCATCAGCCTCATCTTCGAATTCAACTGACGGACATGCCTCAGGGTGGGAGCCAGGCTTTCTGAGCAATACCACACTTTTCGGAGGCGCTCTTGAGATTCTCGACGATGACAAATTGGATCGAGAATGGATTGTTCGCAATGTCCTAGGAGGCATGTCCGCGGGATTCGGCTTGCGAGTCATCCTCGATATTCATCCCGTGTTCACCACCATTATCATCCTTGCTGGATGGGCGGCAAAAACGGCTGTGGCGGGTCTTGTCAGTAGGTGGGTTGGCGGAGATGAGATGACGGGAGAAGCTTGGCTTGCATACAGCATCCCTTGAATTGCTCCTGCCTGGTGAATTATCTCATCTCCCCAACTCCAAGGACGATCGCGGGGTCGTAAAGAAGAAATCATGTCCTTCAGTGCGCTCATCCGAAGCTTTGAGCATTGCAAAGTCAGGGAGGAGTGGGACTAACGATCCTGAGGTCATGTGTACATAGGTGTGCATGATGGTCGTCTTCCGAAAGGATAAGTGTTTTAAAAGCCTCCAGCTTGATTCTACACCAGGAAACACAAAGTAGCAATCTTCTTTACTGCTGGTTAACGAAATACGGGGCATGCTTGATCAAGCGCATTTCGAGGATGATTTGAGGTGCCAATTGCTTTCTACCTACCAGTCTTGTGGTGTCTGCGTTCCGTGTCAATCTCGCCAGCTGGCTTCGACCTGAGGGAAACCCAAGTTCAAGATTTTCTGATCAAATGGACACCCACTTCATGATAGATGTTATCACGTCGTCGTGCTCCGTTCTGAGAACGTATCAGTACTTATCATCACCCTTTGATGTCTAGGTCAACGTATACACGTCAAATTGGTGGCCTGGGACTGTTCTGAGGTTGAGAGGTTGATGACTCTCGCTTTTTACTATATCCAGGAAACGCACCTCTCGATTGCATCAATACCGTACTCTGCACATATGCGCAATGTCGTCCCCACTACGCTTGACGTCCCCTCAGCACCTAGAGAAGTACAAAGAAGAATGACCTGGCAGATCAAACAAAACGCTTGTTTGCTGCTACAACTGGAGTCAAGAACAAACAAAAGTAATGCCACCTTTTCTCCCAATTTTCAACGTCCTCCGCTTCAAATTTAACTGTGCCGAGGCTACAGCATTTTGACAATGTTGTGGTGCAAGGAATATGCTCTGCGGAGCTGGAGAAACCCGGATGGCAGGCCAGCAGCCTATTGACACAGCGACGGCCACCAAAAAATTCTCTCGGGCCTGACATCCTTTGTCTTCAACTCTGGCTTTGTGAATCCCATGAAGCGCCTGCGCCTCAAGCGCGATTATTACAAGGCCATAGAGAAGCGGAGAGTCCGTGGTGCCCAGATAATCTAGCCAGTTGCTCTGACTCGCAAACTAAAGCGCAATTAAATCATTTGCAAGTGTCGAGGCTGCGGATCCCTGAACTGATTATCCTACCTTGGGTAGCATTTGCAGTGGTACGGGCGTGTACGGGGGAAACCGCAGTTTGAACACCCACCAAACTCCGTTTTGACGTTTTATTTAAACTAAGTATTGTGGACAGGTTGCGCGCATTTTCATGCCCATTGATTACAAAAAAGTATCAGTGTTCCATCTAGGAACGTCCCATCACCAATGTTGCGACTTCACTGATCATCAAACTGAGGATACCCAAAGCAGCGCTATACCCTCCCTTCCACCTACGACAGGGACCTTCCGAAGCTGTTTTAAAAAGATGGTGCAGCTCACAGCCACGGTAATACCACTGTTTGCTCCCTGTCACCCTTGTTCGAAATTTCAATGCCTACTTGGGTCTTGCAGTACGCGTTTCATCACGATAGAGTCATATAAAAAGTGAGTGGCCTCGCACTTTGATTCATAGTCGCTTTCCTCATTTTACTCTTCCTCTTCAGCTGCGACTTCTGCTATTCTGTGAAACCATGCTCCCATTAAGCGGCTCCCTCAGAGCCGCTTTCTTGGGCAGCGTTGCCGCCTCATTGTGCGTCTTCACTACACTTGTCCATTTCACATAACCGTAACAAACCTATTGCTTTCAAAGCCTGTACGGAATCACATCCGTCCAGACGTTTCTCTACTTTCGGAATACTTGTGAGGATGGACGTCCGTTCAAACTTTTGGTATTTATTTTTCTTGCATGGTTTTAGGTCCTTCTCTGACACACTCTCGTTAGATATTTGGCCTATGGTTCGCACTTTTTAACATCCCTAGTGCCTTTTAACCCATGGCTTGATTGTTCAGGCTCTTGGATACATTACATTTGGCCTTCACTGTACATGGACTGTATTTCTATATCGTTACTTGTATTGGAAATCCGGAAGTCCTTCTCTCTCCAACCTGGTGAGTCTTCTGAAATCCTACACTCTCAAGTAGTACTAATTAGTTGCCTTAGGACGCTGCTGGTTCGTTATTGTACCTTTCCCCATGCCGTTGCTAACGAGCTGGACCAGACACAAATATATTTTACGGTGATTCTTATTAATCTTGATAGGTCGCGAAGCAGGAAAACTAATGAATGAAATTTTGTCAGTCCGTGAGCAATCTTCTCGTTCGCAGGTAAAATGCTCTTGGCTACCATCTCAAGTCACACAAGTGCTCAATGCCCTTTGATCTTGCAGTGTGTTCGCTCGAAGGGTTTGGCTTCGTACGTACATAGATGCTTGGCACAGCTCTCTTTCCTGTTGTTCATAAATTCACCACTTTAGTGAAAGGCGGCAAGAAGATAGGGAGAATCATTTTACCACTTCTTATCGTAAGCAAGCCTGCCGTACCCAATACTCAAATTTGTACTGACTTTATCAAAGGTTTTGATTTCGCTCTTTGTCTTTGGTGGGCACTTTTATCCGGAAATTTCTACAAGTTTTATAACAACCAAAACTGAATGTTTGCTCAATTTTCAGTCTGTGCGTTTGGTAAGTGAGGTTCGTACCTTCCACGCCATTGGTTAAGATTCATCATATATTCTCTCAGTCTATGCTTCCAAGTCGTATGATCCTCGATTTTTTGTCCGCTGCTGAATGACAAAAGAAAATCAGTTTTAAAATTGCTAACTATGTCCGGATAGATCAGATTTCGGTCTGTTTTGGTCCACGCGTTCTTGTCGTTTGGATTATTGAATACTTCCATTCCCGTAGTATCTGCTCTACTGCAGTCTTGGAGGTTCTGTTGCAGCGGACGCCCCGGTCGCGGGCTCTTTGTGTGCACTTCTTTTTGGCAATCGCACGGGTTTCAAGCGGTGCGCGATAAACCGTATTACATTCATCGTCGGGAAACTAACAGAATGGTTTTTAGAACAGACTCGTTGGTCACGAGTTTAATGGCTTTTACCATTAACACAGGTCATTTTTTGTCTTCGCGCCGTCCTTTTTCTGCTTACTCTTTTTTCCAGGTCTTCTCACAAGGTAAACTTTCTCTGGTTTTTCCCTGCTGCGTTAGCTAACGGATTACAAAGTATTTGCGCCATAGCTTGCTTTGTCACTGTAAGATCGTCAACTTATCGAATTTTCTTTTTTGACATGTTTTTGTTAGTATGCCCTCTGGCCTCAACGACTCATCTTCATGGGAGTATACTTCGCTCTGAGCAAATGTACGTTTTTTGGACTGAATGTTGTGAAGATTATGTTTCCAACAAAACATTCTAAATAGACATCAATTCTTTGCTTGCGTCCTTAAATGCGCGAGGGCTTCTGCGAGACAAGGGTTATGCTGTCTCCATAATTCCATCTTGCATGGTTGCTACACCTTTCACCTGTCACCCCCCTATGACCTCTTGTGATTCCAAAATCAATGTCATGGGTTGTACACCAGAGATGTAAACTGGTATGTTGAGCCCCTTGGCGTGCTCCCTGGTATGTTGAGCCCCTTGGCGTGCTCCCTGGTAGTGTTCATCACATAGACTACACCGAGTCATTGTAGAAATTTCCGTGTTCAAATTCGGTTCCAAACGACAATAGCATACGCTCTCCTTGATGATGCCTCCTCTTCTTGTATACTAGTAATACTAAGTATGTTATCTTGCCTTTATTCCTGTTGAAGATGTTGGATTGCCAAGGTGCGATCACATGACTCCGCGACTCGAATTTTGATTTTAATCATTTGTCATGCTTACACGCGTCTTCAACTCCCCCCGGCGGTTTCGGGCAGCTCTCAACAGTTTTATAAAAATTTGGAGGGCACTGTGGTATGAACATGCATGCGACTGACGGAGAAAGCGAGTCGGACAATTTCAAGCTCTTCGACAAGTGACGGTCAGCCACCCTGGGCGTGCTATATATAACGGACCATTTGGTAGCTCCTCTCCAAATCATACTCTCTTCTTATCCATATTTTTTTTTCATACAATCGATGCATCCACAAGTTGCTTCACTCTTCGACAACGTCTACGAGGATCTGGCCGCAGCTACCCTAGAGTTCATTGGCACGGCGTTTTTTCTTTTGTTCGGTCTGGGGGGTATTCAGGCTAGCACCGCGGAGGACACGGCGAGCGGTCAGCCACCAGCCTCGGGCATCGAACATGTTCTCTATATCTCAACCTGCATGGGGTTGTCTCTCGTTGTATCCGCCTGGCTCTTCTTCCGCGTCACTGGTGGACTCTTCAATCCAAATATATCTTTTGCGTTGCTTCTAGTCGGGGGTCTCAAGCCACTTCGCTTCGTGCTGTTCTGCATTGCTCAATTGACTGGTGCGATCGCAGGAGCTGCCATCGTTCGCGGTCTGACGTCGGCGCCCCTCTCTGTCAAGTACGTCCGATCTTTCCTATCCATCCGTTCGTTCTGACGCTGCCATCACCTCCAGCAACGTTCTTCAGCAAGGGACGAGTGCCGCACAAGGCGTTTTTATTGAGATGTTTATCACCGCGGCGCTTGTGCTTTCCGTTTTGATGTTAGCGGCAGAGAAACATGAGGCCACTCCTTTCGCTCCCGTAAGCACACTCGTCCCATCCGAAAAACGTCTTCTAACACTCATTCTCAATTTATAGGTCGGGATTGGTCTTACGCTCTTTGCTTGTCATCTGTAAGTTCTGGTCCTTCCTCATTTCAACACCTATTTTATGACGTCGTCTTTCAAGTTTTGCGGTTTACTACACTGGCGCGGCTATGAATTCAGCAAGGGCGTTTGGACCAGCTGTAATCTCTGGATTCCCAGAGCCCCAACACTGGGTGGTATGTATATCACGATTGAGTTTTGTTCAACGAATCACTGATGCACCGACATTAGTATTGGGTTGGGCCGTTCTTGGGATCACTCCTCGGTGCAGGCTTCTACGCTACCTTGAAGCAGTACGTAAACCTCTCGGAGATTTTTGGGTTGCTCCTAACATTAAGTGATGATAGCTACAAGTATTGGCATCTCAATCCCGATCAAGCTACCAGTGATTACAGGAAATCGCCTTCAGATCCAGTGGCCCTGCTGAAATCAACTGCGGAAACCTTCATCAATGTCGGAGACGAAGAGACTCGCAATGGGTGTGCGTCAAATGAGGAAGGGGTCAGGGCGACGGGCGATGAAAAGTCGAGCAACGCTACCTCGTCACGCACGAATTTCAGCCCGGTCTAATGCCTGTCTATTCAAGGTTGCGCTCCCCTCGATGATTACGGCCTCTTAGAAAGATTCTTGCGTCCTAAGCTACCCTGATGCGACAGAGATAATATATTACGGATTTATATGCGAATTCTTGACCCTCCCCCTTAAGTGCATGCTTGCTCTAGAATTCAGCCTTTTTTTGTTCGTGCTACCGGCGATCCCAACCCAGATTTATTTTTTACGTCGCTTGCGGGCTTCTATCCCACTCGAAAGAAGTAGCAAGTGCGTTAGTTGTATGAAAAATCCAGGGTAGGTTTTCGATGATAAGAAAAGATAAGAAACCATGCTAGCTACGAGTGTTGGCGTCTTAACCCCGACTACCAACAACCTCGGACGAAGCAAAGGTAGAAATTCTGTGAAGGCTAGTTAGTACTAACGGATGGCATCACCATTTTAAAGCACTAAGGAAAGAGGGACTACGTTGATCACGGCCGCCCTCATGGTCGAGAATATTACTGTACAGTACGTTGATTTAAATACCATATGTGCTTCAATATTTCAATACTCAATTGCGTTCTCCGACTTGAAACGTACTTTCTTGATTTCACCTACGGTCGGATCCGCATGCTGTAAATTTCTGCGCGTATTTCACTCTCTCAGTGATTCAAGATTCCACTCCCCTTGGAGCAATCAGGCGGTCAAGTACCAAAAGTTCTGATGTTCATCGGTTCGTCAACGTTTGAGTCTTGTCGTCTCTACTCTTTTCTTCTTAACACCATAAACCTGATGCCACTGAACATTCAAAATACATCACGAAGTCGAATATGTTGCTAGATCGCTTCGTGATTGAGTGACGCCACTTGCTACATTGGCGCAGAACAGGAAAATGCATTGGGCGTTGCTTCTGAACGCCCTCAACGTCCACCTGAACTTCAGTAAGCACCCCCTGAACGTCGAGAAGGTGGTTATCCGAAGTACTGTTGGCATCCCACCCGCGGTGTTTGCAAGTCACAGCGCCTTCCGCCAACGATCGGGACCCAGCTTTTGACCTCGATCGTTGTGAAGCCTGGTTCAGGCTATATTGGAATGGCTATTTTAATCCAGCTGCTGGCCAACGACGCTCTCCTCATTTCTTCCTCCTCATTCACTTCCAATGTACGCAGTTTCCTGTTTTCTTTTGCTCGCCTTGGTGGTTCTCCACGTCCACGCTCGCCCGACCCACTCCGACGTGGAGCGGGGACTATCACCAACGCACGCGTCTTCCCCGCCGAATTGCTTTCCGGCGATAGGATTTCGAATGCCAAGCACCGTACCGACGACCTTGGACAACTGGTGGTGTGACTATAGCTCTGAATATGCTTTTGTGGGATTCAGCTATGAGGTTACAGACTGTACGACATCACTCACCTCCTTTACCCCGCTATGGTTAATTTCCACTAACCGCCTAGGCCAAAGTGTTGCCGAGCTACAGAACGACTTCACCAACATAAGAAATACCTTCAACGGCCGCTACGTGCGCATATACGGCTTCTGCGATCGGAGTAGCTTTTAGTGAGCGACTTTGTTTACGGCTTCAGGCTCGCGCTGATGATATCATCTCCAGCGACGACGTCGTTAACGCTGCATGGCGGGCTGGTGTAGGCGTCCATGCGCTCATCTGGGTACGTTTTAGTTGTATGTGCGATACGAAAAAGGCGAGCTGAGCGACCATCAGTTTGGTTTTGACGGTGACAATCTTTGGCAAGGCCGGAGGGACGCCCTCTTTCAGAGCCTCAGTTCTAATGCAAAGGCGAAATTCGTTACTCGCGCTGTCCAATTCGGATCGGAACCGCTTTTTGACAAAGTCCTTCCAGAAGATACGCTCGCCCAGCAAATCAAGGCCGCAAAGCAAACATTATCCAGCCTTAGGATACCGGTGACTATCAGCGAGCTGGCATATGGGTACCAAGAGGTAAAAAAATATAACGTACCGCAGGTTTTCAGATGTTGACGTTCTCATAGCAAGGCGGGGCGCAAGAAATATTAAATGCCATTGACATAATTGATGCGCATATGTTGCCATTCTTTTCTGCTCAGGCATCCACTGGTGAGTTTCCCGCGCCCCATAGTATGTAACTGATCATTTTCGAGAACAGCAAGCAAATCTTGGCCATTGGTCGTGGGAGACCTCAACTGGTTTGTGGTGCATGGGAATGGAAAGAAGATATATCTCACAGAGGTTCGTCATAAAGGTCCGAAGCTGGGTGATGAAAGCCCTGACATTTTGACGTAGAACGGCTGGCCGTCCCGAACATCTGAGGGCGTGCAACCAAATAGCCCCCAAGCAGTGGCTAACGTTGAAAATGAACAAGTGAGTCTTCGGCAGTTATTGTATAGAATTAAAACTTTGCTCACGATGGATCAGGCGTACTACGCACTGCTCGACCAACATTGCTCCGACTTCAAGGCGGTGGCAGGAGGGGGCGTTGGTTGGTTTGCACACATATACTCAGAAGATATGGAGCCAGGATACGGGATTTACGGAAGTAACGGCGCCTTGAAGTTCCCTTTCAGGCCAAGAACGTCGTGTTGAAGAGGATCGCTGCTGTGCGGCTATCATGTATATCATTTTGTAATATTGTACAGCTATACTACTCACCAAAGACTTTATGGCATAAAGAACGAGAGTCCTTTGCATAATTAGAAATGTTCGCCGTTGAGGAAGGTGGGCAAGTCGCATTTAAATTCTTTTGAACTCCGCCAGCCCCTCTGCTCACCGTTCATTATGGCCTCCGCATCATCATCGAGGGCTTTAAACGCGATATTACCTCAGATACCCACCGCTCCTTACGAAGCTCATCAGAAAGCCAGGACGTTCGCTTCGAGATACGTGAAATCGGGCCAATATGACACCGCCATCGACGTGTTGTTCCAGAGTGCAAGAGAGCTCCTCAGGACTGGCCAGCCAGGCAGCGGTGTTGATCTGACGGGGTTCATGCTAGATGTTTACGAAACTAAAGGGGAGACTGTCTCCGAAGAGAGCAGAGGTCAGCCTTTCGGAGATCTTTCAAAGAAAAGGGCTGATCCGACGAGTAACAGCAAGGCTCACACAGTTGATCGCAATGACAGGCCCAACAGGGGGCTGGAGGAAGACTATCATTGATAAATCGATAGCGTGTGTTCTTACACCATATTCATTATCTGAAGACTCAAAAGTCTACTTCATTCAGGTGGTCCGCTAAACATGGCCCATGTCCCGCAGGCGATCCTGACTTGCACCACTATGTCGGTGAACTGCTCTACAAAGGTTATTCATCCCGGATACTTGTCGCATTTATCCTCACTGACACTCAACGCTACAGAGGGCGCGTTTGAAAGTGCAGAGGTCCACCTTTTAGCCTCGGGAAAACGCGACAGTGCGCGACTTCTTGCGGAGATGTTTGTTCAATGGTCATCCGCAAGTGGTGCATACGGTGTCTTCGCTCTAAGGGGCATTATTCCGTGAGTTCATTCATAAATTTACTTTCAAATGCTAAAACCCCCTCAGCTATCTTCAAAATGGCAACATTTTGGCAGCACGCATATTTATCAAACACCTCACGTCCGCTCTCCCCTCTAATCTTACCTCTGGTGCTTCTTCAATACCCGTAGGGGACACCCACGAGGTGACGCTAACAAAGGATCCTATCGTGAACTTCTCGCAGATGGCAGTTCTGACATGTCAACGCGCACAAGGCGACAAGAATAAGGTCATGAGGGAAAGCTGGGTCCGCCTTTGTGGTACTTACCAGAGCAAAGGGGGTCTTCTCGCTTCCAAGGAAGTTCGCCAAGTAAGGCTTCTTTCGTTTCGAGCGGCATACATGGGAACTTACATCACACATTCGTTAGGCCCTGAGTGAACTTGGCAACCTTTATTTTGCTATTCCTCCTCCTCGTGGTCAAGCTCCCAACCCGCTTGGAGAAATGATGTCATCCTTGTTCGGCGGTGCTCCTCAAGGCCAGCCAACGAGGAGGACGTTGGCGCCTGCGAACAGTGTACCAGCTGGTTTAGATTAAGGTCAGTACTACTAGTCGGTCGTAGCTCATCCGAATCACGCTTACGCGTCTGTAGTTTTTTGCTTTTCCAGCTGTCTCATGTCGTGTAATATTGTATGATGACGAATATCAAATTTGAAACGACATTCCAGTATGTCAGGCATCACGCGTACTTCTTCAAAGTCCTCCCTTATTGTATGCAAGCTCTCACTGCTTTGCCCCGGATCCCGTCCCCAACCGATCAATGCAGCATCCGGTGCCATCATTGTACATCTTCTCCAACCGAATGACTTTGACTTTCTTCGCACACATTCCAACTTCGACGATTTCGCGTGTAGATTGTGACACAGACCTTGGATGATAAGCCTCGCAAATGAGTAAACCGGTCCCAACGGTCCCCCTCTTGAACCAGTCGACCCCGTAAAGGGAAAAATGGAATCGATAAGACATGGTTGGCTTCATGGTATCATTCACTAGCAGGGATGCCCAAATTGATAACGAACTGACCTGGGCATTCTACCTTTTGATAGCGGGTCGGATCCCCCTGCTCATCGTCTCCACTGCTGAGCTTCAATGCCAGCCTAATGGCCAATCCCAACACCACCATTGGCACGGTTTTTCTAGGCAACCTTGTCGCAGCAATGTAAGTGTAATCTCAGTTCAATCTCGAAGTCAAGGTTGACGGAGAATTTCAAGTCTCTACGGAATCACCTGTCTCCAGATGTTCATCTACTGCAAGGACTACTATCGAGACCGGCCATCTTTTAGACTTGGTAAGTTGGCTTTTCTCACTACATAACTGTTGACGCCCATCGTGTTCCCCGACAGGTCGCGTCATTATGCGTATTTGAAGTTCCATTCCTCCCCTGACTATTCGTTAGGGTGTTGGATACCCTTCACATGCCAGTGGTTTCCCTGACCCATGGCTCGTATCATTATCTTGTTGCCAATTTCTTCAAACCCGCAGCAATGGCTGACCCAACTTGGTATTCTGGATCTATCTCAATCGTGACAGAATGCTAAGGCTAACCCTCCTCATGGGAGTCTATTGGTCAACTGTCCTCTACTCGGTCAAATATGTCGGCCGCCTCCTCTACCAAATGTGGATCAAGGTGGGGGAGGGTTACACTGCACCTCACGATTGCGACTACCTTGAAACATTCAGAGTCCCCAGGTCCACTGCCTCTTCACATACCCACTCTTCGTTTTTTTAAGTCGATCACGACAAAGATACTTTGCGTGATAGTTTTCAAAACGACCGTGGAATTGGCATGGTAATTGGGGCTTCAGGTAGAAATCATTTATCAGCCCGCATCCCAATAACGGACTGGCGGCAAACCCAAGGTACATCCAGGATCGAGGACAATGATAATGAGTTTATAAAGAGGATTGCTTCCAAAAGCCAACAGAGGTTTTGGAAGGACCGCTGATCTAACACAAGAGATGGGGGCGCTACAACGTTTTTCATGCGGTCTTATACACAGGAGATGTGTACACAAAAGGGGGGTAGTTGTGGGTCGTAGAGAACGATATGCCTACGGGACATGGCGGCGGCCTGGTTTAGGTATTGAGGGGATGCTGAGCCGCTGAGTCGCGACAAGCTTGAGGGAAGCAATCCCCCACAAACCCATCAACAAAGACGGGACATCAACGCTCATCAGCACTGGGGCCAGCAGGCGTAACGTCACTCTCAGGAGATCCGTGGTCACTCAACAACGAATCTTCTGTCGTTACAAGCCTACCCTCCTTCCTCAGGCAATCCTCCACGAGACGAAGAAACGAAGCCCCCTCCGTCTCCACCACCTGTAACATCCGTGTGTCGTTAAACTGCAGCTGGTATTCCAGTCCGTCACAAAAATCGCGGATGTTGGTGATATGAGCACGCATTCGCCGGTGGTACTTGTCTGGGTCCAAAACAGGGGGGGTATCGGTGCTTGATGTTGGTGATGTTATTGGCGGGGAGTCTTTCTGCTGCACATGTTGTTGTTTCTCCCCCAACGACGGCTCTATCGACGGAGGAGGGAGGCTATCCATTGGCGGCTCTGAATCGTTATCGTCATCGTACGGTTCATCGTCAGCCGGCACACGTTCTGTGTCCTCACGCTCAACGGCTGAGGCTGAAGTTGGCGGTGCGACAAGCTGCGGTGCGATGTAACTCAGCCCGGTAGACTGCCCTGTAGCGCCTGACGACCCAGGTCCAAACGTATGACACCCGTTTATCCACCCAAAACTCTCCCAGATCCCTTGGGCCACCTCAGGAGGCAGCGAAGAGTCGATGTACGGCTCATGCGCGACGTGATGGTGCATCCGCACCGTGATAATCCGGACCCCAGGTTTGTTTGAATCGCGGGAAGAGATCAACAGCCGACTTCGACATGGATACCGCGGCTTCGCCATGATATCCCCGCCAGTCGTTACGCGGGGTTTGGGAATGATTTGCGCCACTCTGGCAGCTTTGGACGGCTTTGAACGGTGTGCTTCGTCTTGAGAACACCAGAATCGTGTTTTGTGCCCGTTGTTGATGTGTGGGTGGTCCTTGACGCTACCGGGGGCGTCAGAAGGGAGAGACGAAATTGAGACTGACGCACGTAAATCTGTAACCAGTAGTCTTCCAAATCTCATGCGTTACAGTCTGTATCCGTTGCTTATGCGTAACCTCAGAATCCATCATCTCGTAGCTTCCATGAAAATCGACCTGTGAGCTCTGCTTGAAGCGATCCTTGAGGGCGTCTAACAGCTGCTGGCGATCTTCATAGTTCGCCGGTTGCTAATAGACGGCAGAGTAATGTCATATCTTTGCTCCAGCAACGAAATAACATAGCTCACGAACCTCATTATGATTTGCTCGTCGCAGCGCCTTGTCCGCACTCCCTGAGTCATTCAGGTCTCGTTTCCGCTTGGTTCCTTGAACGCTCTCTCCCCATGAGCTCGGTCGGAATAGTTCTTTTGAAATGACGGGTGGGCCCCCACCGTCGCGTGGCGTCGCGGAGACTATGGCGTGGAACCGGGAATATCCTGCTGCGGGCGATGCAAAGCTTGTCATGAAGGAGCCGGAGCCGTTTAATTTGTCGTTGCCGGCGTCGAGTAAGCTGTAGATTGCGGGCAGCAATGTGGAGGTCAGAGACAAAATGGGTAATGAAAACAAACATCGGTGATTCAAATTGTAATAGTGACTCCATTGACTCCATGCTACAAGTACACGTTGTACGTCGACGCAGTGGTTTGGAGTACATGAAAGCCACATATTCGTAGCATAAAGCGTTTTATGGAAGTACAATAGGAATTTAGTCCTTAGGAGGTGTTGAAACCTTTGCTTTCGGCGGCCATTCCAAAACCGTCAAGCCACGCTTCAATCTGTCATTCCTAGCACCCGCCACACCAACGTGTACCGCGTGGTAGAATGGCGTCGGCGGAGCTTAATTGGCATGTCGAATTCAGCGGCGCTAAGCCAGTATTCGACGTTGGTCGCTTTGAATGCGACACGTTGGAAATTATCAGTTAGGAGTCAATCTGCGATGCTAGTAAACTCAAGCCATGCCATGTCGTAAATTCAGCAAGACACCCACACATAGATAGCGCCGACTCGCATCGGCAGTCAGAGTCCTCGTTGCGAGTATGTCAAAAGCCGCTATCACTTCGTCTAATACCAGGTGTGCTGAGTGACGGCGATTGTGGTACACTTGTGGCAACATCTCCATTTATGATGTCTTGTATCGAAGCTTCCAAGGCATCTACGCGTGTGGACATTTGGGTCACTGCAGGTTCAACGTGCGCACACATCAGAGCCTTTTCAGAATGAAAGGAGCAAGATATGAACAAACTTCTGTCCAAAATCTGTGTCGACATCTCATCAAATTTGGCATCCAGTTGTTCCAAAAGTGTCTCAACCTGTCAATAAGAAAAAATGCTATGAGAGATCAACGCGGTGAAGCTCACGAATGCCGTTAGTTCGTGAGGGCTTGAAATGTCGTTTGGAGTTATGGCTCTTGCCGTTGACGTGGCAGGTTGTTTGGCGACTGGTATGGGCGTCTTGTCCTTGTCGTTCTCGGCGGCCCTGGATGGAGTCGCAGGGACTTTCAGAGGCTGAGCTGAAGATTGCATTGAGTGGTTGGTATATCAAAGAAAGAGATCAAGAACTTGAACAATGAACATGAACGTAACGCCAATGTCCTCCGAAAATAATATAGCCAAACATACTCCTAACACTGTTTCGGATTTCCGAAAAGCTTTTCCCAAAAAGCTTTTCCGAAAGCTTTTCGCCGCAAGCTTGCTTAACATGATGAAAGTACGCCGTCCCGACAACCCTTACCTCCGCGAGAAATGAATTAATGATAAAAATTGGCATCTTCGATCGCGTCGGCAAACAGCCGTCACAGCTTCACAAAGCTATCCACCTCACAGGCGCGCGCTATACTCAGGCGCCATAAATATAACAGTACGTCGTCGTGAATGTATAGATAGTAATTGGGAACTCTTGGAATATTTTTCGTGTTCAACGAAAACTTATAACATCGGAGCGAATACTACGCCTTACTCTTGAGGGATGTACGGAGATGGGTTTGTACTGTTTGATGATCGTAATCTAGATGGCTGTTACCGTGTACGTATACGTTATGGGCGGCAGTCCTAGAAATACTCCTTGCGTTCAAAAAGCGGAGAAGAAGCCCAGCTGTGACTGACTGAGAGTCTCAGTTCAAATGCTTGGATCCGTGAGTGTAAGCAGGCGTGGTGAGGTGATGTGAATAGAAGAGACTTTGGGGAAGTCTGGAGGAAACTGCCAGTAGCCCGGCGGCCAGATCGCCTCGTGGAGTGCATTTCCAAGGCCTGAGACGAGATTAGATGGGTGTCAAGCGTGTCATCGAAGACCTCGCAAAATCGTTTTCCAGTGCTTATTCAAACCCGATTTATCGCACTTTCAGAGCTACCCTTGTGGGGCTTGGAACAGGGGTACGGTTGGCATGTGTTTTCGTCGAGTTCGCGAGATGTTCATCTTGAACTTGAGAGTGGATATTGCTATGCCCCATCAAATTTTCTAAAACAGGTTGAAGTCGACGTACTGTTCATCGATACAAGCCAGATCGCCTGAAAGATAGGCACAACATGCGTTGCTCGTCCCGCACAACCTTTTTAATTGGTGCAATTTCGTCCTGTCCTCAATCCGGAGCTCCATAGGTCAGTGAAGGTGGTCGCATGACACCAGGATGTAATCGATTAGCGAAGAACAAACCTGCTGCAGTTGCTGTGTTGATAGTCGGTCTGAAGGCGGCCGCAGATGACTCGAATTGATAACAATAGCCAGCCATACGCCTTCAAATCACGATGCTTGGAAGTTGTGCGATACCCAAAAAGCAGTGTGCATAAGTAGTCACCGGGATGGAGGATTCTGAATAGGGAGACTGAAATGCGAAACCAGAACACAGGCAAACGGCGTTATCCAATGAGGAGCGGGTAGTCCCTATTTAGCAGGGTTAAAGGAGTTCGGCGTAATGGAACGGATGGCCACCGTTCTCACCCACCAAGATTCGACGTTGAATGCACTGAAATATCCAGTAAGTATTCAATGCGCAGTTTAGGGATGTTTTCCAGGTCCGAACCTACCTGCAGGTGGGATAAGATTGTGTCTTCGCCCTTGGAACCTAACCCTGCTGCGAAACGGAAGAATGCGGGGAAGCTGAGAACTACGAGCCATTTCAAGAGGCTCGATGTGATCCCATGCCTGCTTGCACGGGCGACTATTCCCAGGAACATTTTCAAGTCCTAGTCAACTGCCAAGGCCGATTTTCAGCTCATCAACCTATGTTAGATGATTTCGTTTCACGAGCCCTTTTTTTTCCCCTTGAGCCATGTGCGAGAGGACGTTGGAAAGCTTTGTTTATTCACTTCCAAGTCTGATCGAGTCACTTCAAGAGTTTAACGATGGTTCTCCGATTAAATTAACTTTGCTTGTACCTGTGTCTGTTATTGACCACACGGATGTCTCCAATCTGTTGGGTTTAATATGGCCCCGGGATCCCTGAGGAGTCCACGAAAGTGCGCCTCGTTTTCGATGAGCTGAGAAACGGGGACCTGGCGTCACGATGGGATCTGGACCAAACTGGGGGTGAAATATTTAGAGTCATCTCCTCCAGTAGAAACGGTCTGACGAAAGACCCCAGATTTTTTGATCGAAGGAGGTGCAGATGAGATAATAGAGCCGAAGGTGTTGATACCATCGCTGGGGGCGAACATTACTGGAATATATGCAAAATACGTCGCTGGAGCGTCGCGAGTTCCTGCCACACCGAAAACACACGAGAGATACCCCATATGGTTGCGAAATAAACCGCCAAAGAAGCTTTAGTCGGTGTACGATCGTTGTTGCGTTTTTGCATATGAATATGAATGGCCTGATGGTACATCGTTATCTGATGGCCCTATCAAACGCAGCGGCGCTCAAGCAGCGTTAGTAAGTGAAGGTTAAGAGAGCCAAAAATAGCTTCCACTCAATTTTAAAAAACTTGAAGTTGGAGGCGGACGGGAACAGAGACATTTGCAAAATTCAGAGGTGGCTCAATTTTCTGTACTTCAAAGAGTTCAACGTTCAACATTTGCTCTCTTTGGTCCTGTTATTCGCAGATTCTCTCTAAACCAAACAGCTCAAAAGTCACGCTGGCCTATTCTCATCTACAGAAAACCACAGGAACAACAACCACGACCAATTGAATATCACAGTGGGGCTAATGCGCGTACGTGGCAATTATCCCGTTATCGCGAATGGAAACAAGATAGCTATGTTTGGCTTCGACCCTTTGACAATCTACTACTGCCAGGAAGTCCATCCGTAGACCTTTCTTCGGCTTGATTGAACATGCTCCCGGAAACTATGGACAGGATGGATGGAGTGCGTTCAAAACTCTCCCTTCCATCTTCACGAACGTGGCCTTAACTTGAGGTTGGATACCGCCAAATTGCAGGTCCTGATCGCTTTGTTGATAATGTCGATTTACCTTTTTTCTCCCATGACAGCAGGACTTTGAAGAACGGTATCAAATGCAGAAAGACTGAGGTCAGTCGTTCTCGATTTTTTCAAAACCATGGGCGTATTTTTTCATGAGGTCAAAACGGCTGGACGACGTGGAAAAAGTCCATCTCTTCAAATTTCTCCAGATCCAAGGGCGCTCTTGGACGTGTGTGGGTCAACATTAGTTGACCTATGCTACATATTCGCGTTCCTTCTCCGAGTAAGAGGCTGGGAAAAAGACTTGGAAGGCAATCTGCGGTGTCCAAAAGGAGGGGATGCTTGCACAATCACCTGAATTACTAACTTCAGAGTCAAGCACGCGGAGGGGGCTCTAACTCCGGTCCTCTGTTTCCTATCATACGCTGGGTATGTCCCGTCCTTGATGAAACTGTCATATCGTAGCATCTAACAGCATCATGTCTACCACAAGACTCCTTCATGGTCGGAACTGATGTCGTATAGTCATAACTCGTGGTACGTGGAAGTCTTTGTTAATCTATCGTCCATCTACACTAACCATGCTTGAGCATTGCTTGTTCGCGATTATCGATTCAATCATCCAACCATAACCGTTACCAGAAATTCCAAAAGGAGCCGACTAAATCTTGCTCAGATGTTCCTTTTCGAAATGTCAACCCACTGCATCCTATACACTCTGACTCGACCTGGTAGTCCGCAGGGCCATATCCCTTTGCCCAAGTCGCAGTCCAATTTTCGGATCATTTCATTTTTCCAGCACCAACCGACATAAGTGCGTCGAGCTAGCTCACCTGGCTTTGCTTAGGTGCTCATGTTCAGGTGGAAATAGCTGCCATTCACATACATTTGGTTTCGGTTGAAACTTCCGGATTACAAGAACTCATGGGAGCTCATGACGGATTCGGATGCGACTAATAGCAACTCTAGAGAAAAGGTATCTTATAGGGCGAGTAGATGACTGTCCCTACATCTGAATCTCTGCGGTTATAATGACAGTACCTCAACCGCAGCGCCTCTATCATCGCAGAAAAAAACAAATATTTTTGGGCCCTGTGATAAACGCAACCGAGGTACCATCCCGACGTTGTTTGAACGCCCAGTCATTAGCAAATAATGAGTCTATGAGATCGCGATAAACTTCAGCATCCTATCATTTCCATCTAATATCGGGATCAAGGTTTATAAAACCCAAACACCTGTTTCCAGGGAGGAGAGGTTGTGTAAGTCCAATTCAGGAAGTTGCTCGTGTTCATTACTCCATCCGAACCAAGGCCATCCTCCTGGGTTTGTTTCTTCGTTCAAGGAAAGTCCATATTCGCGTACCTGAATTTACGGATTGTTTGGTTACAAGTTGAACGGAGGACATCATCGGCTTGTTGGGGGTGTATTTACAGAAAATAAACATCGCTATCTTTCAACATTGAGTCGTCCGGTCTTTTTTTTTTTTTTTCGAGTCAAATTTATAGTCCGTCGGGGCGGAGCCCCATGTCAGACGTTACATCTTGGTAGACTACCTACGGCCCCTAATGCCATCCATTCCTAACGCCTTGAGATCCCCCCATGCACTGGTGGAGGCACGTCCATGGCGATCATTCCCCACCCAGCCTGAGCCCGGCACGGAAACGCCGTTTAGGGAGGCATCTAGTATGTGGGCAGGGTAGTCCTATCGTTCCGCTGGTTTTCGTAATCCGTCTGGAGGTAAGTTTCGTCTTCCAAGTACCCAATCGCGAGGATAGGTACAGTCAATGTAGGGACGTGCGTAATAGAAGTTTTGTGTGTTTGTTGTATAACGTGTGTTGCTTGTAACGGTGGTCGCATAATAGCGTGTGTGCTGTTGTGCCAGTGAGGAGTCTTGCGCTTGAGGTCCACAGACTGTGAAGCGGATAAAGAATGGGGGTGAATTGTGTGGGCGAACCCGCTGGCCGGAGCCAACTCGACTGTCTTGTCTTGAGCTGTAAAGAGACGTTCCTAGAAAGTGGGGCTATCTGTTAACCTTCCTCGGGGTCTAAGTGAGATACATCACCTATCGCGTCGCCTAGCTTTGTCCTGAATCTGCCCGTCTTCCCTACATACTTGAGCAGCTCCTTGATCTTGTCTAAGCTCGCCAGTATACCCTTGAGATCCCTCGAGTGGCGGCCTAGTGCCCGGTCCATGTCGTAGCGTTCCCCAGCATATGTCTGACACTCGAATAGGTAGTGTATGGGGCCGTCTCAACTAGTATCGATCCACGTCCGGCATCCCAGCAACTCGCATAGCGCCTGGTGACTGACTTCTTGATGCGGTGAAGGTAGCTGTTGAGTGGGATATGCCCTGTCCGGAGTTGGAAGAGCAGGCTCGACTGTGCTCTGGAGAGTGCTATGACGGTCTTTCGGTACTTGTTGAACGGGAAGGCCGTGTCGACGTGCTGAAATCTTGCGAAGCGTGGGGAGGCCGTCCACATCTTGATCCAGCTGACCTTCTGGGCCTCCGCAAATTCCTCTTTGACGGCCGATGCGCTGTATGGCAGACGTTTGCGAAGTATAGGCGGTAGTTCCTCCGAGTCATCGGGGCTTGACTCTCCTAGAAAGAAGGTGTCAAGGTCACTCAGAGGGCCCCAACCTTCAATGGGTCCTGCATGATATTCATTTGACTTCGACTTCATATCAGGTGTTTACACTGTCCAACGCAAACCAATTAAAAGGTATAAGCAGGAATAATTATCAACCCACAAGATAAAATGGTTGTTGGGAGTGGTCCGTGGATGCAAACAATTTCCCAATCATTGTTCACTTCAAGAGGCATCGGTAGTTTGGCCTTTTGACTTGTGTAAGCTGCTACAAGCGGGGAAAAGCGCAAAGGCGACAAGCGAAAAGAGCCGGGTCTAAATGTGAAAAGGTTCACTTTCTACTAACCGATAACTAAATAAAGGTCACTTCTCCGAGTCACCCTCACTTTCACACACAACGGGCGCCGACCTCGAAGCAAATCCTGGTGCGGGAACTACTTCTTACTCCCTTTATCAGTGTTGGCTGAATGGTGGAAGATGTGCACCCTCCTAGCAACTGTGGGTTTAGTTGACAATTAATTTGTTGCAGGTCGTCATCGTCCTAGTTTTACATCAGGGTTATATACTCTTCAGAGAAGCATGAAGGTTGGTGTTGAGAAAGATTGTATCTAAATATATTTTGGCTCTTCCTAGCACGGTACAATCTACCCTACGGGTAGATTGTAGGCTTTTTCGCTTTTCTGCTCACCACTTGCGGTCCACAAGCGACAAAGCGGAAAAGTAAGTAAATTGACATCTTGCTGATGTTGAAACCATACGGCTGACCATGAGCGAATGCTCTTGACCGATCAATCCCAATGGCACGTTTTGCATCCACGCGGGTGCCGCCTCTATGAAGACACATCTCCAGCGTTCATTCTTACATGGATGAAGTAATGTGCGTGTTAGGCCCCATGTGAGAGATGTGGTAATTGCAGGTGTTGAAAACGAACGTTGACGTGAGTGGGAGCCTGAGGATCCCACAACTGACATCCTTGAATAATTAGCCAGGCGCCGATGAAGAAAAAATCGTGAGGGGAAGGTCAGTTCCTTGATCATGATGGAGACTCACAAACCGAAAGACATCGTTATTTGTTGTAGTCTCCATAGTCAAGCGCATTACAGAGAGGGCTTGGTATTCCGCTGTTCACGAACGGAGGTTTGGCGCCTCGACGACAGTTTCATAAGTCGTTGATCAGGTTCACGCGTGTGCACTGACAGACGGTGGCATTGAGGTAATGGAGGGTAACGTCAAGGGGCCGGAAAATCCCGACCGCCGGTTCTCGTTGATGCCCGTATTCACATTCCTTCAAGTTGAAAACTTAGCTTCTACTTATACTCAAACACCTCCTCTGGACAAGACTCTCTTCCAGCTTTAGAACCACTGGCAGCGGTCTTTCTAAAACATATCGAGCTGCTGTCAGGGTTGGTGATTGACACTCGGGAGTGGCAGACCCAGGGTAGGTCAACCCCACCCTTGAGGCAAAAAGGATAGAAGAGCGGCGATCACATACTTATCAAACGCACCCACAGCCTTCACGCTCCGCCGCCGGCCTTTCTGCAACAGAATTTCATCTCTTATATAAAGGCCGTTTCCTCTGGTTCTCTCAGTCGAAGCTCATCGTGTCGCTGATGGCCTCATCTCTGGCCCCCTTAGAGCGTCTTTCACTTGAAATCTGGGAAAAAATCGGGTTCTATACTCTTATCTCACCGGAGACCTTTTTGGGCCCACCATCTGGATTATGTCCTCTTTCCCTTGTTTCAAGCACTATAACCGACAAACTATCCGTCACAAACAACTCGAGACTGTATGCCAGACTCTTTACCTTCAAGTTTGACACACTTGCCACCCGACGACGCCTCAGTCAGCGATGGCTCACCACGCGCTGCTTGGCAGCTGAACTGATCAAGCGATGTGAGGCCATGAAGCGTATACGCTCCAAGGATTTTCGCGTGGATGACCTCTGGACTACATATCTTATGTTCGTGCACATTCCATATTGAATTTGGGAAGTCTGACTTGCAATTTGTGCCTATCCTACAGGTTAAGCGAAAGCGATGGGAAAAACCACGCTCAATTGTTTGACTGGGCAAACCTTCACGACTACGTCGACTTTTTGATCACTCATCGAGCGCATATCAGATCACCACTAGCCTGGTATCAGGATGGCACCATCGATGCCCTGATAGTTTGGATCATGTGGATGACTACTTCAAGAGGTCAGAATCTTCGTTCTAAACATACAAATCTACTTACTTATTTGCGCCCATTTAGAACGGATAAGAAGTGAATCCCTTGACCATCGTGATCTGGTTTTCCATATCTTGCGGGGTTTCATTATCGTTGGCTTTCGAGTGAGTTATACTGGTCAGAATACGTATTTGGGTTGGAAAACTTACCGAATCTTCGAGCTTCCTACAACGTACGCACCAGATTCTTCCTTTTCAGTTCCACTGGCTTCTTCGGATGAACTGGAAACGGCTTATGGGTCCAGTCCACCCCCTGTTTCTGAGATTATGCACTACTCCCATAAGCTCAAAATAGCAGCGCCGCCAGTTACCGCTGCTGCGACACTTTCTTTCACCATACGTGCAGAGGCAGCTCAGGATGTTGCAGCTTTTCGGACGTCCACAACCCTCCCCGCCAATCGTCAAATTGCGATTTCGTTGGGTTGGACAGGACCTACACTTGAAGATATGCATTACTTTCACCATCAAAATCGCATTCAGTCCATGGACAAACCACCTTTGACCCTTGATTTTGACTTTGATGAGCCGTCTGACGACCAGAGCGACGACAGCGACCTTGACGAGGTCGTTGAATTTGCTTCTGAATCTTTTAGCACGCGATATGATTCAGACTGGTATAAGATGGTGTCTTGTTACGATCCATTGAATGGCAACCTCCCTCTGAGGGGGCCCGTTTACAAAATTGGCTCCTTGACTGGCTCGTGGGATGGCCGTTTATTAGTATGTAGTATTGCTTTATTTGATCATTTTAAATACTTCTGACGCTGATGCCACAGCTACCTGACCATCCCCGCATCGTCAATCTCTCTGCTGGAGGACAATCGAACCCGGCCGCCGTGGTAATACATAATAAACCGCTCTACTGGAAGCTCCAAGAGCACCACTGTCTGCATCCTGATGAGCCACTTCTGCCTGGATTTGACGACATGGATGGGGAAGATTTCTTGAATGCATGGCTACCCCAAGGAATCACGGTCACTCATCTCGAAGTTGGTTCCATATTTCATCTTCGGATTCGAGGCGCTGACTTGCGTCATCCAGGATGCAATCGAAGTCCAGGATCCCAGGATTTCGCAAACCTTCCGATACGAAACATTCATTCCCGGAAGCATGGCTCCATATTCGAAATCGGCGTGCGAGAAGCTTCAAACGCCCTGGATCTCAGATTCTCTCGATGAGGAGATCGCCGACGTTCCCAAAGCGGACCACGACATCGACGTAGACCTTTCCACCAACATCGACGACGACGACGTATACAGTGATACTGTGAGGTGGGTTAAACGCTGCTGTAAGGAGGTATTCATCTCATGTCAGCGGAATTAGCCATCACTCGAGCGGGGTCGCTGATATTCTGATCACGGGAGAGGTGCGTTGGATTTTTTATTGTTAAGCGCGCCACCACGAATGCCCATTTAGACTGGTGAGAGACATGCGGATGCGTGGGGTTACTACACAATGATAGGTCGGATCCGGCCTTGGGACGGATTAATCGTACTATTGCGAACTCCGGTGAGTGCTTTTACCTCTTTGGAGTCCAAAATAATTTACTCGTTGGATCGTTGAATAGATGGACCTTCACCAGCAATTTTTGGGAACATGGGTGTTCAAGGGGTACCTCCATGATCAAAATCTCGTCGGTCGGTGGCGCGAAACCTCAACCCCTGCAAATATCGTTGGTTACGAGGGAGGTTTTGTAGTTCGCAAAATAAGCGACACATAGATTGTAGTGGTGCATCTAGCAGTCGCGTTTCACTCATGCGATCCATTGCTATAACTCGGATTTCCTTTATTATTTTTTTGTGAGCATCTTTGCACCTCGGTTTTGATCTCCTTGACAGTTCGAAGGTCTCATCTACAACTCAGAAAAGGTTCACTGAGTTTCAACGTGTTCGTGGTGCCAGTGGGGATAGGGTTGACTGCTATTTTCAACACCGATTGGTCTATAAACTAACTTGCAGCGAAAATTTGTAAGAACACCCAAGCCACGTAAGTCTGAAATAGAGGCGCCTCGGAGTACTACGGACCTCCAATTTCTCTCAAGAATAATTGTTTCACAGGGCAACTTCCCTTTGCCGTGCTTTCAAGACCTGCGTGATTTATTAAGTCGACTGGAAAAATCATAACGCCGAAGAAAATTAACTTTCATCCAACACATCCTCAGTTTGAATGATAACCGCGGTTTTTATATTCCACCTCACTCCTGCCTGTCGCTTCCAGGTGCGGACCGGTTCTAGTACACGGACAAAGTGAAGAGCCTTGATAGGAAGTGACATCGCTTTTCATTTACTTATTGCTTGGCCTGTGTGATACCAGGCTTCCATTATGGGTACTTGAAAAACCAGGTTGGTAAGGTTGAGAAGGCCGCAATCCCGGATAGTAAATTTCGTCATATAAAAATGAATTGATCTCCTCCAAATCTCCTTTTAATCAGACGCTCGATTACGGATCTTCAAATCCAAACATGTAAACCGATCGAAAGATTCGACTCATTGATGCACTTTTGGACAGCACACATCCGCAACCAGGAATCGAGCCAAGAGATGAGCAGGAGGACACATGACAAGTAAGTGGCGTCAATCCTGTCAACCAAACGGACTTCGGGTAACGTACGAGTTCTCATAAGGTTATCAGACGCCATTGGGCATGCAATAGCTGAAAGAAATTAATTTCTCATTCCTATCGATCTCATAAGACTACTTCGCGGGCCTACAGCTGAAAGGAGCCAGCACCATAAAGGCCCGCCGCCTCTTGTACAACTACATCCCACAACCTCCACTCTGTCTAACTACCTCAAGCTCACGCTTGCTTTATACTATGTCAAGCAACCCAGACGTACCTCCATTCACGGGCTATGTGGAAACGACCGTCAACGCTCTCCGTTTGATCCACGCTGCTCGCCAAGGCGTTATCCCACGCATAACCCGTCGCCTCAACGACTCAGAACGTAGAACAATGATTAAGAGCGGCGCAGTCTTCGTCTTCAGCGTCGAGGAGAGCGGGATCAAGCGTTGGACTGGTAAGTGTTTATCTCAAACTATGCTGGGTAGTATATTAAACTCACCTTACTCCGTAAGACGGACTGCTTTGGTCACCGTCGCGCATTGTTGGAAACTTTTTGGCACGTTGCTTTAGCCTATATTTAATTATCGTTTGGCTAAACGCCACACTCATAGGTGTACCGCGAGATCAACGAGAGAACAAGTAGTCGCGGGAGTCACAAGAAGGCATATCCGGCCGAGGAGGCACAGGCACATAGTCTGGGTCGCAGAAATTCGCCCGACCACATGCCACTCGCGTACAAAACCTCCAGCCACGGAAGCAGCGAACAGGGGACCTTTAAAGTGGGAGGTTTAATAAAAAAGGTCAGTATCTATCGTTGTCATGCAGAGACTTACGGCTGAAGTTACGACTAGACAATCACCGTAACGATCGAGGGCTCCGACCTCCACCTCATCTCATACTACACCTCCGAAGACATCCGTTCCGGCAGATTAAAAGTACGCTGCTTCTTGGCTTTACTCACCATCACTCATCGCTCCACCAGCGGCCGTCGTCCAGGTCGGATATCATGGGCCTCTACATGCCGCCACACATATTCCGCTTGACAAACTTTCGCGTTCCACCCAAAGTTGAGATTGGGCCCGACGGAAAGCCCAGGCTCGTGTAAGTAAAACCGGGACAGCCAGATCACGCTGATATTCACGGTGGTTTTAGATGCGAGTCTGCCGGGGAGGAAGCGGAGCCAGTCGATTGTAAGGTGGAGGACGAGATGTACCCAATGCCCGCTTCCCAGACCTGGACTTCGAACACAGTGGAACAATCATTCGCTGGTAGTTCCCTTTATCCCGTCGGTTCGCGTTGGCAGGCACAGAGCGAAGCCAACACAAACTTGCGTCCCGAAGTCACATGGCCATCATCGAGCTCCACCCTTGGTTCGTCTCACAGCGGTCTACGTCGTCGAGAAGGCAACATGGGTCAAGAGGGATGGCCATCTCACCACACACAATCGCAACCCAGTCGGTGGCAAGATAGTGCAGCTGCGACATCTGGGGCGGGCCCGGGAGGTCTGTACCTCGAGCGATCGCGGGCGAGAACCAGCCACCATCCATATGAAGAGACTGTTGTCCTCCCTCGTCGGGAACACGAGGCTCTACCCAGTTTCAATCGTTACAGCAGTTCGGGGAGTCGTGAGAATGCTTCACATCGGGTGCAATGGCACCACCGAGACACTCATCACGGAAAAGAACGTCGGATGAGTCCCCATTCTCCATCATCCTTCACGTCATCGCCGACCCTTCCGTTCTCTCCACATGCGACGTACCACCCAAGCCATTTTAGTTCAGCATGGACTTCGAGCGACAGTCATGCAATGGACACACCAACGCTCCACCCCATTTCGCCCTCAGCATATGAGACCTCGTACACTTCTCCATCTTTATCCAGCCCCGAAGACTTTGGAAATGTAGAAGAGTTCACCGAAGCTTGATTAAGTGTCGCCATTGTGCACGGTTTTTGATTTCTTGATGACGCGCAGTGTTCAAGTTATTTGCAATTTCATGTATCTAATAATCCATATCACAAACACGGACACAATTTCATCGTTTTTTTCCTTGGTTCAGCGAAGCTGTCTTGGAACATCGGACACAGTCCCAAATGATCTCAGTAGAAGGTAAACAGGACGGAAAAGGCAAACTGACTTTCAACTTTCATCCCGCGCATCTCGGGCAACTGCCCCGCATCCTTTATCTCGGGCTGAGGTGAATTTTGGCTTTAAGTATGCAGCATGCTCTTCTTTCTACGTACCAGAACGACACTTAACCAACAGGTGATCGGGAAGTTCCAAAAATGAGTCATCTACACCTAACTGGTACTTTCTCTGTGTTTGATGACTGGGCTCAAGCGTCGAACCCAAGGCAACAAGGTGCAGAATTTGTGCTCGATTTCGAGAAAAAAGGCTCGTATCTTCGTGTCAACTGGCACGGAGAGGCGCTATCCTTTGGAGTCGAAATGCGAGACTGTGATAAGGAGGCATCAAATAGATTATAGAAAATAAACACGTTACTGATGGTTGTGAGGGATCGAATCGAGTATGAAGGGAAGGAGACGAGCCATGCTTCTAGCCTTCCTCTACTGTCCTCATCTTCATGAACCCCTTTCTGTTGGCATGTCCAAATTGCCGAAAAAAACACCGCTTATATGATTTCTTTCGTAGCACAACGACCAGCGCTCTAGGTTAGAGAAATTTGAGCTCATAATCGGTCTGGGACGCGATAGCGGCATACAAATATCCTGCCAAGATATGGCATTAATCATGGTGATAAATTTCTCGTAATAAAAGGAAGGACCTTCTTGTGATATATGTCGATTTTTCTCTAACTTGAAGCCGAATCTGGTCTTGTACTGTGATCACTGGTAATATAGGGTCCTTTCGACAGCCATCAAATTCAGTGCAAGAACGATGGAAAGGATGCACTGGCTCACATTCCGCATAAAAGGATGAGCGTGGGTGATAAGATAGCTGATGATCTGACGTTCACCGAGAGCATGCAGGCCAAGAAGCCAAACCTGGTCCGCAAAGATACCGTTCAGAAGGACCTCCTTCAACATGCTGTCTCGAGTCATCACACCCACGAGGTTCGGGAAGCAATACTTTCGAGAGGAAAATGGGTTGAGAACGGCGGATTGCAAGAGGCTGGCCAAAGGAAGAGGGTTTGGTAACTCTAAAAGACCTTTGTCTCCTTAGAGAATACCTGTATAGGCGTATATCCGGTAATTAGCATCAAGTGCAATGAACCCTTCTCGTCGTCTGGAGATAGTGCTAGTAAACGTAAGAAGTGGTGGCGAAGACGACGTCAGCTTAGTGGCGAAACGTGTGGGACTGAAAGGCCGTGAGGCGTGAGGCGACCTGTCGAAATAATGGGACGGTTGAATTTACAGCAGTTGTGACGCGCATACCTTGCGCTGCCTTACAAGACTGTTGTATGGTCCGTCCTCCAGCATCGTCTTTTCAGTTCGACACAGGCATCGGTAGAACATTCCAATGATTGATGCCGGATCGACCAGGAAAAAGGCTGGGCAGAAAAATAACTGTGCCAAATGATGTTAGAGATCATGAATAAAAAATATGAAGCGTCTCCCAAATCCGGTCGGCGCTCCGGATCACACTGGCAGCGGTCACGTTAAAAAGTGGACCAAACCCGAAGCAACCTCGACAAGCCCCAGCAAGGCGCAAGCAATGCAGGAGTATATCCGAGATCTGCTCGTGAGCTGCTGGAGAAGGTATCGGAAACCTCTAGATGAAGTCTGCATAGGGAATCCATTACTAAAGAAGAATGCATCAGGCCGCTGACATACCTAATACTCGCCATGAGTGAAGTGGATTTGGAGAGCCTGAACAAGCATCGTGAGCAGAAACGCACCTTTCTACTTTTCTAGATCAAATATTTCATGCGATGAAACAATCTGTCACACGATGAAAGTTATCAGCGATTATGAAGAGACGCCAAAGCTTTTACCTGAGTTTCCGCGACCAGTTTCGTGAGGTATGGAGTGCATGACTTCGGCGTAAGTTACCCCAAAGATCGTTGACGAAAACTCGCCTTGAAAGTCGGCAGTGAGGACAGATTCACAGCAGAGCTTGCAAATATGCAAACGACCCAAAGTGTTTGAAACATCATCGTGAAGGTTATCAAACACTGGCAATCGTAGATCTGAGAAAGTCTTTTTTGAATATTCTTCAATCTACCCTCACGAGGGACCCAAGCGGCCAATGTCGAGGTTGGCATGGAAAGCTCCCGATTACTTGTCTTTGAGGACGCCAGTAGTCTGTAAATTATCGTTAAAGCGAATGACAAGAACCAATCAATTGATAGCATCAACCTGAACTTTAGGAGACACGACGAGGGTTTCGACTGCAGTCTTGACAAAGCATTATGCGACTGAGGTTTATTGAGAAAGAGCAACATCGCCTGGTTTTCTTCGGTGCACAGACCTCGTTGAGGTGTCCTGTAAAATCAGGAGGCAAAAATTTGTTAGATAGCCGAGGTTAGGGTTACATAATTTACACGTGATCGTTGCGACGCGTCATTTCGCGGAAGTTCAGGCGTATTTTCAATCAGTTGTCAATCCTTTTTCTCGCACTGGTAATACAACGTGAATTCATCCACAAAACCATACCTATATGTCTGGAGGACTGTCGATTCACGCCGCTGCCCAAAATAGTTTGTTTTCTTTTTGTAACTCACATATTGGACCGGAGACAACTAAACTGTTTTTGACCACAGATCAGCTTTCTCTGCTTCGGGCGTTACTTGCGGAGGATCCAAAACTCATTAACGTACCGGACGTGGTCATTAAACTTACTTTTTTACATTGCGTAGAGCTTGACTGAACTGTTACTAATAGGATGGACGCACCGCTCTTCATTGGGCTGCCTCCTCGGGTTCCGTCGACATTACGCGATTTCTCGTTCACCAGAAAGCTGAAGTGGACAAAGCCGACGCAGGTGGATGGACCCCCCTTCACATCGCAGGTATATCTGTCTCTTTTCCCCTTGTAGAACTCTCATCATTTTTGGTAAACCCCAGTTAGCGCAGGGCATGAGGATGTTGTACAAGAGTTGATTGGTGCTGGCGCAGACGTAAATGGGTGAGATACATAACAAGATCCCCAACCTGAAATGTGTTGAAGCTTGTTCGACAGAAAGAACGACAAAGGAATAACCCCGTTGTAAGTCGTCCCAATGGCTGTCCTTGTGACACGGACAACAGCGGTCTATTTTTTCCAGGCATTACGCAGCATCGAAATCTCGTATCGATGTACGACGCCATTCTGTAAACATCACGAGTTTTTGCTTCTGATGAATTTTTCGCTTAGATTGGCAGGCTCCTGATTTCGAGGGGCGCAGATGTACGTCTATCACGACAACGTTCATGACCGAGGAGTTCTGAACCATGTAAAGATAAATGCTAAGGATAAGGCCAACCAGCTGCCGCTGTACGAATATGCCATTTATTTTTCTACCTTCTTGGAACCTCTTACCCTCATTGTTCAGACATCGCGCCGGGACAACTGGTTCTGTGGGGTTCATTCGCCTCTTGGTGGAGTCATCAACTCCTTCAAATAAGCTACGTCTCAATACGGGAGATCGCATGGGTATATCTCTCTTATCCTGTGCCCCTGCTTATCTTTGCATGCTAACCTCCTTGTGTCAAGGGAACACTCCGCTACATCTTGCGATGGACTCGGCACATGCTGAGGCCGCTGTTGTCCTCATAAACGCAGGTGCAGATCGAAGTCGGGTAGGTTCTCCACTCTTTTATTACTGGTTTCATTAATTCTCCTTTAGGAGAACCTGGATGGTGAGACAGCCGAACAAATTGAGGGGGTTGGAGGACAAGAACAGAAGCTTGCTAGGAAACATGTCGTCGAATTGTGTGGCAAACCTTGACGAGATCAGTTGTAACCTCTTAATGGACCAATTTTTACCATTTTTGATGCATCTACCGAAAGTCCAGACTTCCTTCTTTGGTCTGACAACCTGTGCCATAGGTGGGCTACTCAGGCGGGCTACTCTTTGGACTCCTCTCCCCCCAGTGGGTTATTCGAGGCCTTTGCAGCGTGGCGGCGTCTCTCGAAGACCAGACGTTTGGGTCATCTAGCCTCCCTATGCTCTTGATTGATATCGTACCCTGAAAGGTGCTAAGGTTAAACTCACATCCCCGATTTTGACGCGTTCTCGACGTTCAAAATGCAAAACTCCTGTCCGCCGGCTGGCGTAGTTTCCTCCTGACCCTTAGGTTCTTCGCCTCATGCGTATCTTTTTTGAGAGGGAACAGGATGAATCACTTTTCGAACCTGATCTGATCCTTGAGCCTGTCTCGACGTGTTGGTCAAGCTCAATTGAAGACCCACATTCGTTGAAATCCCGAACCTTCGGACGGTCCTTTGACATACGAATCCCACATGAAATCCCCAGGTCTCGTCATATTTCTGGACACAGGATTTCAATAATTTTTAGTCAACTCGGCCCGCCTTGAGCACTCAAGACCTTTGGATGCACCTGGGAATCGGATGATGAGACTCGAGAGTCATTGGTTTTCCTCCCTTACACTCACTCAAGTTCGAGTTTAGTAAGATACCATGTCCCCATCGCTAAGTGGTAGGTGGCACCTGTTACTTGTCTTGAAGCGATGCTGAGCTCTGAACTACAACAGCTAAAGCTTTAAAAGCCCAATGCCTTTGTTGTCAGGCAACAGAATAGCCGTTGGAAATTTTGCGGGAACTAGCTGCGAGGTGCTTTGTCTCCGCATATAAAAACTGTGTTCTACTTGTCTAGTGAGTCACTTCTTGCTTTCAGGTCAAGCGTTTTGTTGAAAGTATAATAAAACCTGCTCTCAAGCTACACGCTATCTCTCAAGAGATTGCCACGGGGATAGGGTCGGTTGTCATATTGTGCAAACCGAAGCGCATGCTGGTATACGTGTCTTTACTTACATCGGTGATCCTCTACAATTTTGCGCTGAATGCAAAAAAGAATCTAGGTGACTCAGTTTTGGGGAATTGGTTCGAGTTGTCTTGATTGGTCCAAGATTGGTCATGATTGATACGCGTCGGCGTCACGTGGGAGTGTCTTTTTCCAGTGGCGCCTTCCGTAGGCTCTTGACCAGCAACCACTACCTTCCCGACAATGGCGACTGTCGTTGAGCGTTCCATGTCGGCCTTCAACGATGCTTCCACAGATCAACAGCGGGCACAACGAGGACCTGTCGAAATTATCGACGTTGACCTCCTCGCTGATAACGACCAATTTACAACCACCTTTCCAAGCCAATCTCCACGTCCTCAAAGACCACCCGCACCAAAAAGGGTGAGGCGGGTGCCTCTGCCTCGACCAGCTCAAAGGCGTCAAGCGATTGCAGAGACTATCTCGATTGATGACAGTGATGATGATATCGTCGTAGAAGGGCCTACTGTGGGGAGCAGCTCTCAACAATGTAAGCAAATTTAGTTGCAAGGTTGTATGTCTCATTAACACATATCATTTTTTAGCTCAACCTCGTCGTAGTCGACTGTTCTCCCCTCCTCCCCAAGATGCGCCTCTCGTGATGATCCCTCCAATGCCCCGTATCCCACGACAATATGCGGACCAAACATCTTTGCCTATGCGACGTAGGCCTCCACCTCACCCATCTCCGCCTGTCGTACGACCTATCGAGCAACCACTCCCTTTTGAGATGCCCGCTGCTGGCCCAAGCTCTCCGTCGCGTCGACAACGACGAATGGCGCCGGTTCGCATGGATCGTCATCGTTCCCCCTACCACATGCCAGCGATGAGCCTCGGAGGTGCTCTCCTCTCTGGCGCACGTGCTCGCGCCGCACAGGAACGTTTAGATGAGCTGCAAGCTAGGACGGCGGCGCCCGGCTTCTTTCGACGTTCACTTGGCCGTTTTTTGGCGCCGCGACTTCCTCAACAAGATGAAGACGAACGGCTTGCACTTCTATGGTCCTTACAGGATGATGCAAGAGCGGAAAATTGGCGAGACCAGGTGCTACGTCTGCGGACGTTTGGAACTGGCGTGAGGACGGGCTATGAAGAGCTACAACAAAAGCCTCGAGAGGAGGAGTATAAGCCAGAGTACACGCATCCTACTCCACCGGAGCCATCATATACATTTGACTTTGCAGTACCGTCTTCGCCTCCCTCAGGTTCCAGGTCTTTTTTCCCTGCTTCATCAAGGGATGCCCCTATTATTGTTGGCGACGATGAACCAGAAACCGGACCATCATCATCCTCGAAGCAGTCAGCTCCGTCTGACCCACCAAAGATTAACGCTCTTCTTATTTGCGCTTGTTGCTTGGAGCCTTTGGTTCTCAATGCTGGTCTTTCCCCTGAAGACGCAAAGGATAGGCGTGTGTGGGGGCTAAGATGTGGACATCTCATTGACGGGAAGTGCCTTGCTGAGATAGGTCAGCCGCAGCCGGAACAAGCGCCAGCGGATGTCAAGGGGAAGAGAAAGGCAAATCCAAAATCAACTGTGGTGTTGCAACCCTACGGTGATCATGATGAAGCAGGGGCCCGGCCATCTTGTGAACACAGTAGTTCTTTGCCTCCGGAGAGTAACAGCATTCGTTCTCGGCTTCGCTCAAGGCCTCACCTCCAAATGCCCGCTCAACCACAATCCCAGCCATCTTCATCTCATGCTTCTCCTTCACCATTTTCGGTCCCTCCGCCCCCTTTACAACCCCCTAAACAGCGTAAACGCCCGGCAAAAACCACCACGGATAAGAAGCGCAGGATTGAGGATACTTTTGCGTGGCCATGCCCCATTGCTAGCTGTGGGAAACTTCACTATAGCGTCAAGGTACTTGGGGTGTGGGGTCCTGAGAAAGAAAGTTTGGTCAAGGGGTCTGAGCCACGGGGCGCTATTGCCATATTTGCGTAAACTGTTGGACGGATCGTCGGTGGGCTCCTCTGGCCGATCGATGATTGCGGTCGTCTTTTGCTTGCCTTTGACTGGTGTTCCCACCAGAGAGGCTGCGACATAGTCTTGCATGTGTCTCTGTCTACCTGTAAAATGTGCTTTTGTTGCCCGCTTTTTTGTAACTATGCTAGGGCTGAAGCTGAAGTGCTGAAGCGCTGAAGGTTGGTACAGCGTGTCAGCAGAGTCTAGATTCTAGAATTGCCCCCCTCTATCTGCAAAATTGCAAATCACGTGAAGGTTTGCAAATGACTTTCTCTAAGTCTTCAACGTTGTTCAACAATTGTACTACTCGCTGCGCTAACTACATAGCATGTACATCAACAATCCGCACCGCAAGCCCATTGATCTTGGCAGGTGGACCTTTCCCTCAGGCGTTCACTATATTTTAGCAGCTGATTTCCTTCCTAGATACGATAAACTTCTCATTCAAGGCATGCGGACCTCTGCTTTCCTCGCCAGGGATACTGACAAGTTTGGATGTACCAGTATTGCATGCCAAGAACCTTCCGTTGAGGCCTCACGTTCATATCAATGTGCAAGTCGACGACACGACGTATCACAGAACAAAGATATCCACGCAGGGTCAGAATCCCGAATGGCCTAAAGAAGAGTTCATTACGTACGTCGTTTCTCGACCTCCTCTGAACTTCTCAGCTAACAAATAATTAGGCCGTACTTTACCGACTCTCGTATTGAAGTCATCGTAGAATACGATGATGAACGTTTGGGCGAGGCACAAGCCCCGATCAGGCGTTTGTTGGGTGAAATCGCGGCCGAAAAGAGTGGGTTTTATTTTGACTTGCTCTCTTTGTTGCCGCTCCTAACTTTGGCGTTTGAAGCTTACGCTTTGAAATTGGTGCAGCCTGAACTTGACTCCGATGATCCAAATCAATACACTAGCTCAGTTACGCTGCATATGATGCCTCTGTCACCCTTTATAGCTGACTCGTTACCCCAATACCACCTTCCCCCAACTCCCTCTTCTTGTCTGTTTCTTGACGAATCTTTGCTCGCTGGACCCGTCTTCAATCCTTCTCCTCATGATAAAGCACGTATTTTATCTGCTTGGGCCACTGTGCCACCGCATGATGAACCGGGGATGACGTCTATTCGCCTGCTGGATAGCTCCCTGGTTGTTAAGTGCGGGGGGCAACATATCATCCGAGAGGCTATGGCTATAATGTATATTCGACAGCAGACGTCTATTCCAGTGCCCACGGTGCATTGGTGCTTCCAAGACGGGAGAACATCCTACCTCGTCATGGACCGAGTGAAAGGCCGTTCTCTTGATACATGCCTGTCCGAGATACCGGATCAGCACTTGAAGAATGTCGTCAGTCAGTTGGCCGGCTTCATTCAACAACTTAGGAAACTTGGTAGCCGCAAGACAATGGGATCTTGGCCATCTGGACCATACGACAATGTATTGTTTGACCCACCCCCTCTGCGAGAGTTCCATGGCATGCAAGAGTTTCAAGCGTATTGGATTTACCGTCTTGGTACATTGATGGGACTACCCGAAATTCCTTCGGCCTTGCGTGAAGTTGGAGAAAAACATGACGTTGTGTTAGCGCATGGAGATCTGGCGCCCAGGAATATTATGGTAGATGATGGAGAGATCACTGGCATAATAGATTGGGAAACTCTCGGATGGTATCCTGACTTTTGGGAACTCATGATGGCCGCGAAGGGATCGAGTCTCTCGTCCAAGTGGAAAACCGAGCTCTCCATGGTGTTCGGACAACAACCCCACTTTTCGGACCAATATGAAAGGGTGTTGTTTGACGTGTTTTTCAGGCAGTGGACTTGATCGTCATTCATCTGTTCACAATACTCCACCGTGACGTTCCAAACGAAATCATTGTTCTCATGCGTTTCCACATCACCAAATTCAATAGTGCATCCTTCGCTCGTAGGAGGTTTGCGATTCGGATCTGGCCTCAAACTCGACAGGACCCAAATCATGTGATCCAATGATTGTGTGCGCAAAATTTGTCCGGCGTTTACTTATTCTGTGCATTTATTACATCCTTTCCGATGGGACCAACTCCAACCCACGCAGGGTCGGCAAACCACGCGAAGACCGGACTCACCTGAATAAGCCCGAACTCGGGCATCGACACAGACTCCGTGATCTGATGCCTACGTAGTTTCTATGTTAAAACTCCTCTTCTCCAAGTTTTCCAGATCTTTCTTGCTCCACCTTTCGTGAGTCATCAACATCCGCTGTCGGTTTCTGACCCTCTGCTCATCTTGTATCAAATTCGAAGAACTAGCTAACTGAACACAACCACCCTCCAACGCTTCAGGCTACTCATCGATTTGCATATCATGGTCGATTATGAGAAGCTACCCAACATGGGACGTCCTCGCAACGTTATAGAACCACCAGGCATTGACCATCTCTACCCCGATCGGTCTCTCCCGCTCGCCGTTAACCTCGTGGTTTGGGAATGTCCAGGCGTTCCCCATGGTGAGCAACACTGGGCAATGGGTTGGCAGGTTGGAAGCACGGTACAGTACGGGAATGTCCCCGTTCTCCGACTACTTTCTGTAACTCGAGAGATCGGCCCTCAAGGCCCGTTTGACCATCTCACCAATTGGGGACCAAAAACTAGAACCGCTGGTGTACCCACGCAAACATATGGAGTTTTTAGACCCATCGCTACTTTGAGTTATGATCAGAGGCAGCGGCTTGAGGCGATTGCAGCAGCAGAGCCTGTCCTCAAGCCCAATGGTTGGTGGAACTGCCAGAACTGGACGGTCTCTATTTTGATCAAGGCGATCGAAGCTGGCGTATTCACTCACCAAGAAGTTTCTCAAGTTCTTAGTCAAGCGGGTTGGAGTCAGCCGTGGAGATCGTTTTGATCGATTCGGATGAAAGTTATCAATCCCTACCAAAAACCCACTTTGTTTTCCGCATGTTCATTTCTTGTAACAACACGACACGCTCCTATTCTTGCTCAGATAAACATCCCTTATGTGCCTTCGTTGCAGTCAAGCTTATCACTTTGGAGCGGCTGTCAGCAAGACAACGGGCTGAATGCTAGTGAGTGAATCAATGTAAACGATATGCACTCATCCTGACAGCGGATGTGCAGTTTTACGTTGCCATGCCCTGAGAGTGAATTCTTCGGATCTCTTGGTCTGTAAACGAATTTTAGAGAATCGAGTTCTTAAGTTGAGTCGTTGAGTACCACTCCGCGAACTTTGATTAGATCCGCGCCACTGCCTTGGACATGGCCGCGATCCACAGTGCCCCAAGCTAAGTAATGCCCCATCAACCTGTACGACGGGCACCGGAACTCAGAACAAGCTGCGCTTTGCGACAATTTGATATGTCTCACGCTTTGACCAACAGGCAACTTTAAATGAGCCCAACAATTGCTCTTCAAGCTGATCCTAGAGACAATGTTACCGTCGTGAAATAATTGTTGTTTGCGCCGCGACGGAGGCCCCGCTCATATTTATTTGTTGTACTGATAGTGCGGTCACTGACAATGAAATTAGCATAAATCACAACAATGCTGGTCAAGATACCCGACACATCTCGAAGCCCTTCCACGCTGGACCAGGCGCATCAATTGTGTTGACTTAGATACGGAGGTCGTAACGATGCGAAGACACCCGCTTTGGCCTCGTCTTACGGCTTCTTTGAAGGCCTCTATTTTGTATAAAAGGTTTGGGTTTTCTGAATATTTCGTTACCCATCACAACGATGGCTCACACAACCTATCCCACACCGGTACCCCAATTTCAAGCCGTACACTCTTTTGACCCATCTCTACCACAACCATCCGCCCACATTCAGTTGTCGATGTCTCCCTATCCACAATTGAGCGGCACACCTCAATTTGTTTTTCCAGCTCACCGTCGATATTCTTCATTTCCTCACATTTCGACCTCTTTCCCCGATCTTGCTGCTGACAGAACGGCCACGGAGCAGCCCTCGTTCAATGACCATGAGGCATCATATCAGCAGCTCAATTTCTTTGAGGGTCAGCACGGATGCGCCTTCAAAGTGGAAGATTCGCCACCGATTCTGTTCGAAGCTTCATGTGAAGTCAGCCTTGTGTCAGGGCAGACCCATGTAGATGAGGGCTACACTCAATGCCCCACCGGTTCGCAAGAACGCACCTCAGTCAAATCGTCCTCGTCGGTTTGTGGATCTAGTGACGCTGACTCCGACGCCGATTCGGAAGCTGCACCATCCCCTTTACCGAAACGGGGGAAGGCGTGTTGTGGAGCGATTCGGGGTGGCGGTAGGTGGAAAGCTCAAGATCCAGAGAGCCGTTTTGTCATTTGCAAATATGGCGAACGAGAGGGTCAGATATGCGGTGCCATCATCAAGGTGTTCCGTGGTAGACGCTCCCAGCTACAAAACCACTTGTACGAGGTTCACTGGAACGGCGATAAAACCGGCACAGCAGAATGTTTATGGGGCCCTCCGAATCACGCTTGTCCAAGCGAAGTGCCTATGAAGAAGGAGGCAATGGCGCGCCACATCCTCGACAGTCCGCATTCATTTGGTGACCGCGACGACGAACCAGCTCGCAAGATAGTTTTCAATGATTTTTTGTGCCCCTATTGCGGTAAATCCTTCTGTCGCTCCGACTCAATGTTTCGTCACGTCACATTCAACAGGTGCGGCTGGAAATAGGTTGACAATTGTTTTTGCGGACAGTTTGATTTCATGACCTCCAGATTCCTAGTCTAGTAGTTACCATACCTTACTTTGACACACACCGTAGGCTGTACCAATTTAAAGAGACTTGAAAATTTGGTTGAAAGTTCAATACCACCACCCGTTAGCATAGGTAATTGTACTAGGATTCCTTGCCTCATTCCGTGACCCGTTTTAGGAATGAAGACGTCGTCCGGAAGGTCGCGATGGAGGTTTTGGAGAATATTGGGAGAGTAAGTCTTACAGTGCCTTGCATAATGCTTTGCAGCGTGAATTTTTCAAAATTGTATTTGGCTGTATTTAAACTGGACCTGAGATGTCACAATTACGCCTATTTCGGACAGGAATCATCTCGTTGGGCCTTGGTTGTGACATCTCAGGTTCACTACAAATATGATCAAATACGATTTGAAAAAATTCGTGCTGCAAAGTATTATGCAAGACACTGTACTATCTTTTTCCAAGCGCTTACCACATCATTTACATGTGCTTGTCTCTGTCTAATTCAAGGGCTGCGAGACACCACCAGTTCCGAGTCCCCTGTTGGTTCCGCTGTCCAGCTTGTGTTCAGCTTGCATGGACTTTCTTCAATTCGATTCTGTGACGATGACCGGCGTACTTCACTTGATTCGATGTCAATATTCTCAAACCTAGAAACCCTAGAAATCGCCGGGCGCGAATATGAAAGTTGGCGAGCTCCCAAGACGAATGAATCCGAACCGGAAATATCAGATATCTAGGAGACGTCGTCCTATTTCCATGCAGAAATTTACTTGACGCGATTTGAGTTGGAGTTTGGTCAGCCCCGTCCGTGATGAAATTTGGAGCCTTCCTATGTACTTGGGTGAGCTTCTGCCTTCCGTGGACCTAGTCCTAAGTCACTGAACGAATTCAAGCTGTTTGTAGCACTTGGTGTGGATCTATGCCCACAAATCGTAATGTCACTGCCTCTGGCTTTCCGTCATGTTGATTGTTTTCGTCACTGTCGTCCACCCCTCTCGTGAGCGATGCACTCTGTGGAAGGAGAAGTATTTCGCTGCTTTCTCTACTTCAACCAATGGGGCTGGCCCTAACGAGTAAGCCCGGACGCCGATTCCAAACACCAGTTTCCTTGGACTTGCCTCTCAATATGAATGATGGAAGAGTGTGCATTCTAGCCCCGGAAGCATCATAACACCGGACCCTACATTTTGCCTTGACTCCACCCACAGAAAACCACCTTCCCTTGAAGGCCTTATTGAACCCCCGTAGGCGCAACTTTGTCAGGACCAGAAGCCCTCGAATGAAATCTGGCATGCCCTTTGTTGCGACCGCACTCCAAATGGATACATATCCTGAAATGGGTACAATCCTGATCTTCTTTGTTTGACTTGCTCATTTCCCTTCCGCATTACAGGCGACGCTGTCTGTCTGTTTCGATGGTTGTTCCACGCACTAAGAGCACTCAACCTTCTCGGATCTGCCTGTCTCAACTCCGGAAGCAAACGGCCTTGCATGTGCGTCCGTTAATCTTTCCACATGTTCAAGTTCTCCGTGCTGACTGGCCCGTACACAAGTAACGTCCTAGTCATTCCAACGCCCAAGTTGACATTGCCGAATAAGCAGCTATTATGTGGCGCTGTGACTCGCATGCAAGCCCTTAACCCTGTCGTACTAGCTGTGATTCTGATGCCTCATATCACGAAGTTGTTTTCAATGATTACCAAGTTGCCTTCCAGAACGGTTTTCTGCCCCCCTTTCAGCGTGAGCTATCTCACTGGTTTCGGTTCTTCTATCTAAAGATAGGAATTCCATTAGAATTCACGTGGCGGTGCTGGTAACAAGCTTCAACAGCGTTTCTGGCTTTCCTTTCGTTCGAGGTTGGTGATTAGTCCTTCTAGGTGAATGGACGATGACCTGGAACATTGGCTTCATGTGGTGAGTGGAAGCTTGGATTATTCCATCGAGAACCACTCCCATTGAATTGCTTATCCAGGGATACTGTCTGCGCGATAGTAATCGCACCTGAATCAAACTTGACATTGCAGGCAGAGAACCCGCTTGTCATCATACTTCATCATGCCTTCCGCTGACTATGTCCTGGGACTGCCTTCCCTGCTTGATCTCCGTACTTGACTTTGTTCACCCTTTCGGCGTCTCGCTCTAAAAGCGTCATGTTATTCTGCAAGACATTTCTGGTTTCGTTCGTCAATGTAATGCTCTGGTCAACCTGCGACCCTGTCGGCCCAAGTTCCTCCGCATCGTACTTTCTAGATGCGGGTCGGGGCTAATTGAAATGGGTCGATGGGAAGTGCGAATGCTGGTTCTGGATGTGGCGGAACCTTGTTGGAAGCCTCGCAAGAAGCAGGGCCATTCAACGAAACAATTTGAGAGGCAGTGTTGTAAGTTTTCTCAACGTGAGGTTGAGAAACGCGTCTCTTGTATGTTTTCCACAATATTTTCTCGGAAATACGTTATTGATGCCTTTTGCAAGGGAACCCACTGTACCCGCGCTACACCATGATAATCTTTGATGTTGTCTCACGCAGACAGGTACAAGTGTGCATCTTCGTCGTTTGGTAAACGCCTATTAAATGGGCACGCTTACCTTCTGCTATTTTTATGATTGTAGCTCCTCGGCACCTCGACCTCGGATAAGGATTCGAGACGTCTCTGTCACTATCCGAATTGCCTGCTGATTCCCTCGAGGCCTCTGGAAATGAGTACATTTCTTCGATCTTGGTGTTCTGTGGCGGCTGAGGCCCTGAGGGGGCAAAAGCTAGAAGTAGAACATGAATACCACGATATGCCAACAAAATATCAATTCCGACCACCATCAATGCAATCTTTCAGGGGCTTTCATGGCCCGTAGCGCTTAATCACCGCGTCGCCTCTCCAACAAGGATGTGAAGCCGAACCTTCTTGCCAAACAGGCCCAAATTCGCGCAAAGCCCTATTGAAGTTCATACCACACTCTCCCTGGTTGCTTCTTACTTCCATCTCCTTTTCATCTCCTCCTCGCTCCTTTATAACGCTCGTTACCTGCCTTTCCTTTGTTCTCTCAGAGTCTCTGCTGGGGGTTGTCGCTCTTTCACTTTCACGTCCTCTCACAGAACAGTCATGAAACACCTTCTCGCGTTGGCCACTTTGGCCTTGTCCGCAAATGCCTATTGGCTCATGGGAGTTGGTCAGTAGACAGTCTTATCGCTTATCTCACCTGAGTTTATCTTCATTTTTCCAGAGGATTTCATTACGACGGAGCGCATCGATCCTATTGTAAACCCTGGAAAGATTTCTTCTCATGTTCATTCAGGTCATTATTTGCGATTCAAGGTCGGACCATTTCTGCCCATACTGATTCTCTCCGTAGTTCTAGGTGGAAGTAATTTCAGGTTCAATACGAATACAACGTTCTTGCGCCAGAGCAAATGCACATCGATCCCTATTCCCCAAGACAAGTCCAATTATTGGTTCCCGGTAGGCGTTGATGATGGCCCTATATACCCCCTTTGCTAACGATCAAAACATAGCACCTTTATTTCCAGTGCGCCATTTGTTTGAGAATTTTTAACCCGCTGATCACCGTCTCGGGTAAGGTGGGCCAACAACAGTTTCACAAGCCTTGATGGCGGAGCTGTCATGTAAGTTCGTTGATTTTTTCATTGTCAATCACCGCTGATGGTTGCGCAGTTGTACGTGTAGAAGATACTAATCACTCAACGTTTCACGCTAATTATGGATCATAGATTACCTGTTCAGCGACACTCCGGGCAAGACGACGCCTTTCCCAGACGATGTCAGTACTCTTTTTCCCCTGTTGGGTATTTTCATGCTTAATATGAACTTTAGTTCCGCATGCTCAGCGGTGAGAGCCTTCCTACCTATCATGCTCCAAGCTTAAGTTGATATTGTGTTATGAAAGGCACACCGACTCTGAGAACTTACGATCCAACCAGCTTCGCACAACAGGCAGTCACTTTCTTATGTCTCAACTTCAATGGCCAGTCAACCAAGTGGAATCATCTCCCCACAACAAGCTGCCCTAGTGGTATACGTGCGCAGATTGTGAGTTTCTAATTTCGTAAAGGTGCCGTTAACGGTCTATCTAAATTACAATGCTAGAACTTCCCTAGTTGCTGGGACGGCAAGGTTACTCTCTTTCTTTCTGTCTTAATTACGAGTGCTGATGCTTCTAATTGATAGAATGTTGACTCCGCGGATCACAAATCGCACGTTGCATTCCTGTCTGGCGGTCCGGATAGCGGTACTTGCAGCGATCCGAAATTCCCTGTTACATTGCCACGCATTTTCATTGAGGTATGAGTTTGACGACAGATTTCTCAGTGACTCAGACAAATTTTGGCAGGTCTACTGGGGTTCGCAAAACTTTGATGCAATCCGTTCGCAAGCTAAGAATTCGACTCAGCCATTTGTGTAAGCCAATACGCATACATCATGACGCTTTAAACAACGTTGCGCAGGTACTCCTCCGGTGATCCTACGGGGTATGGCTACCATGCAGGTAAAGTCATGGCTGCCTCACCGAAACGTCTATATTGAATCATCTTCAGATTTCATTAATGGCTGGGACGCGGGCGTCCTGAAGAAGGCTGTCGACGGCTGTCACTGCAATCCCTATGGCGACGTAAGCAACGCTCGGTGTACGAGTGCTTTATAGGCCTGACTTTCATTTCGACAGCCAACATGTTGCGCAAATGCTGGGATTTTTACTCTGAATCAGGGCCAGTCCTGCCGCATCACCAAAGCCATCGATGAGCAAAGTGCGTTTCTAGCTGTTTATGCATCGCTTTCAATGGAAGCCAACCTTCCTGACAGCAACTGGAACCCTGCTCAAACTCCCGGGAAACAATCCTGTCCAACCGGAAGGCAAGACGGCTGCTGTCTACCCTGATACAAATCCCCCTGAGCTCATTTCCCCCGTGTATGCGTACACCGGGAATGCCCCGACCGCAACGGGCCAAGTTGTCGATGGTTCTGCAGCGACTGATGCGAACAACGTTGCCAAGCCTCCTGTTCCGACACTTTCTACCAGCTCTGTACCAGTGTATAGCTCTGCTTCATCAGCCAGAGCTACGTCGAAGGCAACTCCTGTTGGTCAGCCAGTTGTATCCCCAGTGGCATCTGCCGCCTCCTCTCCATACTCTAGCTCCTCCCCTGGTTCAAACCCTCCACACAAGGTCGACATTGCTTCCCCTCCATCCGACGCTTCAGGAGGTTCGACCTCATCCGAAAATAGCACGCCAGAGTACGACGAGTGTGAGGACAAGCCGAGTAGGAAACGTCCGAACTTCAAGGGAAATAAGCATCGTCGCGCTACCTTCCCCCAGGGTCGAAGTCACCTCAACTCCCGCTTTATGAACAATTAACGGTCACGTTTTCTAAGATTCTTATTCCGGTTTTGGGTTTGGGTTCTGGTGCTCCTGTTGAGGGAGATCGTGAACGTGCACGCGCCTTCTCTTCAGCCGACGAAGGCAACTGATTCTGGTCCTTATCGTGTGGCTTTCGGTTTCTCAGCATTGACATTCTTTTTTCCACCTGGGCGTTATTCTTGCTCTTTCTCCTTCACATTTATTTCTTCGCTGTCGCTTGGGGTGTTAGACACGCCCACTTCATTCTTCCTTATCCTCCTTCCAGTTGTTGGCTAGCCCAACTCCGTCAGAAAAGGTTTCAGTGGTTCAATTGTAATGTACATACTCATTCTCGGTTCTTGACGACCCCCACGTGTATATATGTCTGGAATGCAGTCGACCTGTGATAAATCCAAGTAGAGTTTGACCATTTTCGATGCACATTCCTTAGGGTCAGCGAGAGTAGATGGTTCATGAGTCACCCTTGTAAAGCATCGGCCGACTAGCTCAGTTGGTTAGAGCGTCGAGCTAATAACTCGAAGGTCTTGGGTTCGACCCCCACGTTGGCCAGAATATATTACATATAATGCTTCATTTTTTTCCGTGCTTACATAAATGGCATCCCAAATCACCGTTATCATCACGCAATCTTTTTTCAGATATTTGGGATACCGCGTTCCCCCCCTTCTTCGTCACTCCCACCATAGTGCAACAAACAACAATGTACCAATCGCTCCGTCACTAGCTGAACTGAAGTCGCCAGAACATATGGCGGAAGCACGCGCGTGGGTTGAGAAGTTCAAGGCTGTTTCTACTCTCAGAGGGGTCGGGGGCGTGGAGATGATGTTCTCGAGAAGTTCGGGGCCTGGGGGCCAAGTGCGTTCGTTTTTGACTCTGTCAATTTGCTGTCAATTGTGTCGTTGTGCTGACGCACAAGCCACTCGGTAGAATGTCAACAAGGTGAACACGAAAGCCACGCTTCGTTGCCCTACGAACGCGCCTTGGATACCTGAGTGGGCGAGGAAGGAACTGGTGAAAAGTGTGCGTTCTTTTCTATCTGGTCTGGACGACAAATGAACTCGGATTCATGTAGTCGCACTACGTCGCGTCGACGCATTCGATCTTGCTTACATCGACGGTGCACAGATCGCAGTCACAAAACGTAGAGGATTGTTTTAACAAGGTGCGTTTGCGGTTCCTACTACTGAAGACGTTACTCACATTGGCTTTGCTGCTTGTAGCTACACTCTTTGATCCTCGACGCGTCCTCCGCTCCCATCAAGAAAGAAACAACCCCCGAGCAGAAGAAGAAAGTCGAGGCACTGATTAAAGCAGATGCCGTGCGGCGGAGGGCGGAGAAAACCCACCGTAGCGATGTGAAAAAGGGCAGGAGGGGTGGGGATTGGTGTTGAACGACGTGAAGCTTCGTTGTGTGGCTTTTTTCAGAGGTACGGCCCAACTTTCCTTTTCTGGATATCTCTAACGCACCCCGGATTATTACAGCTGATCTTCAAGACACTCCGCTACATACCCGTATCATTTTTATAGCTGAACATGTGGGTGACCTAGGATCGGTGCCACTGGGTGGCAGCGGCATGCTGCCAGGGACATAGGCGACGCCCACGACTACCCGAGGAAAATCCCCCGCGCGTCTACTCAAATACAATAAAACTGACCAAAGCCAGCTCATGCTGGAACAGATTTGACTCGTTAAATATCCATTTGCGACGTTCGTCTGATTTCAGAAGCCTGCAGGTCACCCTGTCGTCGAGTAGATACCGATTGAATTGGACGCTGTTTGCTCTGGATTCTTCACCAGACTGTGGACTCAGGCTCAAAGATTGCTCAAAGGCCCCCCCGGTTTTACCACGTTTCTGCCGTTCGTCGCCGCAATTCCCCTGTGTTCTAAAAATCCTACATGAACATTGATGACAACGTGGCGCGACAGAGGATTGATTTTTAGTTTTGAGACGACGTTGGAATTTGCGCAAGCGGGGAATTGAGTGGTTTTCAAGTGGCTTTCCAAGTCGACTTTCCCAGGTCCCGGTCCCGCGGCAATCTCGGGATGTTTCCCATCACCATACGAGATCAAATATTGCGTCCCTATTTGTAAGACGATCCAACCTTCAAAAGTGTGATGCGCTGTCAATGTCATACATGTGGACCAATATGGACCTACAATTGTAATTCGGCACTTGGGCATTCTCACCACCTTTCATATCTATCTCTCAACCATCTCTACATCTCAAGCTCTTCAGGCCGTTTTTAACAGCTCCCATTTCACGTCCTACAGCTCATTGCACAACACTCGACATCGTACTACTGCTGCACGCAACCGAAAAAATCATGTCAGCAGCATGGGTGCAAGCCAACGGGTTCTTCATCAAATTCGAAGCCATTCACAGGATCGCAAAACAACACAACTTTGCATTCGACCGCCGTTTCAACGTCATCGCGCACAGTTATTTTGACGACTTCTTGGTCAGGAAGGGGAAGCTCGATATGAGGTCCGAATCCCGCATCCAGTATGACCGTCTCCTCGTCATAAGTAATATCACGCCCGTCGTTGGGCCGTTGAGGATCGCGAAAGTCGAGCCGGACGACAAGGCGCTCAGGGATAAGGAGTGGTTGGTGGGTGTCGGTTTGGACCCGGACGAGTTGGAGTGGGGCGCCATGTTGGATATGCGGAAGGGGTTGTTGGGTAACGCGGAGTTGCTCTCGCCGAGGAGGAGGTTGGCTCATAAATGGTTGGGGAGAGGGTTAAGTTGACGATACCCTAGCAAACGTTGAATTCTTTGATCGAACTTGAAGGAGGCGGAGGCGGCCGACGTCCTCAAAAAGATGTAACTTGAGAAGGAAATGTAAGAATGTCGCCAGTTGTATTATACAGAACCCAACTTTTACTTGACCCAACAGCGGCACTTGTTTAAATGACGCGTCGGGAAGCGACACGTCCAGATCCACAAATTGTGCTCAGGCTCGCGAGCCGCCAGTCGTTGGTAGACTTTATCGAGCTTAAAAGCTGTGACCAACGCTGGAGGTGAGAAAAAAAACAGGTTCAAAGCTTGTCGAGCTTATTTGAGCACGAGGATGAGTTGCTCATGTTTGGCTAGAACACGATCGAACTCAGGTCACGCACCACAACGGAACGCGTTTCAATTACATGACATTGATTCCCTTGGGTAAACATGATGGCCATACGCAAAGTAAAATTACAACTCCCCAATTTTCTTTACGCCAATTGTAACACGTTCATTTCTCCTCCAAAATTCTACCAAAATTTCAGCAAGTCTCGTCGGGTCATCCTTACAAAATAAATTTAGCCCGTACGCTCGTCGCCAACAACGCCCACGTACCTCTTGGAGCATATGCCCAACTCCAGGAACGACGACCATCTGGAACTTTCCTTGCATCTGACCGATCATAAGTTCTTTATCTAAACGATCGGTACCAGCCAAGACAAGGAGGCGCGCGGTGCGCACAGCCAGAAAGTGGGCGGACAATCCCATAAACCAGCCTGCAAGAAGAAGAGATGAGATACGTTGAGCACCAGAAGCGAAATAAAGCAAGGACGGACTTGACCAGTAAGGCGCAGTGGATCGGAGCGGAGTGCGCCATTGATATGGCTTCACGGCAGTATCGTCATGAAGAATAATGGATGGGATAGATATTCGAGCGGAATTTGCACTGCGGATGGCTTTTGTGCTTACACTGGTAAGAGTTAAAATTGTTTGGCGAGTGTACAGTCAAATGAGGCACTTACTGCCACTCGATCGCCTCTTCCATACTATCAAAGCCCTCTGGTCGAGCGTTGAGTAAGCTGTGCATGTGAGGTAGAGCCTCAATGGCCGATCCTTGTGAGGTAGTTAGTTGGACTATTCAATATTAGAATATTGGGAAATGCACCTTCTACCACGTCAAGAACCGCAACACCTCCTACCTTATATTTCTTTTCGAATAACGCGGCACAACTGTGGACGACCACAGAGCCACCCATGCTATGACCAACTAACTAATTTTTTGTCAGGACGACACTTTGGATAACAAGCTATGTACACACCAAGAGAGTTGGGGCTGTCGAGGGATCGGGGAATACAGCTTGCACTACCCCGAGGAAGTCTGCTTTGAGAATGTCGATCGACAGATCCGCATCATCCACATTAGAGGACGTCGTCTTCCCTGCCTTCAAATGAATGCAATCGGAAGTGAACGGGTCGTCGATACGCACCATGACGGCGTGCGTCCAACGAAAGGACTCCCAATTCTCCCTTTGTCACGTCCGTCACCTCCTTCGCAAAGCAAGCGAAACTCAGACCCGAATATCCCGCGCCATGGTGGCATATCATCACCGTCCCGTTCTGAGACTTCGGCGCCGTGTAATATACCCTTGAATCCAGTTGACGATGGGGTACTGCGACCTGGACAGCCTCAGCGAAGAATCCGGCCGCAGAGATGGGTGAAAAGCTTGGGTTTGGCGAACGCTTTGGTTTGGTTTGTGAGTTTCGCGATGGCCTTTAATTTGGCATTAAAAATTTGCAGACCTAGAATTCATAGTCAACGAAAATCGACTTGCATCGCTGGAGGTCCTAGGCCGCTCCCTGGTAGATTGCCGATGGTGTCGGCCCCCTCCCCTTCTTCGTCGACGTCTTCATCAGGAAATATAGTTGATGGTGGGAGCTTAGCTATCCTTGCGCTAATAGCGGAGCGATAGAGGTTTGACATGGCTGTTGAGTACAATAAGTGGAAGTCACTGAGTGGCAAGCAATCCAATCAATATCACTTGGACCAGTCCCGTGACTAATATCGTCGAGACTTCCCAAAGAAACGGCTATGCTGGTTCTTGTCGATGTACGTGTCCTACTCCTTGGATAACCATAAATACTAATGGATTTCAAACACAAAAGTACGTCTCTAACATGGCTTCAACATAGCCTTTACTATTTAGATGCACTCCGTATCGGTGTCAAGTCTTGTTTGGGGGACCGAAGTCACCGAACTATCAATTTGTTCCAGCGGACGAATCTCATAGAATGGTTATGCCATACAGGTGAGCGACGTTGTAATGATTGAGATGCATCATCCTAACACGCCGTGTGGCATGCCTCGAGGACGCCATCGGAAGGTTTGCCGATTTTGTACATGACCACCACCACCGTTCAAACGAAACACGTTTAAGACATGGCTACCCCGCTACTGCCCATTGGACAAGGAATATACATCAGCGAAGCCCATGCGAATACCCCAGGATTTGACGGAGCGTCACAGCCAACGTAAGTTGCCACTGACACGCCATGCCCCGACCTCACTCATTGAACTGGAATCACTCACAGGGTCGTTTTAATCTTCGGATGGAGTTCGTAGATATATTTCTAGCATCCTGCTCACTCTCTGCTAAAGACAAGGTTTATCAGTGGGCGCCAAGTTGCCACATCTCTTGAAATACACACAAGTTTACGATTCCATATACCCCAATGCAACGAAAGTGCTCATACGGTCAGAGCCGGGTTTTTTTTGGAGTTTTCAAAATGCACGGGTGTGTATACTGTTCATTGTTGTGCATGTTTTTTCATTGACAATTCAATTTCAGAAAGTATACCTCAAACCCGCTGTCGATTTTTTGGAAGTGCTAGGATGTATACCCCCTCTTAGAAACGCGACCAGGGTGACACAAAAAGCACCGACAGAGCAGAAGATACCCACCACTCAACCGCGTATCCTGGTGCATGCTTTCTCCAACGGTATGACCCCTAACACTTTATTGAACATTGACTAACAGAACTACTAGGTGGAGCCGCCCAACTATCGACACTGAGTGACATTTTGACTGACCGTTCAACCCCATACGCATCCGCACCTCCACTAAGCGCGGTCATCCTCGACTCGTGCCCTGGCAGGGGCGGGATCGAAGTCACCCGGCGCGCTTTTGCAACCGCCGTGCGCAACCTCATCCTGCGGTGGCTACTAGCCAACATCTACGCCGTTCTGGCGCACTGGATCTTCGGGAAGGAAGCAACAATTTTCAAGATGAGAACGACGTTGAACAAGTGCCTGCTACTTCCGTGGTTTAGTAAGCATACCCCGAGGTTGTATCTGTACTCACAGGCGGATGAGATGGTCCCGTGGACAGAGGTGGAGGAACATGCGGAGGAGGCGAGGAAAGCGGGGTTAGATGTGAGGATGGAGAGATTCGAGGGGTCACCGCATGTTGCGCATGCCAGGACTGATCCAAAGCGATACTGGGGCGCGGTGAAGAAGGTCTGGGAGGATGCGACATCATCTTCTGCGGAAGGTCTCGAGCAAGAAAGACGACTTCTTTGAGGTAGAATTTATGAGATATTTAATCACTTTGTACTCGCATATTTACCGAAAAGCATAGAAAGTTTTAGCAGTACAATCATACATACTTCGGCTTCGATGCATTTCATTCAAATTCCAGTGAAAGGCTCGACTCGGCGGATACATTTCGGTTGAGGCCGCCCCTCTTCCCTATCTTCAATGCCCGGCAGGCGAGCATCCATCGGAACCTGACCAACATCAAGACCAGAAGATGGGTCATGTGGCCAGTATGGTCCGTGAAGGAAAGGCCACGTCGGGAGGTAGCATACCTCTTCGTGCCCACAAGCTGTATTACATTTCGCCCACACGCTCCAATCCAGCCAAGCCATTAGGTCCTGTGTGCGTTTTTGCCACTGATCCATGATCCCGGTGATAGCTGTGGACCCTAACTCGAGTATTGACGTTGAAGACGATGGAGATGTTGATGCGGGTGGAATGATGTCAAGGCCGAGCTCAACCCCCTCAGCCCACATACCTACCACAACGCGACAGATCTCCTTTGACACCTCTTGTATGGAACGTAAGATCAATGATTCGGATTTTGTGAGTTTTGCCAATATACTTGGAGTGGATGAGATATAGCGGGTATGTGTGGTAGCACAATGCTCATACACGGGCAACGCCCATGAGTAGTTGGTAGAATCCGGGGTGGGCGCAGCTGTATGGAGGATATAAGGTACCAACATGGTCCTTAGTTGGCGTTGAATTTTTTTCGCATGTTCGGTTGTACTTGTGGTGTTCAAGAGGTACTGGAGGACCTCTAACCGCTCGGCGTACCGATCTACGACAACATGAATCAAAGTTCGCCAATCGACGCCGCTTCCAAGTTCTTGTCCGAAAACCTCTCGAATTCTTGTCTGGAACCTTTTTGAGTCGAGGGCAACGAGGCCTTGCAGACGATGCTCCCACCGCTCCTGGCCAAATCTCGCATCCGTAAGGCTGGGAAAGAGGTCTGTATCATAGAATGAGACCAAGCGGGTGACGTCAAGGTTGACGCGCGTCTCTCCGGGGAAGGCGTTATGCCACATCCCAGCTTCAATGACTCGGTGTTGAAGGGTGTAGGAGGCACCATCACCGGGAGGAAGCTCAGGTTCTGGCCCGGGTGGATTCGAAGGGGCAGAATGAAGCCACTTGTCCTCGTCTGGTTGGATGTTGAGGAAGGAGACGATTTCAACGCCTCTTGTGAAATCGCATAGCATGATTTCACTGGAGGGTCCCTTTTCGTCAGCGGGAATAAGTGACTAGGTCGCGGACACAGCTCACAAATCCATCTCCATTCTGCAAATCCGAGTCAGCCACAACAATTCAATTCACGAAAAAGGCGAACCGACCTCATAAACCCGTCCAACTCAAACTCCCGGCCCCAATCACACAACTTATTGATTCTCTTCCTCTCGTCCAGAGTCCGATCCAGCCTCACTTCTCCCCATATCACGATATCTTGACTGTCCAGGGGGCCGCTCTGCATCTTAGCGGCGCTGCTTCCGTCGAAATAGAGCACTTTGAGAGGGCGTGTCGCAACCAGTGTCAAGTGCCAGTAACCGGAGGCTGAGCTATTGGTGGGGTCACTTCGGCAGAAAAGGTAAGAGAGCTCTGGATCTAAGGCAGTCCATTCAGGTTCTGTAGGTACTTCTTGCTTGTAAGTGCCATGGTAAAGGAGTGTGCCAATTGGCACGGTTCCTGGAACAATATTGTGCCCTAGAAAATGTGAAAAAGAACATGTCAATCATCTCTCATGTGCATGTGTAAGAGTTTGAACGCAAGATACCGTTTCGATAGCGGGTGTTGGTCCAATGTTGCATCAACGAACCAACAGAGTCGAATACAAGGTGACTAGTCGAGTTTAAACTCGGAGAAATGTCAAAGTCCCATTCACCCAAAGTCGTAGACTTGAAAATAGGTGAAGAAAGTGTTGCCATGGGCATCTGTAACAGCACTTGGGTAATCCTGGTGAATGACAGAACCATTAATTTGCTCCAACGGACGAATCTCATTGAATGGTTATTCTCTGGGCGGGTGGGCGACGTTGTAAACGATTGAGAAGCGTCATCTTGACACGCCGTGTGACGTGCCTCGAGGACGCCAATGGAAGGTTCAATGCTCGACAGCAATAATCATCGAAGAGACTGACAATCAGAGATTTTCCTGACTGGCCAGATTGTAACCATTCCCTATCAAGGCTTGCCCATAGAGGGAACGGACATCGGTCTACTTGGCTGCATGGGCCTGAATATTGAATGGCGAAGAGACTTGGGAGAGACTCGTGGCTGTGCTCATTTTTCGGCAACCTCTTAGACCGGTGCTTAACCAACGACTTCATCCCACCGGTCAAACGACGTTCAAGACATGGCTACACCGCTGGCGCTCATTGGGAAAGGGATATACATCAGCCAACCGCATGCGAATACCTCAGGATTCGACGGAGCGTCACAGCCAACGTAAGGTGCCACGCCAAAGTCATCATGCCTCGACTTCGCTCATTGGACTGGAATCACTCACAGGGTGGTTTTAATCTTCGGATGGAGTTCGTAGATATCTCACTAGCATCCTAGTTGCTCTGACAAGGTTATTAGTGGGCGCCAAGTTGCCACATCTCCTGAAATACACACAAGTTTACGATACCATATACCCAAACGCAACGAAAGTGCTCATACGGTCAGAGCCGGGATTCTTTTGGAGTTTGCAGAGTACACGGGTGTGTCTACCGACCGTTCATTGTTGTTGCGCTGGAATGCCTTTTCATTGACATTCAATTTTTTTAGAAAGCATACCTTAAACCCGCTGTCGAAATTTTGGAAGCGTTCGGATGTATGACCCCTCTTGGAAACGCGACCAGGGAGGCGCATAAAGGACCAATAGAGCAAAAGATGCCCACCACTCAACCGCGTATCCTGGTGCATGCTTTCTCCAACGGTATGTCCCTTGACACTTCACCAAGCGTTGACTAACATAACTATTAGGCGGAGCCGCCCAACTATCTACACTAAGTGACATGTTGGCTGACCGTTCAACCCCACACGTATCCGCACCTCCACCAAGCGCGGTCATCCTCGACTCGTGCCCTGGCAAGGGCGGGCTCGAAGTCACCAGGCGCGCCTTTGCCAACGCCGTGCGCAACCCCATCCTGCGGCGGCTAACCAGTGCCTTCATCACCTTCTTCTACATCTACGTCGTTCTGGCGCACCGGCTGTTTGGGAAAAGACCAAGAATTATGAAGATGAGAACGACGCTGAACAAATACCTGCTACTTCCGTGGTTTAGTAAGCATACCCCGAGGTTGTATTTGTACTCACAGGCGGATGAGATGGTCTCGTGGACAGAGGTGGAGGCGCACGCGGAGGAGGCGAGGAAAGCGGGGTTAGATGTGAGGATGGAGAGGTTCGAGGGCTCGCCGCATGTTGCACATGCCAGGTCTGATCCGGAGCGATACTGGGACGCGGTGAAGAAGGTTTGGGAGGATGCGACATCTTCTCTTGCGGATGGTCTTGAGCAAGAAAGACTTCTGAGGTAGACCTATTAGATATTCTAGCAATTTACTTGAACATTTTATCGGAGAATACTACGTACTGCACGTCAATGAAGTTCTCTATCTAGATCTTTTGTCTATGTTTTAAGCCCGTCTCCTGGAGTTCTTCTTGGACTTGCACCTATGCGTTGGAAATCCGCTCATTTCTCTATCAACCCAAAATGACCAGTCGTCTCTAACATCTCAGTCAGAATCCGAAAGGTTCAACGCGGCGGATACATTTGGGTATCGGCCGAACGTGTAATCCCTCTTCGCCACCCTCACCGCTCAGCTGCGTCCTCGCCTCATCAACATCAGGCCCAGGAAGAGGGGGCCAATCCGGTCCATCAAGGAAAGGCCACGTCGGAAGATAACATATCTCCTCGTACCCACATTCCGGCCTACACCTCACCCACACGCTCCAATCCAGCCACGCCATCAATGCCTCTGTGCGTTCCTTCCATTGGCAAATGGTAGTTGCTGTTCCGGGATCCAGTTTTTCGGATGAAGACGAGGGTGATGTGGGAATAGTATCAAAGCCAAGCTCGACGCCTCTAGCCCACATTCCCACCACGACACGGCAAATCTCCTTGGATACCTCTTGTATTGAATGGAGGATCAATGATTCGGAGCTGGTCAGCCTCGCAGATAGACTGGGCGATGATGAGATGTAGCGAGTGTGTGTGGTAGCGCAGTGCTCGTACACTGGTACCGCCCATGAGTAATTAGTCGATTCCGGGCTGGGCGTGTACGTGTAAAGAATATGCTGGACGACCATGCTCCTTATGTGGCCTTGAACTCGCTTGACGTGTTCGGCTGTGCTTGTGGTGTTCAACAGGTAATGGAGAATTTCCAGTCGTTCGGCGTATCGGTCTACAACAACATGAATCAAGGTCGACCAATCAACACCACTTCCTGCATCGTCACTTTGTGTTAGAACCTCCTGAAGTTTCGCCTGAAAAGTCTTGGAGTCAACAGCGTTGAGCCCTTGTAAACGATGCTTCCACCTCTCCTGGCCAAATCTTGCAAACACAAGACTAGGAAAAAGGTTGGTGTCGTAGAACGAGATCAAGCGGTTGAGGTCGAGTTTGACCCGTGTCTCTCCAGGATATGTGTTATGCCATCCACCAGCCTCGATAGAACGATATTGGAGAACATAGGTAGCAGATAAACTTAAGAGATCTAGCCCAGCAGGATGTGCATCTTTGCCTGGGTCGAGATTGAGGTGAGAGACAATTTCAACGCCGTTCGCAAAATTGCAGAGCATGATTTCACTAGAAGAATCGCTTCATCAGCGGATGATACACGTCAGATCACGGTTGTAGCTCACAAGTCCATTTCCATTCTTTCATTCAAATTTCCGAGTCAGCCGCGGGATTACAACAAGAAAAAACCGCAACAAACCTCATGAATCCATCCAACCCAAACTTCCGGCCCCATTCACACAGGTCGTTAATCCTCTTCCTCTCATTCCAAGTCCACTCGGGCTTGACTTGTCCCCAAACTGTGATATCCTGGCTGTCCATGGTACCGCCTTGCATCTTAGCGGCACTGGTTCCGTCAAAATACAGGACTCTGAGCGGACGGGTGACAACGAGGGTCAAGTGCCAGCAACCAGAGTTGCCGCTTGCGGATGAGGTCCTGCAAAAAACATACGAGTGGTCTGGGTCTGTGGCAATCCAGTCGGGTTCCGTAGGAACTTCAGGCTGGTCAGTGCCATGGTAGAGGAGTGTACCGATGGGCACAGTTCCTGGTACAACTGTGTGTCCTTAATATGTTTCAACATGTCAATCATCACATATCAGTTTGAGTGCAACATACCATTTCGATAACGGGTGTTGGTCCAATGCTGCGCTAGCGAACCAACGGTGTCGAATATAAGGTGGTTGGTTGAATTTAGACTAGGGGTCGCGTTGAAATCCCATATCTCCGGCATCGTAGATTTGGAATTAGGCGGGGTAGTGGGCGCCTGGATGGGTATTTGGACACTGCTGGTCAGAGTAGCACATGATAGAATCACCAAATGACTCCAGAAGATAAGACCCATGAAATGCTTTTGTCCCCCAAATGGGTGGGTGGTTTTGGAAGACATAAGAGGTTCTTATCATCCTAGCTATCGTTCATCTACTCAGAGCGCGCAAATCGGGATCCCCGATGATAGTTCCCGTGAAATGGTAGCAGACGCCAGTCTTCCATTGTGTCGGATTCTATATGACATTATTAGCAGCCTCTCATGCGCGAGTATCCAAATCCCGCATACCTTCGATGACTCGGATAAGTAGAATCATCTCACACTTCAAACCGCCCAAACCCCATCAGTTTTTGAGAAGGCCAACTTCAAAGGCATTAGTTAGCAAATGAAGGCCTGAGAAGACTCAAGACTCACAAATCCTTTCTTTAGACGATCAACTTCTGGTCGTCATCCCTGCTAATGTGCACAGAGGTCAGTTCAATGATAGATACCTGATAAAGGGACTCTTACCGGAAGGCAATATCTTGAGACACTCGCAGCAGCAAATAAGGCTTCATTTTTTACCACCACTGCTCGCTCGAGCCTCGCGCATGGCCTGAACTGAGGTAGTTTCTGACTTGATAGTACGCACGTGAGAAAGCACGCGGTGGCGAAGGCGCCCAGGAAGAAACAACATGGAAAGAAAGCGGCTAGGGCTCAGCGAGACCAAAGCGGCACCTGAGGCTGGACGAAGAGAATTTGAAGAGAATCAAGAGATGAAGCACTAGGGAGCCCGAAAAGGAGATCTGATGACAGTTGTTCACTATCAGTCACTTTCCCGTTCTTTCCCGACGAAAGGCGGCCGAACGAACCAAATTCCGATGACGATGCATTCGTTTAAATCCACCTTTCATCTTACACATGGAAACGGCTTCTCAGAAACCAGATCTTTTCTCAGCTATTGCAGGCGTAGCATAGGTATCTCGATACTTTTCCCAAGATAACCATCCAGTGAGTAGTTCTGATCAGTATCGCGCCTTCTACTTGATATCAATCAGCTCCACAGGGGAATAAATGAGCCAGGGCAGTGAAGAAATGGCTCGGTTGACGTTGACATGTCTTCTGGTCTATACGACATTATTTTCGCTGGTGGTAAGAGCTTAGGAATAATGCTGGACCATCCGTGTTGACTCCCCCAGGTGGTACCGCAGGGTGCGTCGCAGCTGGTCGCCTTGCAAAGGCACACCCATCCTTGAGAATTCTGGTGATAATCACCCTTTTTGAGGGCTATGCGCTTGACTGAGAGTTTTTCTACGTAGATCCTTGAAGCTGGCCCGCACACTCGCGAAGTTGAAACACACATCCAGCCTGCTCGCTACGTTAGCAACCTCAGGGGGCGTGGAGAAACGGTCACCTTCCACGTCGGGAAACCAAGCAAATCTCTGAATGGGCGAGCTCCTATAGTTGCCTCTGGACGAGCCTTGGGTGGAGGTTCTAGCGTCAATGGTAAGCGTGTTCACGCTGAAACACGTAGAAATGCTCACAGAATGTTTTTAGCCATGGTGTACACTCGTGCTGCGGCTTCAGACTACGATGACTGGGAAAAAAATTATAGCAACAAAGGATGGGCCTCGAAAGATCTTATTCCTCTTCTGAAGAAGGTTTGTGTATAGATTCATTGTGATCCTGCCTTTTCTTGAATACAGCTATAGGCTGAAACATATCAACCTCGAGTAAAGGATCCGTCTGTTCATGGTAAATCAGGCCCAATCAAAGTGTCAATTGCTGTCAGTCAGGTTACCATAGCCGAGCAGTTCCTTGCCGTGTCAAAAGTCTATGACAAGGAGAGAGGACAGACCGATGACTTCAATGATTTTCGCAATGTCAACGTATACGCCGTACGTCGCTTTCCTCCTCTCCGTTTAAATGCGTCCTTTGACAAGATGGGCCCTTTCGCAGAGATGGCCAAGGTATTGTATTTATTGCCTTCGTGCCTATTGTGTCCTATGCTGAACCGGTCAAGGTACATCGATGGAGAGTCCGGTAGACGTTCCGACGTCCCTCATCACTACATCTACACCCAGGATCATAACAAGAACTTGACAATTCTGGACAGGCAGCGAGTCATTCGCGTCATCTTTAAGTACGTATAGATTGGTAAAGCACGTCTCCTTTATAATGGTGTTTTGTAGGGGAACCAAAGCAGTTGGTGTCGAGTACATCGCGGATAAGATCGTCAAAGCCAAGGGCGTGCAAGAATCATCAGTGGCTCGGGCGTCCTACCTTGTCGTCCTTTCCGCAGGAGCATTTGGATCACCAGCTATTCTGGAGAGATCAGGGATCGGAGCCAGCGAGCTGCTGAAGAAGAATAACATTAAACAAATCGTTGATCTTCCAGGAGTTGGCGAACATTACATGGGTGGGTTAATACTTCTTTTTATTGCAGGCACCGCTGGACGCTGATGTATGGTGGAGATCACAACCTAATGTTTACGCCATTCTGTGGGGCGGATGATGTGGAATCCATGGATGATATCTTCTATGGGAAACAGGACAACGTCGCAAGTGAGTATGTGGAAACACTAAGACCACAAGAAGAGGAGGTTGATTTCCTTTCCCTTGAAGCACATGCTGCGCAATGGCACGACGGAGGCAAGGGTTTGATGTCCCACAAGTACATTACTCGCCACACGCTCCGCTTTTCTGTCAATGCTCAACATGTCGCACAGTGGAACTGACGCCGGCATCAAGTTGAGACCCAACGCTGAAGAGCTTGGAGATATCGGACCTGCATTTGAGAGCAGGTGGAAGACATACTTTGCCAATGCTCCTGACAAGCCTGTCGTGATCGCGGGGACCGTGGCCTGGTAAGCTAGAGCTCGTCTAGCACCCCCTCCATCTGCTGATGATCCTTGTCAGCCTCACGTACCGGGACCTCAACCCTCCGCCAGGCAAGTACTACAGCATGCAATACTTTACAGTAAGTCTAGCGGCTGCTTCTTTCACATGGTACTTAGCTGTCATAGTGCTATCCTCTATCCACTGGGCATGTCCATATCACTGCTGGGCTAGATCCTTACGCTCCCCTTGACTTTCATCCTGGGTACCTTGACGAGTAGGTTCTTTTTTACTCTGCTCTTGGCGCAAGCTCAGTCACTGACGGGGGTTCATTCGACAGTCCGGCTGATTTAGGTGTCCTGAGATGGGCATACAAGTGGACTCGCGAGCTCGCCCGCCGCATGGATACGTTCCGTGGCGAGCTGGCAGGCGGACACCCGGAATTTCCTGCGGGGAGCAAAGCAGCGGCCAAGACCGCCACTTTAGGACCTGAATCAATCGATTCACCGAAGATCGTCTATGCAGCTGAAGACGATGCAGCTATCGATGATTACCACCGAAACAAAGGTTTGACTAGATCTCGCCATCGGTTTGTATGACGCTGAAGTCTGGTTTGGTTGCACAGTCGGGACCACGTGGCATTCTGTCAGTGAATTGGCTCATATTTCATCATGAAACTCACGTCTTTTCTTTAGATCGGTACTTGCGCAATGAAAGCGCGCGAACAGGGTGGAGTAGTTGATCCAAGGTTGAACGTCTATGGTGTTCAGAATCTCAAGGTCGCAGGTAAGAATCAGACAGGATCAAATGCTCTCGATTGATCATAGAAACCCTCTGACTCTCTACCTAGACCTCAGCATCGCACCTGACAATGTAGGAGCAAATACCTACAACACCGCCATCGCCATTGGTGAAAAGGCGGCATTGATAATTGCGGAGGACTTGTATAGGCACAAATTGTCGTCCCGTTTGTGACAATGGCAACTATTAGAACATGTTACTGATTCCAATTTTGTCATTGATCACTGAGCGGCCAATGCCAACATCTTCAATTGTATTAACCACATCTTCAGGTGCAGGCATAAACACAACTCTGGAAGTCGGACCTGCTCGGAGACTGGCGCCCAATCTTGAACAGCCCACAGTCAACGTTTTCGGGGCGGCTGGGCTCGGCCACTCATGGGATTAGGCCTCAACAAATGAACTTTTTCCGATCTCATAGTCTCGACACCAGCCGACACTGGGTTCGTAACACTCACAATTGGTGAACAACTAGATCCCGGTTAATGGCAAGAGGCGAGACTCGACTTCGACTTTTTGACCTTCAATGGAAACGCGCTCGTTATGGGCTGTAAATCGGTAATGAATTGTCCTCAGTTCTTTGTGAAGGAGAAAGTTTTCGACTCTATAGCGTGTCGCGGCTCACGGGTAAGTTATCTGCCAATTATTTATATACTATCCTTACATTGAGTATACAGATTTCCGTTTGGTCCACTCATTGACGTTTATTCTGTTTCAATATCTTTCCTGGAGCTTTCTCCTCCCTTGGAATCACCCTTTCGATCATCCCCCTCCTGGTTCCAAGATCCCTCGATAATCTCCATGGTCTCCTCATTCTACTTACACCTCTCAAATTCATCAGGTGTAATACACCGAGAAGGCTGAGGGCCTCCCTATTTAAATGTCCTCCATAGGTGCCTGGGCTTTGGAGGGTTCGGGTCAATCCTCTTCGGTATAAATTTCGGTTCTTCCAAATGAATGTTGTAGTGATCCATCCTCGAACCCCACTTCAAATCGCTTGGGTCGGCTCCAAGGCTCACCAACCATTCCTTAACTTTTAACGCCTCCTCGTCCTCGATGGCATCGGGGATTCCAGTGACCCGAGGCGGGTAGGGCCAGGGTACCTCAGTAGCGCTGACGATGATTAAAAGAAGAGGTTGGCGCTCCTCGTATGATCCGCGAGCAACAGCCGTTTTGATATCGAGCTTGTCGACCTTGGCAGAGTAATCATTGAACACCTCATGCGGGGTATTCTGTACCCCAAATCTTGTGGCGCTTGCCCTCGTACCCAAACGCATTCTTTTGGGCAACCTTGTGGGCGGTGTCAAGCGTCATAAAATATCCGGCAACTTGAGTGGTGCTCGGTGACTAATGTCATTTCCCTTCAGAACTCTCTCGACGGTGAACTGAAGATAAAGGCCTACAAATCAACTTTATCTCTGGGTGCTTTTGCGAGGCGACGACCTTCCCGTCAAGCTTATTCAACTCTTCAGAGCTCGTATTAATTTTATCACCAGCAAGGTCAGCCATCCTTGAAAATGAAGAGCTGTCTTTGTCCAAAGTCGTGACGATCTTCAAGGCTGAATGACACAACAGAGGCGAAGACAAGCTTGTCAATGGGTGGATCAAGTTGGGCAAGATAAGAGTGAGAAGATCGATGAGGGTAAGGTACTCATGTATGTATCTGGGAAGATAAGCCGTTGACCTGCCCCAACATATTTACCTCATTAATGCTGACAGGTTCCACACGCCAAATGAAATCCTTCAAGCTGGGTCTTCATCTCCTTTTCCGTGCGATTAGCGCTGGGCATGAAACCGTGAAAGAAGGGCCACAGAAGCCATATTGTCCACAGCCAACTTAACGACTCGACGTCATTTCCTCGGCTTGTTGCGGACGGCAAGCAAAGGCTCCTGGCATGGCAAATGGGAAAGCGTGGTGCTCGAGCACAACAAATCCGGTTTGATTGTTTGATTAATTTTTTTTTTTGCGTCGGTTTCGTGTAGAAAACGCACAAGTCTGAAGGGGCCCTGTTGGGATCCGCGGTAACGTGGGGCGAGGCGAAACCAACTAAAACGCCCAACACAATTGTCCTTGTGATATGTTCTTGATCTTTAGACTTTTCACAAATAAAAGGTCGCGGGCGAAGTCATTTATCCATACACAATCCTTCCATATACTAGTAGCATGTTCCTCAATCGCTCTGCTCGGCTAAATTTATTCGATCTCATTATCTTCTTACGCGAAGCTAATTAGCATCTCCTCCCTCGGAATCAACCTTTACATCGTCCTCTCCCTCCTGATTCCAAGAGCCTGGAATGATCTCCATTGTCTCCTCATTCCACTTACACCTCTCCAATTGCTCGGATCTAAGCATCGAATGTCCTGGCTTGATTGCCATCCACAGGCTGGCTGGCTTGGGAGGGTTCGGGTTGATCCTCTGCGGCGTAAATTTCGGTTCTTTCAAATCGATATCCCACCAATCTATCCTCGAACCCCACTCCAAATCAGTTACGTCGGCCCCCAGGCTCACCAACCAATCCTTTATTTCTAATGCCCCCTCGTCCTCGATCGCGTCGGGAATAGTGACTGGGGGAGGGTGGGGCCAGGGTACCGTCATTGCGCTCGTGATGATCAGGAGAAGACGTGAATTCTCTTCGTATCCACGAGCTATGGCCGCTTTTACGTCGAGCTTGTCGATCTTGGCGAAGTAATCATCGAACACCTCGTCCTGGGAGTATGGTGTACCCCAAATCTTGTGGCGTTTTCCTTCGTACTCAAACCCATTTCTCTGGGCGACCTTGTGGGCTGTATCAAGCGTCATAAGGTACCCGGCAACTTGAGTACTACTCCTTGTAACGGAGACTAATATCACTTCCTCAACACTGTGGAAGCGAACGATTGCTAAGAGCTTACCAGTATACCCCCCGAATTGCATCGTCTCCGGTAAATTGGGATTGTAGATGGAATGGTCCAAAGTTGTGACAAGCTCCTCTTGAGTTGCGTCAACCTCCTCATCCGCGACAACCTCTTCGAGCATGCTCGTATCCAATTCTTCCAAGTTCGTATTCTTCAACGCATCAGCAAGAACGTCCATTGTCGAAAATTAAGAGCTAGCTTCTTTAGTTAAACGCTAATTATGACGTTTACTAAGATAACTCACCAGAGGCAAGGACAAGTTTTCCTGGGGGTGGATCAGGTCAGACAAGACATGGGTGAGAACATCGATGAGCGTATGGTATATATGTCTGTATCTTGGGAGATCAGCCTGTCAACCCCCAAATATGTACCTCCTTAATGCCGAGAGGTTCTACATGCCGAATGAAGCTGGGTCTCGATCCGACTTCAAGTTGTCTCCTTAGCGCTGGGCTTGCAATTTGGAAAGGAAACTATCCACCTATACCGCGCTAGATTGATCATAATCCCCGCAACGACACGATGAATATCCAACGACGCGTCCATTTTTCGTAGTCAACGCCTGAGCGCGACGATGGGACATGTAAAAAATGGTGCTTCGTCCCCTAATTCGACGTATGGAGTCGCGTGGTCAGATAGAATCTTGCTAGCGTGGAAAAGGTCAGTTTCTAGGCCGACCTAGCATGGAGGCGACTAGTAAGTTTGTTTTCATTCTGAAAAAAGTTCCTCACTGAGTCCCGACCTGAAAAGCCTCCTCTTCCAATGAGGTACGGAGAGCATGCAGGCTATGCATACTAGGGCGCTCAATCAGAGTTATGCATTAGCTAGAGAAAAGCGCGAAGAAAGACCTTGAAGACATGGCTGTGGACCGGGGTTGGATGGGTTACAATTTACAAAGTCCGTACATATTGTTTAGGCCCTGCTCGAATGTCGACACTCAACGGCTTGCACAGGTGTGGTTGGGAGTATTCAGCCTTTCATGAATGGGAAGGCTATCTCATGATTGATGACTCTCTCTTCAAGTTCGTGACGATCAATTGGCAATTGCATTGGCTGAGTTTCATTTGGCACGTGATGTCGTTTCCTTCGCGCCTTGCCAAACAATGACAATCTTGGAGCAGGAGGCTTTTGATAAAACAGGTCCAGTGGGACGTGTTTTGTTCGTATTTTCAGTTGTGGACGTCAAGTAAAATTTTCGGAATGAATTGGGACTGAATGACAGTCACCTTGATGGAGTCTCCTCATCCGCATCACTATAAATAATATCGAGTGCATTCCACTTTCCCTTTACCACATACCTCCTCCACCATCTCTCCCTCCTATATAATTTTTACGGCAATGTGCAGATTGTCGAGGTTGAGAGTTTTAAAATCCGTGCGGGGCGGTTTGCTTCTCTGAGGAGTGAGCAAGGGGTTAGTTATTAGTTACCCTTGCCAGGTTATCCCACAAGAAACATCGACCCTAATATATATAGAGATTCAAGCCCATTCATTGACATCAGTGATAATTACACGAAGCGGTGGTTCAGACTCATCGCGAGGGAGCACAGTTGCGGATTTGAGGTCGAGTTTTGAGAAAGTCGTCGAAAATCTCGTGATACTGATGTCGACGGTCTAAGTTATGTAAACCCTTCTTCTGGCAGATAATTACCGTCAGGAAGGCTCGCTTGAACGGAAAGAGAAAAAACCACAGCCTAGAGAAGTCCAGAAATTGGCGGGGTCACGACTTTTCAATGGAAAGTCTGATCAGACTCGGCGCTCTCAAATTTCTTTAACGTCTTTCAAAGCTGCGTTCGATGCAATACCTATGAGTGCACATCAAAGTAGATGCTCAAAATCTAGGTGATATGCTCGCCATTCAGGCCACATGTCCTGGCCAGATAAGCACATTATGTCCTTAGGAGGAATTCAATAAATTTCGTTAGATCTCCCATGGACTCAGGCCTCATTTTTCATATATTCTAGAAAAATTGTCAAGTGGAACCCAATACCAAGATTGAGCGAATCACCTTTCTCTTTGCATTCGATTACATTGATTTCTTGGTGCAAAAGTCAAAACCAATCGTCGTCACCATTATTGTCACCGCGTCTTCCCTTCTTCACATCACTGTGATGATCTTTCTCGGCTCTTCGACGCGCCTTTTCCAACTTGACCAGTTCTTCCACTTTCTTCTTTTGCTCTGGGGAAGGAGTTTTTTTGATTGGGACAGACGAGGCGTCGATAATGATGGAGTGTAGCTTTCGGTCCTAGTCAATATCGCGGCCTATATTACACTTTTTTCAATGAAGTACCTTTGAAAAACAATCGTCCGCGTTCTGCGATTGTAATTCGTATACAGTCGAGGTGAGCAGGATGGAATGTGACGAGGCGACATAGTGCGGCTATTGGAGCAGTTCAGCACAGATTGGGCCTGATCAGATGAAGGTAACGAGTACGTTCTTCTCTAGATACTCTCTAGCCCAGACAGGAATCCATGGCGCGTTGACGGAGCAGTGAAGGGTTGCCTTTAGGTTCGCCTTGTTGATATGCTGCACTGGATTTAATCGTCATCGTCCCACACAAAAAGCGGCGTGCATACCTGGTTCAGACCACCCGACCCAGATATCTTCGAGAACGAGATGTCCACACCACCAGCACCTTTGAGAGTCGGAACCTGCTTGAAGTTTTCTACCCATGTGCGCGCCTCCGCCATGTGTTCGGGAGAGTGAAGTTTCGTAAGTGGGGGCACATTCGGTAGGTAGTTGTTGGTTGCTCCATGATGGGAGTGACGCAGATGAGATGTCGAGAGCAAAGCACTGACATTTCTAAAATGTTGGTTTTCGGACGTAACATACAAGGGGGAGATCGCGCGGAAGAAGCGGGGATACATAAGGGATGTAAGAAAATGTTTTCAAAAATTCAATGAGAAGTTCAGCTTGTCTGGCCAACGTGGGGATCGAACCCAAGACCTTCGCGTTATTAGCACGACGCTCTAACCAGCTGAGCTAGTCGGCCGATGCACTTTTAAATATTTGATATATAGATTACCTACCTTAGTACTAGTAGTATATGCTTGCTAGGCTTTCTCAGTGTGTTGTACAGTAGTATCCAAGTAGTATCAAAAATAATCCCGGTGCCGTTGCATACTTAACATCCTTTACATATCAAAAGGCTCCACTCGACGAAGACATATAGGTTGCGGTCGGAGCACATACTCATCATCATCCAATCTGCGCTCTGGATCATTCATGTTCTCCATCTCCAAACGACGGAAATTTCGCCTTTGCCGTCGCTCAAAAAATGGCCATGTGGGCATGTAACAGAACTCCTCGTACTCGCAGGCAGGCCTACATGTAGCCCACACACCCCAATCTAGCCATTCCATCAAGTAGTCTGTTTGCTCTTGCCATCGGTGTACCGCGCTCATAACAGACCCCAACGCTGGCAGGGAGGGGGCACTCTGAGAGGGCAGTATGATATCCAGTCCCAATTCGACGCCCTCAGCCCACATCCCGGCGACAACGCGGCAGATCTCTTTTGACACGCCCTGGATAGAACTCAGGAGCAACTGCTCGGATTGCGTTAATTTGGCAGATACCCGTAAATTCGAAGCAATAAATCGTGTGTGCGTCGTAGCGCAATATTCATAGACCGGCGATGCCCAAGCGCGGTTTTTCGATGCGGAGCTAGGCGTAGAAGTGTAGAGGATATACGGCACTAGCATACCCCTCAACTGACCTACAGCTGCTTTGGCGTCTTCCTCCCCGGTCGCGCTTTTCAGAAGGTATCGAAGGACATCCAAGCGCTCCGCGTACCGATCTATAATAGTCTGGATCAGAGTCTGCCAATCAACTCCGCTCCCTTCGCCGTCATGTTGTTCAATAATTTCGCGAAGTCTCGCCCTAAAAGCCGCCAGATCCGGAGCATCGAGCCCTTTTAAACGATGTTCCCATCGCTCTTGGCCGACTCTTAACGCTGCCAAGCTTGGAAAGCGCTCAGAATCATAGAATGATACGAGGCGGGTTGGGTCGAGGTGAAGGCGCCTATCACCTGGGTAACTATTATGCCAAGTACCAGCCTCTATAGCGCGCTGGAGTACATGCATTTTATCCGGCGAAGATCGGATGTCAGCTGCAGAAGGTGGTGGGGGCGAGGAGGTCTTGGGTTTTTTAGGATGGGGATATGTCATCTTGTGGTCGCCTTTAACGAGATTAAGAAAAGAGACCATCTCTATCCCGTCGCTAAGGTCACAGATCATTATTTCGCTGGTGGTTGGGTTTCAGTGAGGAAATAAGTCATTAGATTTATCAGGCAACGTACAAGTCCATCTCCATTCTTCAAACAGATATTTCATTAGTTACACGGGGGCCAATAATTTGAAGTACACACCTGACGAAACCATCCAAACCAAGTTCCTTCCCCCATTTACATAGCTCGTCAATCCTCTTCCTCTCCTGAAAAGTCCATTCGGGTTTAATCTCTCCCCAAAGCAGGATATCCTGACTGTCCATCGGGCCTCCCTCCATGTTCGCCGCACTACTACCGTCAAAATATAGCACTTTGAGAGGGCGCGTAGTAGCAAGCGTAAGATGCCAGCATCCCGCCGGTTTCTGATCGGTATCCGCACGAGTCTGAGCACCTGTCGGCTCGGTTTGACAGAACATGTAAGAGTGTTCTGGATCCATGGCGATCCAACCTGGCTTCGAGGGTACTTCGCGCTTATAAGTCCCGTGATAAAGGAGTGTGCCCACTGGAACCGTGCTGAGCACAATGGTATGGCCTAGAAGACCGTGAGCTTCCCAGTTTGAATCGACAGCGTGCCTATGACAATACCATTTCGATAACGGGTGTTTCCCCAGTGCTGGAACAAATTGCTGACGGTATCGAAGACGAGGTGGTTCGTTGTGTTTAAATCTGGTCCTACGTCGAAATCCCACGCTAAAGTTTGAGTTGAGGTTGTGGAGGACGTGTGGGGAGTTTCTTGGGCGCCAATGGCGAGAATAGCCCAGAATAAGAATTCGTTTCTAGACCAGCGAAGGAGGCGCATGACGTGAAGATGGATGATCTTGGGAGAGATTAGTTTCTTTGTCGCATGTGCTCCTGCAAACTCTTCCCCAGGCGCCCTGCAACTGCGTCGTGACGCCACTGCCATCAAGCAGCCACGGACCGATTCGGCAGCTTTGTGTGAGCGCTTAAGTCACTGCATTAGAGGCCTGTGAAAAGCTTCACTGCCGAAAGTTCACTGCAATGGTCAGCAAGTTTAAATTTTTGACTAATGCGAGCAAGAGTCTGATCGCCAACCTGATGCCTTTTTTCGCGAACCTCGAAGAAAGGTGACTGGGCGGAACCTACACAACAATTTTCTGTGCATGTCGCAAAGGGCTTTGGCGGAATCAATATGGACCATTCGCTTCGTCGCGATGGTTTGGAGCAAGGTAGGTTTATACCAAACACCAACAATCGGTGGTGTGCCAAACGGTCTCAAAAAATTGATGATTGAAGCTTGAATACAACTTCCATATATATCTCCTCGATTATATCCCTTCATTTTTCTACTTTTTTTTATATTAGTGTGTTTTCGCTGTAGGATGGGATCAATTTAATTTTCTGTCCGACGTGCCCCTTCATAGCCAGGTCAATATCAATCTTTGAATGGGAAATATTTCCTTGCGTTTCTGACACGGAAGTCAAACGTCTCCATTGCAGCAACTCAGTCAAACCCCCCACTTTGCATTGATTCCAGAACCAGCCACATCAGTAAGATGGCAAAATAGATTCCAGGTTTTACTGGTTTTGGAAGTTGCCGGGGTGTCCAGAAACCTAAAAAGGAATAGTCTAAGGGTCTCACCGGTCAGGGACTAGTGAACGTGTACATCTTACGCTATTTGGGCGGCGGGTTTCCAACAAAGGACACATAGGTTGCCAAGTTTCAATATTTTTCAATGTTTCGAGGTTTTTAGTGGTTTTCGGAGGTTGCCAGGGTTGAGAAACCCGTGGAAACTGATTTGCTCAATTACTGATGCATCCACGCATCTTTCGACAAATTTCGCCCTTCTCTCGTGGGGGAACACACTCCCATGACCAGCAAAAATCCATCATTACCGCCGTCCCAGGAAAAGTCGAAGACAACAACGTCTTCGAAAATGTCTGCCAGTCACCAGGAACAAACTCTGGCAAAGTCCCATTCTCCTTCTTCCACGCATTCACATGGGGCTCAGAATGTCTGCCTGCATAAAACTCCAACCTCGCCCAGTGAATGATAGTAGGCGGCGCCCAATCCTGAGGGAAAATACCTCTAACTCCATCGACCTCGTCCCAGATCTTGTCAAGAAGCATGTCGTGGTACTTGATATATTGTTTGAGGAGTGGAAGCTTGACTTGTTTGCTAGTCCATATCTCGCACAACATACTACGTCTCCATATCAGCTGTGAGATTGGGAAGATGATTGACTTCGGCACATGTTTGTAGTGTTCCCATTTTTGTTCGTGAAGCGGCTCGAAGATATTTTTACTGACGATTGGGAGAGTTACGCCCTCGGGTTCTTCAATCGCGAATTGAATCTGAGCAATATGCTTTAGAGTTTCCGTGCTTGGAATGGATTCCGGCCAGAGAGGATTAGACCGGGTGACGGGTGAATTGCGGATGGTGGTCATGGTCGGTTTGATCTGTTTGGCAACATTTGACATGCAGAATTTCGCGACTCGTTTCTGCTGACTCGAATTTATCTAGAGGGATGCTGCCAAGTAAAAGTAGGGTGTTCGATGGATTTGTTCCTGCTGTTTGTCATTGTAAATATTTATTAGGGGCCAGCGGGGACGTCGACGTCGCGGACTACATTAAAACAGTTTCCAAACTAGCGAGAAAGTGCTTTCAAGCTTCATTTAATATGTTGATATGAATACAAGTAGTGGTTTAGACATGGCGTGTAGATGTACGTCGTTATTTATCGTCATAATTTATTGGTCAAAGGATATCGGATCCCTGCCTCAAAAGCGTTGGCAACCTGCGCGCCCAAGCGCCAAACTCCGTGGCCCCGATCCGCTGTGAGTCGTCTTCGGGATCAGAGAGAATGCAGAACACCCGGGTGACAAGAAATTCTGCAACCTCTAAATTCATTCCCGTGAAGCGATGCATGAAGAACTCGATGGGTTTATTGAGGAACACTTCAAACCTCGGGCAGGCGCCCTCAGCCGGGTCATTCCATGGGGCACAGTGGTATATCCTAAGAAAGCAGGGTTACTATTTTTTCGCTTGAATAAGTGAATTAAAAAAATACTTACATATTGAGCAAGACGATACCCAAGGACCAGATGTCTGCTCCACGCGGGCAGTAAGATGAAGCCATGTTGTTCCTGCATTCTGAAAGAGATAATAAACGTTCAGTTGTGAACGCTAATCGTCAGAAAGCTAAATATGACGAACCATAGCTCATATACGGCCTACTTCCCACATCTGACATTGTCGAGACCACTTCTGTGGTGGAGAGTCCAAAGTCCATCAACTTTACCACAATTTTGCATTTCTTTTTCCCACTCGTTGTCGTCGTCCAGCATGGTGTAACCATAAAATTCTCAGGTTTAATGTCCCGATGAAAGACTTTGTGCGCATGGCACGCCTCAACCGCATCACACATCTGAGAGAACATTGAAGAAAGGAGATGAAGACGCCTTCGTGAGAGCAAAACATTAACGTCGGGATTTTCGATTGGAGTGAAGTCAACACTGCAATCGCAATTTTTGTCGAGAAAGTCGAACAAATCGTATCCAGGAACATATTCCATAAGAAGGAGCAGGGATGACGGCGTGCTGAGGACGCGGTAAAGGGTGACGATGTTTGGATGGAAAGGTAGAAGATTTTGGTTCGTAACCTAGACAATGAATGAGATATGCGATCGTGCGTGTTTTTCTGTGAGTCGTACCTCCGCCATTTGTGCATCTACTGCCACCCCGTCTATTTCATCTTTGGCCAAACACTTCAACGCGTAATGACGCCGGCGAACGGGCTCAGCGACGTGGCGGTTTGCAGCTGGCTTGACGTTTTCTCGCACTAAATAAACCGTTGCGTAGGACCCAAATCCAAGCCGCTTGACCACCTCAAAAGTTTTTGCAGGTTGTGGTAGGCCGTTGGCTGATGACCCGGCGCAAACAAAGTCGATGGGCGAACCATTCAACGTGAGGCACTGCCCTACTTGGTCTCCAGGAACCAGTAATTCGGTCATGGGACTCATCAACTCCTCGTCGTACGGCGGGGAGCAGGAATCCAGAGGGGCGGCGGCAGGTGGATCAGCAATTGGGGAAAGCGTTGGAGGCATGTGGTTTGAGATGGTGTTCAGCGAAACAAGAATCGTGTGAAGTGGTAGAGCAATGAATGAGCATGAGAGAGCTGCTGAAGTTGGGGACCGTGAATTAATTTAGATAGAAGGAACGTTGTTCATAGCGGAATAGTGTACTTGGGGAACAAGAGACAAGAGGCCACTTCATCCAAGCCTTATAAAGTATCCTCAAATCGGGCTTTGTGGGACCACGAGCCGCATACAAACAAAAGACTGCGAGAAGCGCTGGCAGTGGCACAGCCCAAAGATCATTCTAGCTGGGTCTTGACACTGCCACTGACTGGTTTTCAACAACAACATTTGGGGTGATGGTGAGTTACAAGGATCGTGATGACAAGGACTATTATTGTCTTACCGTAGTGACGCCAAATGACAACGTTTTCTGAACAAAAAACCTTCTGGGGACCAATAACGAACGATATGAGAACTGTGGCTCCCAATCAAAGGAAGGTTGAGATTTGCTGTCCAAAAGCGGCGGTCAAGTTTGAAGTGGCGCTCCTGAACCAAGCACGTTTGCCTGATTGAGGAGGAATATTGCGTCAGTCGATTTCTTGAAAAAAAAAAAAATCAAATTACAATATTACGAGTTTGTTCACAAATCATCTTGTCTTGTTCAGATCTGCCGTAGGACATGGTAGGATGATCAGGTCGTGTTCAAATTTATGGAGGGCGGGAGGAGGTTGTGGTATGATTGGTTGTGGGCTGATTGGATAAGCCAGGATAAGCCGAGGCCAGCCCTAAACAGGTATCATCAAAAATCTTAAAAAAAATTTCTATCCTCCGTCCACAATGCTGCACACACTCGTCGTCGTCAACCCTCTATCAGTCACTGATGTGCTTGGTCACTAGCTGAACAGCTTTTGAAGGCGTTATCATTGCTTTGTTTTGTGAGTTCAAAAGTCCTTTTTACTTCGTCGAAGCGATGAAAATTTCCAACTCTTTTTTGAGTGTCGATTGTCGTACCTAGACATCGACGCGATGTATTCTTTTTTGTCATAGTTACACTGATCGGTTTTCTGGTTATCTTACTACCTCAGAATACCCAGCTAACGATCCTCTTTTAGCACGAAAAGAACATGTATTCTTCCACCGACTCGTGGAGGGAATAGTTGTCAATGGTGAGCTACCCCCTCATGTTTTTTGCCATTCAACTCTGGGTTGTTTCTTTACGATGATTCAAAAGCATTCAAACTAGAGTATCTGAGTGCCATAGGCCCAATGCTTTCATCATACACTTCATCTGACTTCCTTTCTTTGAAATATACTCAACGAGACCGTCCACTGACTGCTTTCTTCCATTTTATCTCAGATTGACTTTCGTTGAACGATCTCCACCCGCCGCCAGTCATAGTTTTCTTGTCTTGCATGGTGAGACCATTCCCATACATTTTTTCTGATGATACAATGGAGTTACCGCCTGACGAGGCCTCATTGGCCTCGCCTGACGACAAATCCAAGGCTGTATTTTTTAAAATATACTGATCTCTTCTCGTCGTTTCTTTTGGCACGCTCACTAACAAACATCCTCCCAGGTATTCCGCAACATGATTAGAAGACACGCCTTAAACCGTCAACGTTCTCGACCTCAATGGTGAGCCCATTCACCTACCCCCTCCCTAAATGATGTTTTATCACGACGGTCTTCGTATTACGCTGCCGAAAATGCCCGCCACAGCTCAAAACTTCGGGCACCCCCATCTGATCCTTCTATTTGCTCTTACGACCTTTTCTTTCGTATTCTGATGGCTCCCCTTGTCAGACGCTTTTATCGCCGTAAATTGGTTTCGACGACGAACCCTCGACGTTGTCAATGCGATGAACGATAATGGTAAGCCTCTTCTCTCCTTTGGATATCTACCCCCTTCCCCCTCCTCTCACGATGAAACGTGTTCAAAAAAATATCAACTAGAAGCTGTTTCTGAGCTTACGCTGTGATTGGATCACTTGCCACTGATTCTCCTTTCATCTTCTACACATCAAGCTCGATGTTAACGAATGTTTGCTTTCAGCTGACCTATCATTGAATGAATATACGAAATTTGCGTTCTCTGGCCGATGCGACACCTTACGACCCTCAACCTAAGGTGGATTTGCCGCAGGCCCATCCCATGCGATTTGCCATGTTTGTTTCTGACGCCTACCGCTTCACTTTCGGGGGAGTTGCGAAAATGATTGGGCACATTCACGAGAACAGGGAGATTGGGTAGTTGTGGGGTTGGCTTGGGTTCTGGTGGTCTGGGTGTCAGGAATAATCTTGTCGCTCATAGCCATGAGCTACGAGGAAAAGTAGGGAACAGGTGTTTTAGTAGGTCCATACGAATGGCTGATACAATGCTTCCCAACACCAAAGAGTGACCTCCACGTGCTGAGTGAATTGTGACGCGACGTAGGTGGCGCACTTCTCTTGACTCCAAACCTCCAAGACACAAAGGGTGAGCGTCGATACACATCTGAAGTAGTGGCGAGGGAACTAACGACAGTCCAGATAAATATCGAGGCGCACCCCACTTCTGAGAATGTCAAAGCAAGGGACTAGAACCATACTTGGGCGCGACGCCTTCTTCCAATTAAATAAAATATAGAATTCACTTCAACGTCAACCTAATCATAGCATGTAGGCCGCAGTGGGTAAGTGGAATTCTAGACTCTTATGTCGTCGTACTGCAATCGTTTTGATTCCAGATGTCTTTCGCAGCGAAAATGTGTGCCTCGGACATGTTCAATAAACCAAGTTCCCGTGCCGTTGCACGAAATGGTTTTGTTGATAGAAAGGACGATTGTGGCTTACCATCCTCTGATGGGTTTCACTACCCTTGGTTGTTATAAATGCTGCACGGATGGCAATCCAAGAGCACCTCATGGTGGGGTCGTTTCTCTTGATAGCCTCCTCTTACGTTTTACAATGTTTACAGACTTGTATGAGCTTGTCGATGGGCCATCCATGATGGTTCGACTGCGCTGTCGCTTCCTTTCCACTCCTCTTCCGAGTGGTGTGAGGTGTTGTGAGGCATGTCATCTCATCTCTCCTAAGCGGGTGTTCTCACGTTCTCTTTAGCTCGAAACCAGGCCAAACTTGGTTGACATATACCGACCTGTCAAGGCCTTGTGCGCTGCAAACCTGCTGAAGTAACCCTTCTTCTTGAACAAGAAGCACCACGACGTGAACGGTCCCTCCCCGTTAACTATCTAATATTCCGTCAATTCTCGTATAACGCTACCGAAACTTCCCGCCACAGCTCGAAACTTCCATCTGAATTGTCAGTGGCCGTTCCATCCTGTTCTGACGCCTATCTTTGCCAGAGCCTTGAATTGCCAAGGATTGGTGTCGAAAACACGTACGCTCTGCGCCAATGGAGTCTCCACCATCATTATAAGAGTAAGCATACATATAAACATTCATCCCTTTTGGCGAAACGTATTCAGAGAAGGCTCAGCGAAAAGCTATTTCTGGGCTTCGGCCGTGATTGAATCACTTGCCACTGATTTTCCCTCCTTTTCTTTTGACCAAGATTAATGCTAACACATGTTGGCTATAGTCAACATCATGTTCCTTAAATAGCGCAGTTCAGCGCTAGCTTTGAAAAGATACATATATTTTGTATCTTTTCTCCTCCATACTCTGAATGCAATCCTTCATCCATGACTGTCGTGGAGGATTTATCCTTCATCCTGTCTACGACCCCTATATTGAACAGCATCCATTCACCGAGCCCACTTCCAAGTTCTCACTTCGCCAGATCTTCGGAGCTGTTTCATTCCCGAACGATGGATCTCGCCAATGATTGAAGAAGCACTAGTAAGCACTGGCTGAGCTCAGTGCCGTTATCAGGTACAATCTTCATCGATACGCCCATCACTTCCTCAGCGTCCTCGTACTTACCACGTTTTTGTCGACATCTGTTGATTCTGTTCCATTCTGTTTGGCCAAAGAAGGCAAGACTTCGACACACCAGAATATGCCTCCCTGCAATATGTATGGTACCTCATTTTCACTGCCAACGAACGGCCTGGCCGCCTGTGCACCTGCTCAGCCCCCTGATACCAGTGATTTACGGACTACGGCCGAGGATCATCTGATTATCCGATTTTGCGATGCCCCTAAATTCTACTTAAAAGGCTTCACTACCAGCAATTCTTATCCTCCGATCCTCCCGACATCCCATTCTTTCTACGCATAACAAACCATCTAACGCCACTCGACCAAGATGACTCAATACTGGGAGCCAGGTACACAATACAACTACGATGATGTTGTTGAGTATGAGGGTACGTCTACATCTCTCTATTCTCCAATCGTTGCCCACAACGTTATCCTCCAGGCAGCCGATACAAGATCATCCAGCCCCATCGCTCCCAGGTAGGAAGTATTGCCCTATTAAACACCAAATCATCGTAACCCGCATGTTCCATAGTCGGATTGGACTCCACCCGCTACCCCCGCTCTCTGGGGCCGATTGAGCGACGGCGATAACTGTTGCCAGCAGAAGTCTGAATGCCAACAGCCCCAACAATATCAACAATCTTCAGGCGGCGATCAATACTCCAACAACCAGGGTGGGTTCATGAAACATTGACGACAACGTCGATTGCACTCATAATCTTACCCAGGAGAGGAGAAGAAGGGCTGGCTTCAAGACGAAAAGCACAAGAAGGAGCTTGAGGTGGGTGTCGCGTCAAACCGACCATCCACTACATGAACTCACACTATCGTATTGTAGATCGGTGCCGGTGTCGCCGCAGGAGCTGCTGCCCTTGCTGGCGGAGCCTACGCTTACAAACACCACCAAGGTCACGAAGGAGGAGCTCCGGAAGAGAGTCGAGGTGAAAAAGTTAAGGACTGGGCCGAAGGACACAAGAAGGAGCTCGAGGTAAAGGATTATCGCACTGTCTCGATCCAAGACTCAAAGATACCCACCCGCTTTTAGATCGGTGCCGGCCTTGTCGGAGCTGCTGCTCTTGCTGGCGGAGCCTACGCTCTCAAGAAGCACCACGATAACCAAGGTGAACAAAGAAACGCTGAGGAAGAAGGCCAAGTTGAACAGGCTAAGCACTGGGCTGAAGGCCATAAGAAGGAGCTTGAGGTGATTACTTTATTCCTCAGCCTCCGGTATAGACTGACACCAACGCAACGCAGATTGGCGGTGGTCTCTTGGCCGGAGCTGCTGCCCTTGCAGGTGGCGCCTACGCCTACAAGAAGCACGAAGAGCACAAGCACCATAACAACGACGAGTAAGAATACCCTGATACCCTGTGTACAATATTGCTATGGACACCGCCCATTCCTACCCATCTTATCTGATTGCATGTATCCAATGTGAAATGTACTTGTTGCCCGTCGGCTTGAATCCGACTACTTATCAGTGTACAGCGCGCGTCTGTGATCTTTGGGATTGAAAAGAATCATGGGCTGGTGCCTCAGGCTGTGACTGCCGCATTTTACGCACAGAAACACAAGGACTCGGCATCATTCTTCGATCAAGATGTTTTATCATATGTAAGCCAAGGTTAAGCTCTAGTGACTATAAGTCTATAACAATAAAGAAGTGGCACTGACAACACTTGGATTAAGTAGATCGTCTTTCGAGATAACGGCATGATTTATTAGGGTGGTAGTGTAGTTGAAGTACATATTACAGCAAAAATAACGGAGATTCATCTCTATGAGGTCTATAAATATAAAGGTCACCAAAACATCTATAAGGGTATCTCAACAACGTCTAGAACATGTTCCTTCAACCACGTCCAAGACTCTAAATTCATGGTAAAGTACTTGTCAAGGAAGAGCATCCTAAGGGGAACACCCATCTCTTCTCGCGCGGCTATCACGCGATGAAGGAGAGGCTTGCTGGCGTTGGCGTCGCCGGAGATTGACAACATGGTCAAGTCCGGCCAAACCCCCTGGTTAAGGAGGGGTCTAATAATCGGGTTTGAGCCGACGTTGAATAGGGATAGATCCCGGAGGTAGGGGAAAGCATCTGAGGGATTGGATTCGCAAGAAAGAGGCTCGGGTATATCAGAGAGGGTCAAGGAGACCAATGCTGGGTATACTTGAGGCTTCTCGCTGATGGACCTGATGACGCTGTTCCATTCTCTGGAAGTCAGGTTAGCGAGAGCAAGAGAAGATAATAAAGGTGATGATATCATGCTTAGGAGGCACGTAACACCGTCTTTATACGATGATCCCTGGGGATCAGGCTGGACTTGGATGTCCAGCGTTCGAAGGGAAGGGAGGGGAGTGCAAGGTAGCACTGAGCTAGTATCTACCGACATATCCCGCAGGATGCTGTCGGGTCGAAATTGAGGGATGAGCCAAGTCTCAAGGGCGGGCATTGCCGCAAACATCTCAGAAAACTGGGATGCGCCTGGCCATTTCACGTTCCTCAGCTCAAGGGTCTTGATTGTGGCAGCAACGCTTGGGATGAGGGATCCCCATGCGATATACATATCGCTAGTTTGCACAACCAATCGAGGATTGCTTGAGCCACCGCCAGAGAAGGACATAATCTCCATGGAGCTATCAGCGTCGATGTAGGATGGGGCATACCCATGAATTGTCAGAGTTTCAATCATGGGGCACACGAAAAGGCGAACGAGGTCCCTGATCTCGCGCGTCAGCCACTCAGAGGTAAGCACCTCGAAGGAACGGAGCGCGGGAAGAAGGATGGGAGGCTGGTCTCGGCGGTTCACGTCACTCAAGACACTGCCTGGCTTGACATGAATGACGAGGCGGGTCAAGGATGTGGATTCCGCCAGCATCTGGGACAAACTGGCATAGTCTGGCCATGTTCCATGACCTCGTATCTCGAGTGTCGTCAACGTATGGATTGGGACTGACAATTGTCGGAAGCTCACATTCCGTAAGCAGAGATTAGTGAGGTTGGGAAGGTTCCCGCAAAATAGGGAAAACATAGTCAGTTCCCTCTCTGGCGCAAAGTAGGATATCTTGAGGGACCGGAGCAGAGGTACTGGGGTATCTTGAATGTGACCGAAAATGTCGGTATTGTGAGCGATAATGGATAGAGCGCGCCAGCGTTTGGAATGGGGCGTGAGCAGTCCCATGAGGTGTTCGTTGGTCTCTTGGGTCCAGAAACAGTTCAACCGGATGTCCAAAGGATGATCCATCGACCGCTCAAGATATGTTGGGAGTGAAGCGAGCTTCTGCCCAATATTGCCCGCGGACAGCTGCAGCACGCTCCACAAGGAAGGGGTGGAGAGTGTAACATTTCGCCACCTTCGCGAGACTTGAGCTGTGTAAGCTTTGAGGATTTCATCCGTCTGTTCCGCCTCGAAGTACCCGTGCTCGAAGATTAGAGACAGAAGTTCGTTTGGAAGGGAGTCGAGAGGTGATGCCGAAGGAATGGAATTCAAGGGTATCGTAAGCGCCGCTGGGGCGAAAGTAGATATTTCGAGAGCGCTGCTCGATTGGTCGGTGGTGGCGGCATGAGATGCGTTAAAGTAGTCTGGTCTGGTCCCAAGAGTTCAGGAACGTTCAAGGAGTATGTATCGTCTATACTGACCTTGCAGATCCATGATGTGGTGTCGCTGCCGAGTGGGAGAGAGAGAAGGGGGTGAGCGCTGGCGAAATGAGAGCGACCTTCATGGAGGGCGGGGGGAATAAAAACTTTACCTTGTCAACCTGGAGGAACCGGTGTTTTGTATGAGAAAAAAAAAAGCTGTGGCTGTTTGTTATCGCTGAATATTGAATGTCGATCTCAGTGGCTGTGCTTTACGCCGGAGGGAATGGTCTTTTACCCCGGGTGACCGGTTACCCTTGCTGCCAACAGAACTTCATCTTGCTCTCTAAAAAGGCATACTTAATGGAAATCAAATCATGAAGTCGTGTCTCCAGAACACAAACCTTCGAATCTCTAAAAATTTGAGGCGATAGGTTTCATCACGAACTCATGCATGATACAGCCTAAATTTTCAAAATTCCAAGGCAAGTTTATGGCATAAGAGTGTATCCATACTTCCCAACCTCTACGGGATCAGGGAGGAGATTAAAGAAGCTTCCACAGCAAGTCACTTGGAACGCATAACGCTCAGGGGCGCTGGTCTTGAAACTAGCGAGGTTGTCCATGACACTTTTTCGCCACTCTTCTTCGTATGAGTCCGGCGCATCGAAGACCCAGCCGCTCATCAACCCCACGGGGAATATTTTAAGAATAGAAAGCCGGCGGAAGTTCACAGCGGAAGTAACCATATCCTTCTGTGGTCCAAGATGGTAAAACAAATAACCGTCAATGTAAGAGCTTTCGAGGGATTACATACCACGCTGAACAGCTCCACACTCTCCCCTGCACCTGCGACCTTGACAAACGCAGACAGGCCCAATTCAACTAGATTTTGGCGGGTATAGAGAGGTGACAATAAATCAGGGCAAATAAACCACCCCTTCACATCAGGAGCATTGATGGATAGAACTGTTAGGGAGTCCTCGTGCCTTGGAAGAGCCAAATGGAATAGGTCATGTAGATGTTTGAACTCAGTACCACGGGGCATCATACGTAGGATTCGACGTTAATTTCTGAAGGCCTGAACAGGATGTCAAGTAGTCGATGAATGTGCTAGTCACGTCGTCCGTCTTGAGATTAATCAGGCGGATTTCGGCGCCCATTAACTCTCCAAAGTTCAGATTGTGATCCCTAGGTAAGGTCGAGATATCAAGTGAGGTAAGGGTGCGAATGAAGGGAAGCGTGGTTGCGTCAATCCATAACTTGACTCCTCTCTTCTTAGCAAGTTGCGTCAAGGGTGGTTTCCCGGGAGGGGGCCCTGTTTTGATGCCAAAGTTAAGAATCCGTCGAATAATCCAGACGGTTGAGGGAAGCAGACGTCGACCTCGAGGTGGGAGAGAAGAGGGCTATTAGCGATCACTTCTGCCAGTTCATCTATAGTCTCTGAGGGCAACGACATGATGCCATATTGATTTCGCAAAGCGAGCTTTTCAAGACCGGAGAATTTTTTCAAAGGTAGATGAAATGAATTGGGTATGCGACCTTTGAATCTGATACGGACATCCTTGAGCAGGGGAAGAGCGCTCAAGCTGGCAACGACGATCTCGTAAGGATCTGCCTTTCTGAAGCGCCAACTATGAAAAGCATTGGATCAGGCCGATAGCGGCGTAAGGATTATTGTTGCATACCTAACACTCTTCAGGAATCAATAGTCAACCGTTTCGTGTAGCGTGACCACTGACGCGGGGCCTTGCTTGTTCGCGAACGCAGCAAGCTGGGTTTTCACTTGAGTGATGCTAAAATAGCGACTGTCGCAGTTGATAACGATGTCACGGAAGAACAAAGGCTCGACTACTTGGTTCAGTCGACGACATGCAAGACGGATACTAGCAAGATCCTTCAAGGGCTTGCTGCTGCTATTGACCTACATACCAAAGGCACCAGACGTTTGAATACTTTAACAAAGAAAACGAGCACAAGTATCAAGCTTACCTGATGGAAAATGTGTTCAAGAATGTCATACGATAGATATGAGAGCATCAAAGGCTCAACAGGGATGGTCTCCATCAGCTAGTGACGAGCTCGGTAGGCTGGCGAACGATTCCAATTTGATGAATGTCAAGGTATTTAATACCTGACTAGTTTGCGCTGCGCTGCGGGTTTCTCGCCATCTGTGGATGAGTCAAACAACATAGGCACCGCCTTTTTGACGTATTAGCGGACCTTGAAGGACTTCTTTTGATAGGGCTTCAAGCTTCAAGACCTCGTCGGCTAGCCATATCCAAGCCAATCTAAACTGCAATTGATTGTTTGCACAGTTGCAACTCGATAGGAGTCATTCACCGGTGACACCGCTGGCGCCTGATGCGTGACGGCGTACCGTACAAGGGGCATGCAACCGAGCATCCGGCCATTTCAACCATACCCATGACCCCCGTGAGATTTATCACGTGCCGCCCAAATTAGTTGTCACGCTTGCGCCTTATCTTTACTTGATCATGCTTGTATCGTGCTATACATACTCCGCAACTACCCTCATATTTAGACCCTCAGCAGACCCTGTCATACGTAAAAAATTGACCACAGTATTCCAGTAGGTAGAGAGATGAAATCATTGTCCTCCCCCACCTTCTCTCTTTTTCTAGCTCATGCCGAAAGCACTTGTTCCGCTCACGGTCTCAAAGGCTATTAGATTGCCTGGTGCTCCCGAAATTCTGACCACTATAGATCAGAACGGTTATCACATTATTCGTTGTGATGTTTGCAATTTTGATGTTACCCTCACAGTTACTGCACATCCTCGGTCTTTCCTCAAGCATCGGCGTGGGGCTGCATGTCTCAGACTCCGGAGAAGCCAAGGGTTTCCAGATCTAGAACCTGTTGTCCAACCGATTCCCATCCTTCTAATTACGACACCCGAAAACCTTTCAGAACGAGGCTTACAAATTTCTTGCCCTGGCAAGTCCGTCAAATGGCTTCTCGGTTCAATATGGGAAACATACCCCTATCATCAGCATAATATGCGAGCAATAGGATGGTGCCCCATAGCTTTTAATAACGAGGAGAATGAAATTATGATCCGCTCAGACAAGTGTCTTGGCTCTATTCTTGATACTGACGAGCCGCCGTGCAAAGAATGTTGGAGCTTTGTGTTTTCGAATCAATTCCAGGAATTTATAGCCCGAGCAGAGGAGGCTAAGGAGCATACCCCATGGGAGCTATTAACTTCTCAACAGATGTGCTCGCTTCTTAAGAAAATGGCAAACACAATAAACACTCTGCGAACACAGGTAAGTACTTTATTGCTTTAGAATTGCTGTAACGCCATATATCACCTGCTCGGCGAGCACCCAGCAGATGGAATATTCAATCCCGGAAGCACACTCTTACCTAAAATTCCCGGAACGATGATGGTCGATATGTTCATCTCACTGAAGGAGGAAAACTTCATGAAGATTGCAGAAGCCGCTACGCTGAAGAACAGGCAGACTTATACACTTCCAGGAAGTGATGACATCGAGGTGCTGAAGGAGGATCTAAAGCGAGAAAGAGCGCCAACAGTTAGTGTTGTTGGGCCAACTGGAAAGAAGAGACGGCAGTAAGTAGAGGCGTAGATTACAATCTGGCTTGATAAGATCAGCGTGACACGATGTGACTGGAGTGTGCTCATGTAAGTCTCACGGGGTCATGGGTATGGTTGAAATGGCCGGATGCTCGGTTGCATGCCCCTTGGTACCGTATATGTGTTAGGTGAACTTGGAGTTAGCGGAGCGCCACTCTTCTCACGCTGCCGGTTCAAAAATATCTATCATAGGTGTTGGTTAGTCGATGGGAACTTGATCAATGTGGAACTTGGAAGAATCGGCGTTTTGTATGAAAAGAGAGAAATTGTGGCCAAGGTAAGTAGGCTGGGCCGTTTAGAATATTATCTCAATGGCTGTGCTTTAGTACTAAATACGAAGTATAACAATGGACATGACTCGGACAATGGTCATTCAACGTTCGAAACGGTCAACTCAAGTCTCAAGTGATATAATACCATGGGGCAATATTGGGTTGTGGTAGATCTTGACGGGCGTACTCAAGTTCGCCTTGGGAAACTTGGAGAGACCTTACCATACGAGAGAACAACTTCCGAATTCATCAGCTATCTGAGGATCCACCCAAAAAAGACCCGACCTGGCTCTCCATCCGAGGAGCAAGTTAGGAAGTGGCTCGTCCTCTGTACCCAGAATACCCACAGGTCAGTTTTTCTATACACGCCATAATCTCTGAGTTTACAATCTAACAATCAATCTAGGGCACGCACACAAGATCTAGAATGCCGTGGGGTAGACCAGGAAGTGGCAACATCACAACTCCATCCAATCAGACATTCTATTCAAAGAATGCCAGTTGAAATTCACCAAATAATCCATCAGGAAAAACCTAAATTCACAATTGTGCACAATTCAGCTGGTGAACTGTCTTATGCACAATTGTCGGTAAATTCTTCTTAATTTCTCTCAATTGAAAATGGAGATGTAGATTGTGTATAATACTCCGTAAATGTTCATCAATTCTTCTCAATTGAAAAATGAAATTTAAATTGTTCATGATTATGCTGAAAAGTGATCAAACTTGTAGACAGAATAAGCTAGTACATGATACGATATAAGTGACGGTCAGTGAAGGTGTTGGCATAAAAATGACCACAGAGGTCGAGTACTGTACTGCTCGTCCACTCCTTGGGTGCTACTCTCCCAAACTTCGGCAGCAGATGAATACTTCGGCGAAGATTAGCAAGTGGAACTATACTACAGATGTTATTACCTTCCTGATCCTTTGCGGGTGAGACGGGGTACAAGAGGTGATTGGGATCAGGTGAATCAGGGAATGATGTGTACCACTCAATGTAGACGAGATGAGATGGGATATTGATACCATCATTGAATAAACGCGAGAGAGAGGATTGGGGCAAAGAGAATACGACACGGATCCGACCAACTCGGTAACCTATAATTTGTTAATAAAGTGCATGACGAAAAAGAAAAGACTCACCTTGGATTCCAGTCTCACGCCCAGTCCCATCGTTGACAAGTGCCGTGTCAAACCTTCCAGGAACTGGACGGCCATGTTTATCGTTTGTTGCATGTCGGACATGGATTGAGTCAGCGGTGATGGTGACGTGGGTGAATGGATCCTGACGAGTATACTTAATCTTGTGCCAAACAGGTAGTTTGCGGAATGGGAGATGGATATGCCATATTTTTTCTTCAAGTTGTCTTTTGTTGAGGTGAGGCTCGTTTGAGCGCGCAATGAAACGCCGCAGAGCTACTCGAAAAAACTTGGCACCGTAATCCCTTTCAAGACGGTCAAGTGGGACAGCGCGAGCACTGGGGTGTTTCGCCATTGAAAGCTTTCGGTCAAGCTCCAACCCTGGAGGAATCCACTCACGTGGTTCAATGGGCGGTGATCCACTCAAGCGCCATTTGACGTATTGATCGTGGTGTTGGATCTTCTCTTTCCGTTCGAGCCACAATGTCATCTGTGCGAATTCATCTTTGAAATTGGTGGCGGCGTAGGCATCTTTGGCGAGGTCGATATGTAGCCGTTCCGTGTACTCAGTGTTGAAGTTATCTGTTGTACCGTACAGTTTGATGAGTCTTGCGTAGTGTGTAGCGAAATGGAGCTTTGGAATGTTGAAGTTGTCGCGGATTCCGAGATCAATGAAGATATGCTTGTTTTGGTGAAACCGATTCAGTGCATCTCCAGGGTCTCGTCGGTATGAACAGGGTATTGGGCGAGGTAAAGGAAATCGAGAAGCGCTCGGACGCAGCGTACAAGTGGAGCGCTTGAAATGCCATCGGGGAGGGGGATGTCAAGGACAAGACCAAGGAGAATGCGACACATTTGATCATGTTCCTGACCGGTGACGCGAGATAACGAGCTTATTCCCTTGGTGAACAGTCGCAGATTATGGTTGGGAGGCATTCGGCGACACCGAGCATCGATTTCTTCAGCCCCAAGAGCTTCGATGATCCAGGAAATCAGGTGTTTCATTATGCCCTGATACAGTTGATGAAGAATGTCGGGGGTGATGGAACGGAAAATGTTGGCATAGGGGAGGTCCTTCCAGAACGGTTCAGCGAGGGGTTTGATACCCGCATCTGCACAGGTCCTCAGGAACCCAGCAGGGTCATCCTCAAAGCTCTCGAGTGCTTTCAAGATTCGGTCCAGATCCCGAAGCTGAGGGGGGACATCAGGATCATACTCTCCCAGAGAGTTACGATCTTCGAGACATGAAGGGCACTCGCCAGTGAACGTTCCTGTTGTAAGGACCTGCTCAGGATAGTCTCCAACAAAGGCAGCTAAAATTGGATGTCCCCGACGTGTGACGCCATCGCCGCTAGTCAAAGACACGCCTGAAATGCCAGCGGACTCTAACGGTTGGAGAATCTTCTTCATACATGCATGATACAAGTTGGCGAGAAGGCGTCGTCGTTGAGCCTTATTGACGACAGTCTCCAACTTGGCCATCGGAAGGTAAGCAATGAGAATATAACCTCGAAAAGACGGTTTTCGGCGGATTTCTTTCGGAATGTTTCCAATCGTCAAATAAAGGGGGTAAGCAGTCTTGTTTTTGAAAAGCGTGAGTTGAGTCTTGTCAGTGGAGACAATTATTGGAACGATGGTTGCACCAGGCTTGTCTTTCTCGAGCGCTTCCTGAATGAGCGGCGTGAGAGAACGGCAAAACCAAACCAAAATCTTCTCACCTGTGTTGACCACCACCACCGACCTGTATGCATGTCATGGTACATGCGTACTCGCTTACTTTCATCTGTGTAGTGTTTCTCGGGGCGGAAAACCAGATACGGGGAGAAATCCGAGTCGCCAAAGAGTGCTTTGATGCAAGGTATGACGTCTCGAAAGTACACCTCGCAGACTTCTGATCCCACCATGATCTCGTGCCGTTTGAAGCCAGGTCGACCCGGCAAAGACTTGTCAATGAGCTTGTTAAGCTCTGTGGTGTTTTTGAATGAGAGGCCAAGAGTTTCAATGATCTGCATGGGCGGTAAGTCAACCAGTATATGTCAAATGAGAATTTGGCGCTTACCCCCTCAATGGCCATCAGTTCAGTGAACGCTGTTGAACTGGGACCTCGTAACTTCGACCATCGTGCAATATCCCACTCCATTTTCGAGCAAAATGGTGCATAGGGATTGTCGGCTTCACCTACGGCTGAGAAGTACTGTGCGTTTTGGTCGCGATCACCACGTGCATGAACTGCACCTGCAGATTCCCTGGGAAACTGAACGGCGAATGGCTTGTTTTGCAACGCTGCTTCCTCTCCACCGCGCAGCCTCACAGCTGGCCCCTGGATGTCATGGTCCGGTTCTTCGACAGCGGGGACCTCAGAGCCTGCGCGCTTCGGTTCCAATCCTCCTTCCTCATCTGCGAGACTTGCATCGATCCCTTCATCATCTATCCCATTCTCCCCTTCCTCATCGGAATCCTCTTCTGCAATCCAATCTTCTTCGCTACCAGATTCACTCCCACTGCCTTCAAGATCCATACCAAAATCATCCATCGAGTAGTCGCCATAGTCACCATAGAAGTCTCCCAAAGGATCAACGTTCATTGAAGAAATGGGCTCATTTCCATGTGGCGGCATTGTAGGAACCGCTGGGCCAAAGATCGGTGTACTGGAAGGTAATGTGCTCGTGTCCATTGCCCCCCCTGCTACTTCTGAACGAGAAGGCAAACTCAGATCGGAATCCTCAGACCCATCTTGATCAGAACCACAACTAGAAAGGTCTGATCCATCGTTATCAAGGCGAGCAAGATATGCACGACAATGAGGGTTTTTGCTCTGTCGCAGGTGAGAGTATAATCCATTTCGATTGAATGAATTACTGCAACCCTCACAGATGGAAGGCATGGTGGTCGTTCGTGTGTTTGATCGTTGAAAGGTCGACACAGGGCCCATGTTTTTCGCTTGGTGCTTGGCCTCTTGCCGGCCGATTGAATTTGATTTTTTTTGTTTGCGGCCGAAGCAAACCATGTTTTCCGTTCCTAAGTCTTCACATCGTACGACTTCTCTCATTTATAAACCATCGTAATTGTAACTCCCCTCCCTACGACGTGTTACCCACTCACTTGTTTCCAAACGGCCGTCATTCCTTTCTATTCCAACTATTCCACACCTATCATTCCTTTATATGCCCCCTAATTTACAAACCCCATCTCTTTCTGCTGCTGAGAAGCGGCGCCGCACCCTAGGCATGAAGAAGCTAGAAGAACAAGCCCAACTTCGCAAAATTGAGGCAGCTGGAAAGAGTAGGTATCAATGACCTTCTATTCATGGTCATGATGTTGATAAACGTTATAGCGCAACGCACCGCCATGGCCAAGGCAATGGATAATGCAGGTAATAATGATTACCTCTATTATCATGAGGTCTTGATGGTCTAACTTTCTCTCTACAGCTTGGATCGGAGCCGCACCTGTTGGATCACGGAAACGTGGCACTTCGTTAAGTGCAGCTGATTCCCGAGTATCAGTGAAGAAGTCAAAAAGTAAGTTGGTCCTTACTAACTTCGCACATAGTCTTACATTCCTTCCAGCTCCTTCCACTGTATCTATGAAATCCATTTCGGTGAAAGGCCAACGTGCATCTGCTAAGGGTGGTGCAGTTTCCAGACCCACCGTAGCGAAGGGTTCCAACCCGAAAACCCCTGCTCGTCGTCCGGCCGCAGTCATTCCTTCTGACGAAGACGAGAGTGACGACGACCCTGAGGACGAAGACCCAGCCTCCGATCATTCCACGCCAGAACAGGACGACCATGAAGATGAGGAGGACCAAGAACTTTACACCCTCAGCCGTCAAGAGCTCAAGAAGCAGTTGAAGCTTGAGGTACGTACACCATCGACATCAACGCACCTTCACTAAAGCACGCCAATCCATCCAAAGTGCCCCCAATGGGATGAAGAGCTCAACGGTGACGCCGACGACGACGCTGAAATGGATGAAAGCTATGCCACTCACGGAGAAGAGATCTTCGGGGATGGTCACCGTGAAGACGAGCAAGGTGGTGGCGAAGATGAGTCCGGTGAAGAGGACGAGGACAAGCCAGCACCTCGTCGCCGTCAAGTACTATCAAACGACGAGGATGACGAGTCCAATGGCGAGGATGACGAGTCCAATGGCGAGGATGACGAGTCCAATGGCGAGGATGACGAGTCCAATGGCGAGGATGATGAGTCCAATGGCGAGGATGAGGATGAACTTGCATGCCGTCGCCGCAAGGTATGTAAGAGCATTGACCCAGTATCATGCCACTCACTTACTTGTTGAAGGTCGGAAAGCGCGGTCAGGAACGTTTGGCTGAGGTAGGCTATCTACCGTCTAAAACTTACCTCAACTTTGACTGATCTATATTAGCGCCCTACATGGAAGACTATGGCTCCACCGGATGACGAGGTAAATGTACTTTATCGAATTGATATTCCTTCGCTTATTGATGCTCTTTAGCCTTCGGATGATGGTGACTCTGGGGGAGGTGCGATTGAAGAAGGTGAAGATCCAAATGCGGGTTTCGCAGATGCCGACTACGTCCCTCCTGGACCGAACACGCGAATGATTCTCATCTCGGAACAGCCTCAGCTCCTTAAACGGATTATCAAAGCGGCGATCCGTAAAGCGATAGGTGATGCAATATTCGATACTGCATACCACACGGTTGATGAGCAGGTAAAATATAACCGCAAGACTCTTCGATCATGCGCGCGGAAGCTTGGCGCAAATGCATATGCCCATCGCTTTAGGGTTGACCACCACTTCGGCGTTGCCATTGGTCGTGTGGTGAGTGATCTACTTTGCCAATGATCATACCTCACTAAGTGTATCATTCGGTAGCTGAAGGGGCGGGTATCCAAGTACCGTGGTGATGTCAAGAAAGTTGCCATTGCCAAGGTAGAAGGGTTCTACAAGTTACTTGAGGGGCCTGACTGCAGGGATGTCGTCGAGCTTCTTCGTTCTAAGAAGAGGTATATTTACCTGGTCAATATAGTACGTGAGATACATACCCTCTTCTCTCATGACTCATTTTCTTACATCAGGAGGGCGACCTTCAAACTAACAAGCCCTTCCTCCACCTTGCCATGATCTCGACTCTCCGTGAAGCTTTCTTTGCTGGGTCCAGGGGCTCATTTGCTGAACGCTATCAAGACCGCTTTGTTTCGTCGATTACTGATGGTCCGCGCAAACATGAACGAGAATTACCTGCGGCCATGGTTGCTATGGCTGCCACTGCCGTAAGTTATTTCCCCTGCATGGTCACATTTCATCTTAATATTATGTTTGTAGATTGCATCTTCGTTGGATGATTATAGCACGGGTATCCGCCGCAAGACTGAGTTCAATGCCGAACTTTATGAAGACGTTTATCGTTCACACATGGCCATGCTCGCCGCAATCCGTGAGAAAAGTCCAAATGGTTATCATCGTCTCATGGCTGACCTCTATAATTGCACCTCGTACGTTGTTGTCTACCTCCAGCTGTCTGCAACATCACTGTTCTGTTTTACTTCCAGTTCCATCTCCACCCATCTCACGACCACCACAACCTCCAATGATGACATGGCTTTACTCAACATGGCAGACATGGATGTTTAAGCCTGCTGTCATCCAGTTGTATACCCGCTTCCGACTCTCCTCCTTTCGCTTATAACTCCTAACCCTAAGCTGGACATTTCCTCACCTATCCGTTCCAACTTCCTCTTCGCACCCATCCATCGTTCCAACCTATGCTAATTGCTACTTCATCTTTACTTTAATACTTAACGAACCCGTCGAGACCTCCCCTCCTTTTCTTGTCAACTTCTCATGCCTACAAAGTCTACTTTCTTCCCCATCCAATTTAATCCACTTGAATAATTCCTTTGATCCCTCACTATCCTTTGCACCTTATTTAGTCAGCCCCGTTGCTTCTGTTATCATATCTAGTAGTCAGTCATCGTGCAATATACACTATTGACTTGAATTCTAATTTATTCTGGTGAATTTATGTGTCACAGTGCAGGAAAAGAGGTGCAATTCAGTGGTATAATATGTTAAATGAACGGGCAATTGCGCACTAAGCATCACCAATTGAGCTCAATTAACGGGTGCCCGTTTTATTTTACTTAATCTTCTTAAAGATGTCAAAAGGCTCAATTCAGTCAATTGTGCATAATTTACAGACAATTCTATATAAATCATATAAATCAGGGTTAATTCAGAGTCTCGGGATTTCCTGAAGTCTTCGACATGCTCGAGGAGTTTGCGGACGTCCTTTGTCTTCAACTAACCAGTGAACAAATGTTTCGCTCAGGCGAAACACGTATCCTGGCTACCTCAAAGGAGAGCGTACCCTGGGCTGGGCACAGACTCATTTGCGTTGGCGATTACTTGGATAACGATGATATCCCTGATGGTCTGCTCACACCCGAAGAGCAGGAGGAGCCAAGGGGGTGCCGGCCCGGGAATCCCGTACTGGGACCCGGTTAGTTAGTCCAGCCGCAGGCTGTGAAAAAAAAAAAAGGATGCCTTGGGCAGAAGGCCTTCAATCATCAAGTTGAGTACCTTGCAGCATAATATGGTAACTACAGAATGTACTGGGAGGAATACAGCTCCAATAGAGGCCATCAAGCACTGTGATATAAGATATTCATTAATTCCTGCCATATTTGTAGTGTTTGAAAGTCCGGTTCGGTCTGGTTTTTTGATGCCCAGGGGCGTTAACCGTAACCGTAACCGGTCTGCCTTTTCCCCAGAAGTCAAAAGACCAGACCGGACCACAAAAAGACCGCAGACTGCGGTCTTTTGCAGTCTATAGACCGGTTTCGGTCTGCATCGGTTTTAACCGGTTTATGACCGGTCTTTAGGCCAATATTTTAAAAGTATGAATCGGTAGATTTATTAACATCTCTAATAGCTTCAAAACGAGCCCAAGAACGTTAAATTCCGTTAGGAATTGGTGCTTCTATAAAATAAGTCTGGTACATCTATTATTCCCAAAAGTAATTTACATTTTAATTCATATCTCTCTCGTTTTTTTACCGAATCGTACGTTCTTGGCTGCGTTTTAAAGGGTATTTAAGGGATTACAAAAGACCGGTCCAAACCGGTCAAGACCGGTTCACGTTAACCGGTTTTTTTGCGGTCTTTACATTTCAAAAATAAAAGACCGTAACCGCAGGTCCGGTCTTTTGCGGTCTTGGTCCGGTCTGGTTACGGTCTTTTTCCAGTCACGAGACCGGACTTCCAAACACTACATATTTGGGCATTTTTTTGACATTACTTGAATTACCGTTGACCAACATTATCCTAAAATCTACAGTATGTCTAACATTGGTTTCACACATTCTATGTATCACACCATTGAGACGGAGCCACCTGCCCTTGATGCGGAGGGCTTCGCAATCTGTGGTAGCTGTGTATCCTCATCAAATCCTCATATGCAAACAAGGTGTGCGAGACACACTGGGTAAGTACATTGTATTATGAGAACTGAGTGATTTTCCAACTCACATTATTTGCCTAGTTCCATCTAAAATGTGTGGAACATGTGCAAGCACCCCGGAATTTTGCCTGCATGACTTGTGCAAGACACAGGGGAAGCACTCAAAATGATGTCATATTACTATATATAGACATGTTCCTGATTACGTTAGTTAGTTAGTCCATCTCAAGTCGCCTTTAAAAAAAAAATCGACCCCGGGTCTTTTTTTTCAATGCCGGCACCCCCTTGGGAGGAGCTCAATCAAAAAAATGAAGATGGTCTAGACCGCACGATCTCGATATATTTTCTTGCACTGAAATTTCCACGAGTTGAAAAAAGGCGACCTCTTGATATATTTTCTTTTTACAAGCAATTTAGGTTGGACGGAGCTTTTTTCGGATCGCGGATCAACTACAATGTCTTTGCAGACATCGCTAAATGGATGGACGACAAGTCCAGCATTGATACAGCGAAACCAGAGGACTGTAATCATCAACTCATCCTGCGGAACCTCACTAAGAAACAATATGTACGCGACGATCCTACCTCCACTACCCTCGGTACAGTTCTACTTGCTCGAATTTGCTGGTCTTCAGACCCTTCCCGTTCGATGGCCTACGAGGGACATGACCTTACTCGTGGAGTTTGGGCTGGTGATCGTTTTGACATCACAACCTTGGATCGGTTAGAAGAGGACGAGAGTACCTCAGGATTATGGACGACGTTAGCAAGGAAGTTCACGACGAGATGGCACGTATCTTGGAAAGCGAGTTTGGCCCAGAATGGAGGAGCGAGTATCGTTGCTATTAGCGTCGTGAAATAAATGAACGAACAGCCATTCAGATTTATACTACATCCATTGATCAGAATCATCTACCGCAGTTGGCCTTATAAGTATTCAACGTCAGATATGAAATTCAACGGATTGTACAGTAACACTTGTGACCCCATTCAGCATGTTGTCTCCGAACAGTTTTGCAAAGGTGCGACATGCAATCATTTGTAGAAAACCGAAATACAGCTTAGCAAAAAGTCGTTCGTAAGCAGAGCAGAGAATCAGTAGAAAATAGGCGTCTCTCATCGTCCCAAAACGGTTGAAGCACATCATCCGAGAACATTGCCGCTTTCCTTGACCAATCGCTTTCTTGCGGCATCGAGGACTTGCTCCCGCTCCTGCAGAATGACGTTATGGTCATCCACCTTGCGATGAAAACCAGAGTACAGCTTGAGTTTTGCACTGTGAACAGCGGACATCAGATGCATAAACAATATCAAGCAGCGTTTGGACGTACGTCATATGTGATTTTACCTGTTCAAGCAAAATAAGATCAGCTCCAAGCATCTCAGTATATGAGAAATGGGATGCAGACGAAGTCGAGAATTCGTCCATACTTCTCTGCGATTTCTAAGTATGGCAATCAGAACGAGTTTTTTTTATGAAAATGACGGGGGGTAATTACCGCCAGCTCCTGCGACCCACTCCGACATCTCGCACTCTGTCCATCGAGCAACCGACTTATCGTACATGGCCATGTGCTCTTTCAAATAGCTATCAACATCCTTCCCGAGTAGGCTATCTAGCAGTCTTGGTTCTGGAGACACGTGCTCGTGTTCCGGCCGATAGGAGTACCGTTCTTCGATGGGTGTCGATGACCTTCCGTTTTGATGATGATGGGAACGGGATATTGTACGAGCTTCAGGACTCTCGCCAGGGTGACCATATTCGGAGGCATGACGAGGACTAGATTGAGGGGGAGAGCGAACCTTCGATCGCGTCGAATACTAGATGAAATGAACTGAACTGTTAACAGGGTACATCGATCAGCAAACCGAACGAACCTCATCACGACCTCGACGATCGTCGGAATTCTGAATTTTGAGTCGCTTTGTTGGTTGTCCTCCGTCCAGATCTGCCTCAACATCGGAGTCGTCCATTTCGTCTCGGGATCGTTTATTCGCAATGTTGACTGATTTGACGATCCGGCCACTCTCGTTGATAATATGTCCCGATAGCGGCTCTAATTCGCCTTGCTTTTGAGAGTAGTGGCTCTCCCGATTGATCAAGAGTCGTTGTGGACCAGCCGGATGAGAAAGGCTGAATTTCATGGCGGACGTTTCAATGGGGACATCGGTTTCTGCAATGGTATCTGAGGTAGGGATTGCAGACGCCTCAGGGCTAGTGGACTGACGCGAAGGTATTTCCAAACGAGCTTGAGGTGTTTTGAAAGGAAATTCGACCGCTGAAGTGGGTATATGCGCATCGCTTGTTTGATTTTTGTCCGACTGAGGAGCAGAAATGGCCAAGGCAGGTGTTTTGAACGCGGTAGTGCCAGAGAACGATTGAGAATCAGCAAGAAGCGAAAGGTGAGGACGGGAGGCCTGCACGGGAACAGGAGCAATGAGATTAGTAGAGTTGACTTCACGGTTCATCGATCGTCGAGAGAATAGCTTTTGTTCTTGATGAGCTGTCGAACGTGGGTCTGCCGTCCCAGGACGCGGGATCTGAGCAGTTGTTCCCGTAGACCTCCGGGACGTCTGATCATTCTGAGCGCCGCCACGGTGATTCCTCTTCATGGCCATGGCAAGCCCTGAGGTATTCAGTTTTGTAGCGCTGTTTGCGTTAACACTTGTTGTCGAGGTAGGTGCATTATCAGTGGAGTGAGACACAGAGTCAAATTTTGAAAATATAGCAGCAGGTTGTTCGTTCGAGGAAGAGTGTAGCGGGTTGCTTTTGTCATGACTGAAGCCTGACGATGCAAAGGTGTTTCCAAGCCCAGTATCCAGCTGATGGGTAGCAGCTCTTGACGCTGGCCTCGTCGAAGTAGCTCCAGGTGCGATAGGAAAGAATGGGGTCCTGATATTACTCGACATTTGTGGTCGCCTTGCGGTCGAAAAGGGCGGCAGATGGTGGAGGTTCAGGATTAAGAGGCAATCTCATCACATGATCCAACCTGATGGCCTAGTACTACTACATATTCTCTACGAAGCAATCCGTTCCATACAAACGAATCTCTCGGCATTCGTACCGCATATCCACAGTCTTTGCCGTAGCATAGGAACAAAAGAAAACAACAGATCCTCCAATTAGAAAGTTAGTAAACATACTATGTCTTATTAGCGCGGCGTATATCGAGAAGAAAATCTAGACTTACGATGAACTCGTTGTTCTGCAAATCCGTTAAGTCATCGAATGCGTGCGTTCCTATGTTTTGTATGTTGGAAACGCCTCCTTTCTCTCCGACTTCCTTCGCACGCGCGACCTGGACTTCGCGCATGGTGAGCATTGAGTAATCTTGAATCTTCGCCTCTACAGAAAGAAAAATCAGCAAGACTTGGGTTAACCTGATTGATACACCTTTAACCCACTTTTCCCCGCGACTACTCGGCGACGCTCATTCCGCTTGTTGGAATAATGAAGGTAGACAATGACCACGAAGACGAAACAGACAGCGACGATCAGACAAATCAACATGGCGGTCAGACCTGGTACAAGTCCGGGTCAATCAAAGGAAGAAAAACCAAATGTGAAAGCAATTCGCCTCCGCGATAGTACGGCTTATCTTTTGGCGCGAATAGGAGCGGACCGATCTGAAAGAATAATCTCAATAGCTGTTGGGACTGGTGAGTAATTTAAAATCTTACTATGTCGCCAATTAACCCTCCCACAGTCATAAACGTCACTGTCTGGAATATGATGATGGAACTCCGCGTCAGCGATCAAATTTGGAGTAGTGTAAACATACGGTTGTTTTCTTTGTATGACCTGCTACGTTTGAAGCTTGCCAACTATAAAGTACAGGTCCGATTGCTGTAGTGAAGGATAAGAGGTAAAATGCCACAAGCAAAGTAGGTTGATCTCCTGGTTGACGCCCGGTTTGTAGGAGCAAGACTGGTAGGGGGCTGAGGTGAGATGATTCTCTTTCTTCTCTTTAAACAAAAACGCTGACCTGTGCCAACAATAGATGGAATCAAACCGATCAATATGATAATTGATTTTACATTGAATCTTTCCGACGCCCACTATGAGGGTTGAGTGGCAGCGTCGCTCAGAAGAGTAAAGGAACGTACGACGGCAAGAAACACCCATAGAATTTGTAATACGCCGAATGGGATGTTGACCAGCATGACATTAAACCTTTCGATTGTGTAAGCCTCAAGACGTGTATGCTGGGCAAGTAATTACCTGTCAAAGCCAAAGCCCCGCAAAATAAGCGGGCCAAAGATTATCATCCCTGCAGCTGGAATTGCATTCAACAGGGCAAGAATCATCCAACACCAGCTCTTGGGGTCCAAAATCATTTCCCAAACTTGGTACATCTTAAACACCTTGGTTTCGACGCCTTGCTGATTTGCGCGAAGCCGCTAAACATAAGTGAAAGAACGGAGGTTAACATAAAAGAGTTAGAAATAAGACATTTAAGCGCGTACTTCAACAGCCACCAACTTCTCCTCTGGCGATAGGAAGTCAGACTTCACTGGATTGTCAGGGAATAGAAAGAAGCTGTCAGTATTTATTCTGAGGATGCGCATTCTGAAAGTAAGCAAGCAGGAGCACATACGATATTAACCCTACCAAGAACGTCACGATCCCCAGGAGCAAAAACACAACCTGATACGGGTATAGCACGTTGGACCTGACGTGCCCGAGACCGAACATGACTAGACTTCCAAAGACATTCACAAAGCCATAGCATGAACACCAGGCTAATCAACATGAGAGGCAGGCGATAAAGGGATGGAAAGAAAAACACTGTACCAGCCATTCGATACCCTTGTTCACGTCGACGATACCACATCTGCACGACGAGGACGACAGCTGGTGTGATCGAAGCTTCAAAAATGCCCAACTGTATAAAACGAAGATTAAATTGATGAGAGCAGAGTCAGTAGTCATACACTCTTTATGGACTTACAAAGAATCGGGCAACGAGAAGGCCTTGAAAGTTTGTTGCGGAAGCCATTATTGCCAACGTCGCACCCCAGCAGGTCACTATGATTGGCACGTAGATGGGTAGACGGAGCTTCACTAAAAAATACGCAGACAAGGGTTGTAGAACGAGCTGTGCGACACTACAGGATGTGAATAATCAAGAACTGGATTCGAGGAACACCTACTAGACCATAGAGCCAAGTAAAGAGTATTGATCTCCTACGAGTCGGGCGTCTATAGACAGGCCAAATACGGAGGAGAAGGCAAGAGTTTGTTTGTCCAGAACTGTCAAATAATTCCAGAATTTCAGCTTGTAAGAAGTGGCCAACACCTTACGTTGCAGAAAGTATATCACAACAATGACCGGCATGATGCTAACACAAAAGTCATTCAAGGCGGGGGAGATGGAAAGACACGGACATACTGCCAATCGATCTTCTTGAGGATACGGGCGTTTTCATCTTCCGTAACATACCGTACACCCTGGGTAGAGGCGAGAATTTCAAAGGCCTCGTCATGGCGAGTCGATTTTCCCCCTTGTGTAACGTCGTCTACCTCCGTTACGTTCACCTCGAGGGAGCTGTCCGCAACCTTCTGAAGTCCAACGATGTTCTTGGTCTCCTCCGCGCTGTTCGAAGCCAACATGGAATGGGGCATCTCCTGGTGGGTGGTCGAGACAGAGGTAGCTGGTAAGGGTTTAAAGGCCTTTGACCTCGTAATCTAGAAAGAGCCCAGGCGTAAGCATTCAGATGTAAGCGGCTACAGGTGACATTTTAACTACCGTTCATCGATTCATTCGGGTCTTGATTGCCTTTCAGAAGTGAAGGGATACACGAAAGCTTTATAAATCCAGACACTCCACCTTACCGATGGGTGGCCTTGTTCAGGAGGTCGTGAAAAAGCCCTCTGCTTCGTCAGACGAGCGGTAAGGAAGAGTGATGCCTCAAGATGGCCCAATCCGACGAGTGACGTGATTGAGATAACGCTAACGTCGATCTCCTGAGTCCCATATGAAAGGTCAGTACAGGAGTGGAACTGCAAAACCAAGATTCAATTGGAAGAACGACCAATAGTAAATTTAGCACAGGATGATGACGAAGCCTTAGGCGAGCAAGGACCGCCAGAATTTCTCGAACGTTCACTTGCTCGGGAAGTCACTCTTCGAGCATGAGCATAAAGCATTTTAACCCGACACTCGAGACAGCGAGGGATTTGCGGTACGACCGATGGAACAGGACAGGCCGGCTACCCATAATAGACGAGACCTTCCTTAAACCCTACACTGCGTTCACCTCGTCATAAATAGGCGAAACTTGATACAAGGAGGCGAAGCCTGAGTAATCGCTTCTGAATGGAGAAAAACATAAGCCAGAATTGAGTGAAACCGATGAATAGCTCCCTACCTTTGTCATGCTCGTTCCACTTGTTGCAAAAATGAGGTAAAAGATCATAATAATGACAACACAAGTGTTGACGATGAAAATTTCACGTAGCTGCAGGCTTAGAGCAGGCTAGCCAATTGTAAACTGCGCTCCTCAACGTTCAATAGTGGTTCGCCTAGACTTAGGTGGTCGCGGAGCTGTTTGAAAACTTCTCTATTTCGTCAGAGGACTCGCGATAAGTCTGCAAAGATAAATTCCACCCACCTTGCCAGTTCGATGCCTGATGTCATTATTATAATCCTGGCGTTGGCCTGCCGAGTCACGGATGGGGGGAAAAAGAAGGTCGACATTGAAGCGGAAGCGCCGTAATTAGAATACTTAGAGGCTGAGGCACAAAAGTTATTGAACAGTCCTTCTGAAAAGCCACCAGACTAGGTTCCAGTGGAAGTCCTCGGATGTCCACCCAATCAAACATGAAGACTTCCAATCCAATTAGGAGCTTTGAGCCCAAGCGCTGCACAGCAAGTCTAGATCTGTAGGTACGAGCGATGGAGCCACAACCAGGAGAAAATCTTGATCTGTGAGAAAAGCGTATCGTCGTAAGTAAGTATTTCAGCAGTTCTAACGCATCACAGAGTCGAAAGTGGGCTGTAACTTGCCACCCTTTGTCACCGTTGTGGTCGCATGACTAGCAGTTGTGGGTAGGCGAATCATTGGCAGCCAAACGTTGAAAACTTGAAACAAGCTTACTCGGTCTTCTTGATTGAGGGGTTCGCTCTAAAGAGTGTTTGGTTCGGCGGTGTCAAACAAACAGGTAACAAATTTCCTTCGCAGTCACTGCAACCCTACTTCGGGCCAAATTTTCAGTACGAATGGACGCGTCGGTACGGCTGTGTACCGTTTTAAATTGATATTGTAATAAACGAAGCTCAGCTAGGGCTCAAATGTTCTCAACAGATCTATGCAAGGCCTTTGGTCTACCCATAGACGGGGTAAATTGAACCTGAATTCACCATCATCTCCTGGGATCACTCCTTCCGAAACACCCCTCCTGGAAGGGCCCTCAACTCCTGCCGCGACTGTTACGACGGAGCCTAGTGCAGTTGTGCCCACGATAGCGTCAACTGAGGTTGCTGCTCCGATAGATTCTGCCACTCCCATAAATGGGAAAAGGAAGGTCAGATCATCACGTACGACTGAAGCAAGTACGAGCAACAAGAAAGCGAAAGTATCCTCCACTGCAGGGGTAGCGATATCCAAAGACCACACCCCCCCTACCGCACGTTTGTCGGACCTCGGCGGGGTGGAAGCTTGCGTGGAAAAGATGTTGGAGCTTGTTGCGATGCCTCTCTGTCATCCAGAGGTTTATCTGCATACTGGAGTACAACCTCCGCGTGGAGTGTTGTTGCATGGCCCTCCAGGTTGTGGGAAGACTCTGCTTGCAAATGCTATGGCTGGGGCGAGTTTCATCTTACCCATGTGTGATTGACTCAGCTAACAGGAGTTTGCAGGAACTTGGTGTACCATTCATTAGTATATCGGCCCCTTCTATTGTGTCTGGAATGTCGGGCGAGTCAGAAAAGACACTTCGAGATACTTTTGAAGAGGCCAAAGTGAGCCTCTTTCTCTTTTTGATGGTACTTTTTGCTAAGGTCTTCGCTTCAGCGTGTCGCGCCATGTTTGCTTTTTATTGATGAAATTGATGCTATTACCCCAAAACGAGAAAGCGCACAACGGGAAATGGAAAGGCGCATTGTCGCCCAGTTTCTCACCTGCATGGATGGTGAGCGAGTCTTGAACTTCATGCAGCTGGTCATTTTATAATCGGTTCTTTGAAGACATGTCTTGGGATAAAACGGACAACAAACCTGTCATTGTTATGGGTGCAACGAATAGGCCCGACTCCCTAGACGCCGCGCTGAGGCGAGCTGGGAGGTTTGATCATGAGATAAGCATGGGAGTTCCGGACGAAGAAGCGCGATCCAAGTACGTAGGCTTGTTGTAGCCTATTCACTTCTCAAAACTCACTCTCATGGGCAGAATCCTACAAGTTCTCTGTGCCAAACTGCGCCTCGATGGTGATTTCAACTTTACCACACTAGCAAAAGCCACACCAGGATATGTTGGTGCCGATCTCTCGGCTCTCACTGGTGCAGCTGGCATCATCGCCGTGAAACGGATATTCAAACAACTTTCCGATGGTACCCTCATCCTTCCAGACCCCACGCCCGATGGCGTTAGTTCCACCTTAGAGCAGGACGTGTCAATGATTATTGATCCTCCCTCGACACCTCAGGCTCAGGCTGACCCACCTCCTCCAAAAGCCTCTATCTTGTCAGGCCTATCCTCTCAACTCTCCGCAGGCTCGATAGCCCATTTCCTCATTGCCCATCCGGACCCTCTGACTGAATCACAACTTGCCCCATTGTGCATAACATCTGCCGACTTTATCCTGGCACTGAAGCAGGTCCAACCATCGTCCCAGCGTGAAGGCTTCGCCACTGTTCCAGATGTGACCTGGGCAGATATTGGAGCCCTGCACGCAACGCGAGAGGAGCTTCACATGGCGATCGTACAGCCCATTCGGCGTCCAGAGCTCTTCAGCGCAGTAGGCATCGAGGCTGCTTGCGGCGTTTTGCTTTGGGGTCCTCCTGGATGTGGAAAAACACTTCTAGCAAAGGCTGTAGCCAACGAATCCCGGGCGAACTTCATTAGTGTCAAAGGTCCTGAACTCCTGAACAAAGTGAGAAGATTGTCTTCTAGAAAGCGTTCACTTAGCGGATATTTTGTCTCTAGTATGTTGGCGAGAGCGAACGGGCTGTTAGACAGGTGTTCTCCCGGGCGCGGGCCTCATCACCTTGCGTGATATTCTTTGATGAACTTGATGCTCTAGTTCCCCGTCGTGACGACAGCTTGGTGCGTCCTTCTGATGATTTAGCCATGTTAATGCCTGACTTCTCTCTCGGTAGTCTGAATCTTCAGCACGCGTGGTGAACACATTACTCACTGAACTTGATGGCCTGGACACTCGCAAAGCAGTCTACGTTATCGCAGCCACCAACCGACCAGACATGATAGATCCAGCCATGGTCCGTCCAGGTCGTCTTGACAAGCTGCTCTACGTCGACCTCCCCCAGCCTGAGGAGCGTTCCGAGATATTACGCACCATGACACGCAAAGTACCATTGGGAAACCTTGAGGGACAATCAGCGGATCTCATCAGAGAGAGAATAGAGCTGCTCGTCAAAGAAAAATGTGATGGTTATAGTGGCGCTGACCTCGCTGCTCTTGTCCGCGAAGCAGGCGTGATCGCTTTGAAGCGGACTCTCGGGGCATTGGATCAAATGGGCGAGGATGTGGCTGGTGCAGAGGGTCCCAAGGTCTTAGTAGACGTTACGGACTTCATCAAAGCTTTGGAGAAGATTGGTCCAAGCGTCAGCGTTTCGCAACGTAGGAAATATGAATCGTTGCGCTCCAAGCTCTCTGGTCTACCGGTCAGGGTTGGGAAGGACGAAGAGGAAAAAGTGCTGGATGGTAATATCAGTACAAGATCATGACTTGAATATTCTGGGCATTAGATGAGCGCTGAACGTTCACAAAAGAATAGATAATATGGAGTCTTCCAATTGTCGGAGTTTCCTGTATCCAAGTGTAAACTGTCTTGCTTCCAGCTGACAGTTTCCCAAGGGCGACATGCGTCGCAGCAGGTATTGAGTTTAGCGCTCATATCCCTTCTTTTTCTCTCAACAATAACCTGTACTTACTAATTCTTTTGATTCAGTTTCAGCAGTCAAGGGAAAAATTCAAGCCTCGTGTTTGTCATTTGGGCATTTAGTATGCTTTTGTCCACTTTTGGACGACTTGGGTGTTGTCTATGCAGTCCGCTCACCAGGGCAATTGGCGCCCGTCCGCCTCATTGCAATGTGGAGTTGCAAAAGGTCCCGATACGAAGCCCACAGACAACTGCTGTTGAATGCAAGCGCCTTCGATCGATACACCTTTTCTCCCTTCCTCCTTGGTCTCCTCCGTCTCTTGTCTCTCTCCCTTGGGAGCATAATTACTTGGCCTCTGTCCATGTCACTAGCGCCGGCGGTCGTTTAGCTTCAAAACTTCCACATAAATGGAACGGTCTTCAGGGCCCCGTGACCCATGGCTCACCAGCATGATGAACCCAGTAGCGCCTGCTGTGCGTGAACTCTGCAGCTTCTCATTTCATCTCGCTGAGGACAGATTAGCTCTCACTCTTCACACCTGAAGAGCTCGCAGGGTTCATGCGTAGACATGTTGCCGACCCTGTTGGCCAGACAATCGCTGATTTCATTGTTGTGACCCGCATGCGCGGCAGTGACTTTGTACGCATGCCGCAGGAAGACCTTGAAGTGTAAGTGCTTAACTGCACTTCTCACATCATCGTTGCTCATTTTTCGATGTTCTCTAGGCTTACGAAAGGACTTCTAGCCGTTACAGAGTTACTCGCATCTTTTCAGGTACTGACCGTGATTCCAAGTCCTAGGCCCGTCTGGCGAATTCAAGACATATTCCCCTGGCTATCGACATCTAGCTCAACTAGTCCCGCTGAGCAACTCACGTCAGAAGACTCGGACCTTGAGTCAAATTATTGGTCGTCTCGCTCTTCGTCTCCTGATTCACTTCCAAGTGTCGAACCCAAGTCAAATGCCGACGACAGCGACCATGACATTTCTTCTCATTCTGTAAATACTCCTTTTCCACTTCTTTCCCCACAAGCTTCTCCGCTGCGCCCAGCACAGTTGATGACAGCTCTAAGTGTTCGTTCGGACCTTATTGCTCATCATGATGACTTCGCCTTCTATTCTGTCGACGACGATGAATTGAGGAGCTTGTATCCCGTGTTCATTACCCCTCCCATTGCCACCGTTTATCAAGAACCCGCTGCACATGAGACTCCAGATGTGTCGTTACAGGATTCTCCTGTAGATGACACAATGCGGCCGCCGACTCGAGCCTCTACCAACGACCCATCACCGAGCACATCCTCCTCAGCGTCACATCGAACTGCCAACCGCATATCGCATTTCTCGACAAACACCTTGACCTCCAATGATGTGGTACCTGACATCTCTCAGCTGGAAGAGATCAATGTCTCGGAGTCGGAATGGCCTGACAATATCTCCACTCCTGATGTCCACACCTTGAACAAGGATGCCAGCTCAGTAGCAGTTGGTAATGACGTCGATGCAGTTTCGGACGAGCCGCAAGACCTCCCATCATTGGACTGTGATGCAAGCCCTAGGACTGTCACAATACATGACCACACCGAACCTTCTTCGCCCTTCCTCTACAATTCACATGATAACCTTCTCGCTCTCGCTGTACCCTCCAGCGGCGATCCAAGTTTTGACTCACCTCACCACTCTCCCATGCAAACTGTTACCCCTCATCAGATTGAGATTATAGATATACGACCATGGAACCTGACGTCAAAACCCCCCTCGCTGTCCATTCTATTTCCCATATCGCTCGAAGGGAGTTCATGGGGACGTAGTGGGAGTTCAGCTGTCTTAAATCCTACCGACCTGGCCGCAACACAATCTCTTTGCTCTACAACATCAACAGCAGCGAGTTTCTTCGCTCTACAAGTGCCACGAGATTGGCTAAGTGAAGATCCTGAACAGATCGACGAGAGTCCCGGACCACAGGCAATATCAAGGTTCCGGCACAACTTCAGCGATCGTACGGGACCACTCTCCCCGATCCATGGTGAATCTGACGACGAGGTTGACGAAGGGGAGATTGGATCATTAGATCTTGAAGGAAGCGCCATCTCCCCAAGTTTGCCGCTCAACATCCCTTCTTGTTCCCTCCTGGACGACGATGAAATCTCTCCCCTATTGTTTTCCCCTCCTTCCCGTCCTACACGCTTTCATACCAATAATACCCCAAACGAAACACCTCATAATCGTAAACTATTTCTTGATACAACTGAAAGAACCCTCTGGCCGAGTGGGAGCGTTGCCTATCATCGTCGTAGAGCCCTTTCCTCTCCCACCGTCGTCAAGAGGGCTCTCAAAATCCCGTCGGGCTCCTCTGTGGCGTCTCCAAATGTCGCCAGCCCACTGTCTGGGCTTTCTGCAGCTAATTCAGGGATTGGCAGGAAGCTATTTCTTGAATCCCCCACAACCAGGACGCCCAATATCTGGTGGAAGCAGCTACGTAAACAGCTTCGATCTCTGGGAACTTCTCGTGTCCAGTCTCCACCATCATTGAAACGTACTCAATCGTTGCTTTCCCCAAGAACGAAAATCGAAATTACTGATTCTCGTTTGCTCCCTATAATCCACGGACCATTGAGCGCAACAGAGCATACACCTGTGACTACTTCCCCCAGTTTTGCCTGATACCTTACTAGTTTCCAATATCTTGTCATCTTGTTATCATGTACCGTTATACTTGCTCTAGATTGGTTTTAGTGTATTACAACAGAAGATCAGATGTACTACTATCGAATTTCCTATTTTTCTTGTGTATTCCAAGGTGGTATAGTTGGCGCCCTTCCGAGATTGATTGAAATCAAGGATACAGCGAAACGAAGTCAAAAGGTGGCGGCTTGAGTTCTAGGGGTTCGTGGCATTGCTGTCCTGCAGACAAAAACAAGCGGCCAGTCTAGTATTGTCAGCAGGGAAATACACCAACACGCCTGTCTCGCTCAAGGATCCGGAGAACCTGGTTAACCTCCACAAACCAGCTCGCGCCTTTGTGATACTCGCCATAACCGCTTACGACTGGATATTTCGCAGCACGCCCAGTTGAATTGTATGGCAGGCCCTGAACGTGCAAGTGTAGATGGTTCACGGAATTAAACGGGGGTATATGGAAACCCATCCTGAACTCATGTAAAACTTATTTTCGAGCAGCGGTTGCTTGATGCTCACCTTCTCATTGAAGAGGGAACATTAACACGGTCCAATAATTCGTGGCCTATGGTCTCCATCGATTTCACTAACAATCATAACAAGAAAGGCAATCAGCTGAGAAGAAAAATCGAGAGCTGTGACAACAACTGACCAAGAGCAATGTCTGATTTGCGCAACGACTTGACGCTGTCTAAAAGATGTTGCAACAGCGTGTACGTTGCCAAATGAAATATGACTGACCTATATGCTTCTTCGGAGAGACTTGGAAATGATGCTGAGCTGCTGGTTTGTGATCCTTGAAGGCAATGAACGTGGCGTCCTGAATGATGATCAATGAATACTCAGTTCGAATTCATACATGTGGTTCCAAGAACAAACCTCCCACACGACATCAAATCCAGCCTCCTTCGAAACATCGCAGAATGTACAGGACTGCGGGGTATTTATTGGAGAATTCTGAGGCGATTTTAGACAAGAAATTAAGTTGGAGAAGAAGTCAGGCATTCAGTACTTCAGCAGATAAAATGAATTCCAAATTCAAAGAGTTGTAGGGAAGCAGGAAAAAAGCCCAAGAAAAGATTTGGAGAAGCTTCAGTTTGAAAAGGACCCAGCGAACGATCCTGATCGGTCGTGGCATTGAGGCAAAACCCGAAGCTTATGTAATATTACGATCTCTCTTCAAACTGGCAAGCATTGATTTCAAGTCCGATTGTCTACCTACGGTGCGTGATGGAACATCTCATGGAACATATTAAGGAAGGATATACAGCAAAGGGCGCCATTGTTCGTCTCCCTCAGCCCTCCCTCTTGGAATTTCAGCACTCTGCGCCGGCCCAACCCTCCATGGTTGCTCAGTGGTATTCAAGGAGGCTCTCTTCAGCCAGCTGGATCATAAGGGTGTTTATTAAATCCAAATCATGTTGCCTCGTGCAATTGTAATGGCTGTAAAGGGTCAATTGGCTCAAGAGTTTTGAAACCAGTTTAGCATCGCAAAGCGTACCTCCGCAACACATCATACCATTGGTTTTTGTACTCAGGCACCCTGCACTCGTTGGCGAGGTGGCTCAAAATTTGCCTTAGCCACACGAAAGCTAGTGAAGTTTTAGTATCTCTGCTCTCAAACACATCTAATCAGCTTCCTCACTTTCTTCTTTCCCAGTACGGCCGTGCAGGATTGGTACACGGAAGGCGCACTCGGTCAATGGCAAGGGTGAGCCTCGACTGTACTTATTGAAGAGATAAGTTGGCTGATAGTCGTTCCACCAGTTAACGACTGTGTTGATATCTCTGTTCGTTCTTCGGTTCTATTGAATCATTTTAATTTCCAAGTCAACCCAGAAGGGGAAAAATACAAACCTCCAGGTGTGACATCAGACTCAGGAGTCGCCCCTCCCAAGCAGGGAGGGCAAAGTTTCCTGCTGCGAGGAAAAGTGGATCTCTGTGGATGGTCCATTGGTGTCTACGCTGGTAAAGAATTAAAGGTGCTCAATACTCACAAATCGCACAGGCGTTGGACGAATAACTGGATGGCCAGAGGGTTGTAGTATGTGCACCTTGTCTGGATCGCCTGGATAGCATCTCTGAGCAGGTCTGACATGATTTGTTTGACGTTTGCGTGATTTGGTAGAGGGATGTTGGATTAACTTGTTATATGGTGCAAAGATTTCTTACTTTATATTAGAGGCCTTGGAGATGAACCGTAAATTCATTATACTACTCGACAATGAGGTGCACAGCCGTGTTTTGTTTAGAAGGACAAGGGCTGACATGCAACCATCCCAACCACAGAAACAAAATCAGGGTACGACGTCAATGTTGCCTAAGGAGCAGCCTTGTATTTATGGACAACTCAACTTGAAGATACCCATAGGACGGTCGTTTTCTTGATAGCCAGTCCGACCGACTAACGCTCCCTTGGTGATGTAGAACGAGCATCAAGCGACAATGTATCCGATCCTCGGAGAGCATGGCAACTTAATAGTTGGCCGAATTTTAACACCTGCGACGTTATCATAGAGCGCTTAACTGGAAAGAAGGAGTCAGAAGCAACTGACAATTACCTCAGAGCCTACCAGAAGACTGCAAGCGTCTGTGGGTGCGATAGAGGAGAGATCATTGCACTCCTTCACCCGACGGGGTCCAATTGTGCTTGAGACAATACGGATTGAATACGGACGCCGTCCCCAGGGCCCAAGTAGGAGGGAAGATTAAACAATTGTCCTGGAGGACGAGTTGCGCCCAAGGGTTCTCTGGCTGTAAGTTGCCATCGAATGCGGATTTTCGGAAGCCATGAACTTGTTCCAAAGTGGTACATACTTACAAGGAACATGAACAAACCGGATCAATCCATCGAAACCCGTGTTCTTCGGGGGTTGATGATCACCCGCGAAACTCGAAGAAAAAATTGGCCATTGTCAGCGTTGGTCAAATTACCAAATTCCCGGGGAGACTGGCGCTAAATTTCAAAGGCCAGCCAATTGATTTTTCGACTTCAGTTCCCCGTGGTTGCAGTCAGTATGGAAAACGACCTTGAACATCAAATATTTCTCTCAATCCAAATTCGCTCCTCACCTTGCTAGTTCATATGATCGTGAACCAAGGTACGACTTCACATCATATCGAAGCTGTCTAGGAGAGACTACCTTGCTAGCGCAGCAGAATAAAACCAGTCCGGGAATCTTCAGTTGTAAACTCAGAGAAAATTAAGGTCGACTCAGGTAGGAAGACCTTTTGAAAACCTTTGGGGTCAAAGCCTGAGACCTTCGTTGAAAATATGAACTCGTTTCAAGCATTTACTGACGGGTCAATGCGTCGGGAGGCGCCCGAAAGATGTAGTAGCGAGATTCTCTAGTGAAAGGAGGAGGTACGACACGCTTGTGCCTGCCCTGAACGAGCACACGTGATCCGCAATTGCCAGTTCGACGTGGACGGTGAGCAAACCTTTCAACCGCGACAGCGATGCGACGACGGGGAAATAAGTCAAACAAAGCAAGACTTTTTTTACCAATCTACGTTGCGTGGTCTCATCTCCATTTTGCAGGTACCCAATGTCAAACTTCGACCTGCCCAACCGACGGACTCGGTCTCGCGACTGGCGCAGTTCGAAAATCATTGGGCGGAGGATAGTCAAACCGGGAGCGACGATGCGAGCATTCTTGATTTTTGTCCAAGGCCGTTCAAAAATATTGTGGTATGTGCCACAGGTGTCGTAGACAAGGTGTGAACGCCGAATTCTTACGAAAATAACAGAGCTGATAGTGTTGGTAGCCGACTTTGTTCAAGCAAGCATTGGAACTAGGCGCAACCTCAGTTACCGCGTTTACGGACCGAGTCACTCATCTTGTCGCGAAGGACCACGGGGGAGCAAAATATATGGTATGGTTTGAGCGTTGATCTCGGCAGCTTCTTACTCCGTTCTCTGGTCAGTGTGCTTTGGAGCGTAAAATTCCCATCCTTGCGCCCGCATGGATTAATGAAAGCTATCAAATTTGGTTGAAAGGCGACGATGTTGACGTGGCTGAAGTGCGTTTCCTTGACCCCTACTATCTAGCCAATGTTCATGTCACGCTGCAGAGCGTCGAAAAACACCGACTTCCTATCTTTTCAAACGTGATATTGTGTCCCTCTGGCATTGGCGATATTACGCGCCGAACGCAGATCAACAAGCTGCTTACACGACACGGGGGCGCATACCTAAAAAACCTAGAGCGTCCGGTCAAAGTCACGCATCTTCTCTGCTCCGGCGACGAGGAAACGGAAAAGATGATTTATGCGGAGAAGTTTAACCAGCGAGGGGAAGCCAAGATTCATCTAGTGTGGGAAGAATGGTTCTGGGACTCGCTTGATTTTGGTGGAAGGTTTGATGAGAGTCGGTATCAGGTCAGAAGGCCGCGCCCTGAACGCAAATCTCTGGCAGAAGCTGCGACCCCACCTCCAACATCCTCAGCCCAACCCTCCGAACTGGACGAAGAATTACCTCCATTGCCCAAAGAACGCTCTCCACCCCAACCTCAATCATTCGATGACTTTGAGGACGAGGCCGCCTCGGTTCAAATTATACCAGCAGTGACACTTCAGATGTGGGGCGGGCTTTTGCAACGACGTGGGTACGAGATTGCCGGAGGGGAGGTTATTCGCAGTCCGTCAAAACCTACCTCGAAGCCCCGACAGCAGGAAGAGCAGCCTCCATCACCAGTTCAACGTGGCGGTAGCGTCATTTCTTCATTTCGACGAGCCAATTCATTCGCTACAGGAGCAGCACCAGTCTCACAACATCCTCAACCTTTCAGGCGGACTTCAACAGCTCTGGAGAAAGTGGGCGAGAGCTCCACGTCTGGCGCGGCTGCTTCGCCTGTTGTCCTATTCTTTTCTGGACTCAAGTTTTGTGTCCTGGGCGAGGCTAAGAGTCCGCTTGTCCGAACCGCGATTGAACAACACGGGGGCCAGTGGGTATCTGAGGAAGATGAAGATGTAGACTTCTTCGTTGTGAGACTACTCAGGTAAGTTGTACAACACGATTTGTGCAAGTGGAGTTTGAATGATAATCGTTCTGCGATAGTGGAAGCAAGATTTATCGGGAACAAGCAGACGAAAGCCAGCGAAGCAAATACCGAACGGAGTGCTGGCTAGAGCGGTGTCTGCACGAAGAGCGAGTTTGTCCCGTCGAGGATCATGTCGCTAATGTTCCACTCGCTATCAGAATTCCAGTTCCCGGTATGTACTCCCTACATTGTCGTATTCCACTTCTAAGACATTGAGTAGGGGCGGAATCGGTTCGGATGAGTTTATCCGGGCTGGACGAGGCGGACGCACATGGCATCAAGAGGCTCATGCGCGCCATTGGTAGGTTATACTTCTACTCTACTAACTAATCATTTCACCCAACCTTTCTTAGGCCTTGTGATCCCGCCGGTTTTTTCCAAGAAAGCCACTCACCTGCTTTGCCCATCAGGCACTGGTCTGAAGTTTGACAAGGCTCAAGAATGGGGCATACCTGTCGTTTCCATAGGCTGGCTGTCGGCTATGGCCACATCTGGTGTTGTTCCCGATGTGGAGCCTTACCTTGTGGGAGGATTAGGTGATGTGTCCCCTCCGCCTCCGCTGCCTATGGAAGAGTCGATGAAAACGCATGCCAATCTCCTCTCAATCAAGGGCAAGGGTAAAGCCAAAGCTGCCGATATAGATGACGACATGGAAATTGACAAACAGATGCATGACATTACTAACAGTGAAGATTTTCCCTTCTACTTCGCCTTTCATTATAGTTGACACCTTTTTGACTTGTAGATTCACCACCCAACGATCCCTCCCCCCCGCCTCTGGACCGGCAGGATACTACCATAATTCCGCAAGAATCCTGGAGTGCTTTTGGGCTACCAAACGGGACTTTGGGAGCCTCTGCATACCAAATCTGTCCCTCATCGATAAGGACACCATCCGGATCTAACGCTTCGCCAGTGGTCCAATATGGGACACGACAAAACTCCAGTGTCCTTCCATCTGCTGCAGGAAGTTTCAGCTACAGCAGCAATCAAGAGTCAAACCCCGTGCCAGCGTTATCAAATAGACAAGTCGAAGCGGAGAGAAAGAAGGCGCGAATACCTTCTTCGAAGTCCCCCTCTCCTATGAAAGCACTCAAGGCCGGTAGATTGATGTCGCATTCACCTGAGAAAATCGATTGTGGGGCAACCAAGGCGCTGCAGGAGAGCATCACGAGCTTGTTGGGGAAGCGACAGCCTTCTGATGACCGTGATGAGGGTACTGCTCTCGCTGGGGCAGCAGGTCCAGCGGGAAAGAATGGAAAACGGTTAAGACCGAACCGGTCAAAGGCGAGTTTTGCCGTTTAGGAAGTTCGAATCAAAAAATAACCACCTTGTTCTTTACAGGTTCTATCAAGACAAGCCTCTGACGCACGGGCAGCCGCAGTACCCAATCCTAGAGCAGGCTTCTCTGGACGAAACTCGCGGAGAAGTCCCTTTGATGGGTTAGACAAAGACGAATTCAGGATAGATGAACAGGTTGAGGAGAGCATGCGGGTCATGTATGAGGACCCTGATCAGCGGGATGAGAAGAAGAGGTTGCTGAACTTGCTGAAAAGCCAGGCGGATGACGAACTTCCTGTGCCGTCGGGGAGGACAAGGAGGAGCACACGGATGGCTGGCTTCTGAGTTGACGATCCCTTGGCGAATCTACTGGTTGAATTAATGTATTTATCCATATACCTAGTTGTATTTCTACGTCGTACCGTCACACGACGGGGTCAAGGCATGAAAATCGCGTCTCAAAAGCATACCTGGTGTGTTGCTTCTGACATGATGTGTCGTATTCCTGGCCTCATCTGTGTGGTGTCTCCTCTTGGTATGATGACGTAAGATACGTGTCTGATTTCAAAGATGCCTCCATTACCAACTCCCATCATGGTTGACTCGGACATCTGTTTTTTCGAGAAAAAGGACCACAGCTTTATACAGACACGAACTGAAGACTGTTACAGGTATAGTGCTCTAAGATAGGTGGAGTTGAAACCGAAATATCTCCCTTGCGTCGGCTGCCTTTCCATTCCTGCCAGATATAATGATCTGAGTGTTTGCAGTGATGGTGATTCCTCTCGTTCTCAAAAAATCTAAAAATCTCCGTCAAAAAGTGATATTCCCTGGTGGACGATGTCCACGTACTGATAATCGTCGCGCTCATTTCCCATTTTATGTGATATTGACCCTTCGCAATGGTTGCCTTTTTTTCTGCTCCTCGGGCCTTATTTCTTCAGGTAAAATTCAGTAGAGGTATGATAGAGAAAAGCCATAAAACGTACATGCTCTTTAATACATTGAAAGAGGACAGCTCTAAATCTTTCCCGTCTAGGATCACCCATGCATGGGGATCTTTATTGGAATTCCCACCACTTGGCTGCGTAGTATGCACGATTTCAGAATGGACACCTTGGTGTACTATCATCATCATCGAGCATGGCTCACCGTCATCGTCTTCTTTACATCCAAGCCGATCGTGACCCTCAGCTGGGACAGTTCCTTAGCTTTTGGAGGGGTACGATTGAATTCAATAAATTCGATTTTAAAAGGATCTGCATCTGGGCCTGAAGTTCATAGAGCGTGGCACGAAACACGTCGATTATTAGTATGCAGTACGCGCGGCAGAAGTGGAGATTCACATACTATGGTTGGTCCAGTAATTGCCGCCAGTAGTGGTAAGCTGGGTAGTATTTCCTGACATCAGGATTCAGTGGATTTGGAAGGGGGGCGTAGGTTGGGGGAGGTTGGAGCAAGGTTGGAGGGTTCAAGGAAGAACCCTTTTCATGAATTCACCGTAGGGAATCGCTGGCTGAGCGCTGAGCAGCGATCTGCCAGATCTCCCAAAAAGTGCTTTTGATCTCACATTCATCTTGAAGCACAAGACTGCGCAATGCCTCATGGTTGCCTCGTGGAGGAATTGTGGAATCTGACGTGAAACTGGTAAGATAGTCGAAGTATGTGTCAATCTGGACAGGGGAATTCGTGAAAAATCAAATATGACGGGGGGACAAATCACGTATCGACCCAGTTCTCTCGGTGAGCTCCGTAACGTCTTGGTAAAGTCGTTATAAAACTTTTTCGTAGTGCTCTCGTTCCAATAAGCAAACTGCCCCTTTCCGACATATGTTGAACATATAGGTCAATGGCGTAGTTGGTTATCGCATCTGTCGACTCTAACACACAAGTGTTGACGTTGAAACGTTGAAGTGTGACCAAACAAGCTTCCTATTCTGGCCAGCTCGGATTCAAACGTTGACCGGAACCACCATGAGCTCGCCAACAAACATGGACGTTGGTGAAAGTGTAGAGGACGATAATCCCCATCACATATCCCCAGGTGAGCTTGCTATTACCCGACGACTCAGAAATGCACTAACGCTCAGAGCTGGCTTTTCAGAGCTCTACGAAGATCTTGTGCATTACTTCAAATACGCCTCGTCTGCATACCAGCCCATATGCCTCAGACCCAATGGAAATACCCTCGTCTCTCAGGTTGCTTCTCTTCTACTTCTTTCGAGATGTTAGAATCCAATTCCGGTTTCGTTCGATTTCTGTTTGGAGAACAGTTCTCTAACGTTGTGTCCGACATACAAGGCTTTGTTGCTCGTGATACGCGTCGCAAGGAGATTGTTGTTGCCATCCGAGGAAGGTTGGGGAATTTGTTTCCTCCCAGAGTTCTTGAAGGCTGATCCGTTGCAAGTGCGTCAATTACGGATATTTTAATGGACTCACAAATCGCGCTAGTACCTCTACTATCGCCGGGGATCACGGTGCCTTGTAGGGATTTTCAATGATTTGAAGATGGTCCATTCTCTGATCCTGAAAGCAGCTGGAACACGCGTTCATAGTGGCTTTCTCGTCGCGTGAGTCGTTTTCGGGAAGGCCTACTCAGATAGTTGACAAGTCGGATTTCAGCTGGGATTCTATCTCTATCCAACTTCTTGCGATAATGAGATTGGAGTTGGCGAAGCACCCCGACTTTTCAATCGTTACGACAGGTCACTCCCTCGGCGGGTCCATAGCCCTTTTAGCAGCTGTTGCGCTGCAGCAAATTTTCGCGGAACGGTACATTGAATCAGCGATCCGGATGTTCAACAATTAACTGATTATGCAGGCAGGTTAGAACGTATTCTTATGGAGCACCGAGAACAGGGGTAAGACAGCGCCGCACATCTTGGAAACTCGATGACGAATGCGTTCCAGAATCAAATATTCGCTGAATATGTAAACGGGCTATTTGGGACGAAAGCCTATCGAGGTCAGAATTTTGTTACTTTGTAAATACTATGTTTGACAATCCTCAAGTTGTTCATGGCAACGATGGGTGGGTATGAATTCAGTCACGGAGTGACTGTTCAACTCATTTCGTACAAGCGTTCCGACGGTTATACCAACTTCTTTGGGATATCACCATCATGGTGAGTTACTACTGTGATTATGCCCTACTGTCCAAACAAGTGAATCTAGGCATCGAGTATTGGCAATACACGCACCCACCATCTGAGCAAACGACATTTCAATGTGCTGCTAATGGTGAGGACAAGAGATGCTCTGCATCGACACCCTCCCAGGGTGTCAATTTAGCACATACGAAGGTAAGCCTGAGTTATTATGCTTTGAACAGAACCAACCCCTAACCACCCGAATTCCTAGTATTTCGGAATTTTAGTGTCCACTCCGTTTTGCTTGTGACCGAGTTCAGAACTTGAAGATCGCAAGCCCAAACTATGGAAGGGCATAGAATAATGCGCGCCATAGGGATAGTTACGAATAAGTTAAACAAATGAGTGCATGATTCCGGGGTATAACCTAGGTAAAAGTACAACAGCTGGATAAGGGAACAATATCACAATCCAGACAGAAACAAATCTGCTAGGTTCCAGGCCTCAGACCGACCGTGCCGAAGACGGGCGCGCGAAGATGACATGGAAAGAAAGAATGCAATGGGTGTCATGATGAGTAATGGTGATGGTCTGATTTGCTCCCAGAATAATGTAGAGGCGGCGAGGCCACCTTCTTACGATTCGGTTCCAACCTTGTGCTGGTCGATAAAAACGTGTTGTTGCGTGATATATCCGGTGAGACGTTACGATCGCGCGGGTACGATTGCTGGACGAAGGGCCCTGGCGAAGGTGAACCATACATACGCGCCTCCTCATCGTAATCATAATGCGAAGTGACGCTACCAGGAATAGGTGGGAGAGGGCGAATGGCGGGCGAAAGGGTTTCGCCCATCCTAGGGCTGTAGGTGCTTTGCTTACTCGATTGTGTGAAACCGGGTTCGAATGACGTTGGCGGGTCTATGGGCAGTGGAGGGACTGGTGCTTTCCAGCTGTACCGGGCCGAACGGGAACGCATTTTCTTTCTCAACATCCATGCGATCGCGAGGAATATGGTGAGAATTATGACCCCGAAGGGCACTCCAAGGCCGATGGAGATGCGATCTTGCGCAGAGGAAGTTGAGACAACTGCTTGTTGCGTGGTAGGCGCTGCCAGTCTAGATGATACGGATGTTACTGGGGGAACAACATCTGCATCGTCGAGCACCGTGTATCTGTAATATGGCAAGTTGAGTATTTTAAACGATAAAAAGAAGATCTGGACTTGCGTGAAAGCATCGACAAAGACGGTGGAGTTGTAAGTGCCTGGAGATAGCTCCAAAAAGTGCTCCTTGTTTTCCAAGTCCGTTTTGTACCAAAAGACCTGCGGGTCAGGCGAGTCCGTGTAACGATCCCACCTCGTCAGATTGACATCTCCAGAGGGCACGCCATCCAGCTCAACCTGAATGAAGTTTCTGTTGAAGTTTGGCGATAAATAGTATATCGCAACACCTAACAGGGGGTCAAAAAAGTTTAAACAAAGATGACCAACAGAATACGCACCAGTGAAATTGAAGGTCGCCCTTGGCCGAACCGCACTCGAGCAAGAGGTGTACGAGCCAGCATAACCCCGTCCCTTGTTAATAGCCCATCCCGTACCATTACACATCGGTGGAGAAAACGCAATCGCAGTTCGATTCCCATAATCGTCGATGGTGATATTGCGCATCCTCCCCGCGGAGAGTCGCGCTAAAGGGCTCTAGCAGTGAAGGAAAGGAGCTAAGAAGCGAAGACTTGGGAGGATTGGCGAGATCATGTCGTCCTTAGATGGTCATGAGAAAGAATCTCACCATATGACCCGAGCTCGCATCACGACCGATTGATGCACAGGCTACAGCTAGCCGAATTTGAAGTATCATCTCTTCGTAGTTTGTAGTGCTATCATTTTATCAAAAGGCTAGTTTCTTGGACAAATTACCAACAAATTACACTCTCGAGCATAACGTAGCACATACCAAAAACTTTGCTTCATTATCTTCCTTAAAATGCGGCGGCCGACCCACCCACTGACAGGTGCGTGAGGACCTCGGCTCAGATACCAGATACCCACACCCCCACTCACCCCCCCGCACATAAGTCTTGATAAAGAAAATGATCATCAATTCTCGAAGATGACTTTCAAAAAGGCCTGAAAACGCTGAAGTACCACATGGAAAGGGCACTAGTTCTTGATGGTCACGCCCATGAGCAAAGGAACAAGTCGTCAGGGTATTTATACTGATGTACTTTGCAGAATTGCATGAAGATATCTCTTCGAGAGGCCTTTTCTTTGTGTTGGAGCTAGGGGCGGGACGATAGGGATGAAACGTTCACGATCACGGTTCGTCCTCGGAAAATCCAAATGATGCCGACGAAGGTTTAGGAAACATATTCTTGTATTTTTCAATGCCCTGCAACGATTGAATATTGAGTGTCCAGCGGTGGATGTTGTTGGGGTAAACCAAGGGAAACATCGATTTGCTGGAGGCGGCCTAGTCTCGACACCAGCCGTTACGGTGATATTACTAGGGTAGAGATATATGTGGTTTGTAATAGTGGAGTAATTACCACCTTCCTACTTACCCAAAAAAGAAACGCCCTCTCCCTCAGATTTTACATCGCGATTACTCCGAGGCGACTGGTTTCGAGTCTAGAGGCGGCCTTTCAGAGAACAATACTAATGATGCGGCTCCCCTCGTTGTTGTGATCAAATGTGCCCAAGATAGTCATTGAAACCAAGAACCAGTAAGTATGCAAGTACACGCGTTTTTGCTATGAGGTATGTAGAGAGGGAGGGGGAGGTATCGCAAGGTCGTGAGTGATCATCAGTATGTCGTTAGTAAGATAAAAAATATAACAATAGATGCAGCAAGATAGAAAGAAGCAAGAAAAATGCGTCAAGATATCCAGTCCATCATCCAATCCATCTCTAGGCTGTAGGCAAATCAACCACGGCGCACCATGTCGCCGATCGTCTGTCTCATCCAAGGGCATAGTATCATGAAGCTCCAGGGAGGGCAAAGGGGGAACACAAGAATCAAAAACCCAGGGTAAGACCTAACGCCTCACGCTGGTGTCCAATCCTGATCCAATCCCACAGCCCACGGCGCAAACGAAGGACTCAACGGCGGACTAGCCGTCGTCCTCCTCTCATCATCCCTCAAAGTCGCCGATCCAGAAGTAACAGTCCTTATCGTACTCCTGTCAGGAGACACATGCGCAGAAGGTGGAGGTCCAACCATCGCAGCAGGCGCAGGTTGCTGTTGCTCCACAACAGACGCCAGCCCAAACCCGGATCCACCTGACCCAGAACCGGAAAGGGAATCAGATCCAGACCCAGCCATCCACTGAGAGCGGCGGTACATTGGCCCTAGAGCTGAGAGGGCTGGAGAAATAGGGCCACCGACGCGTCGACGTCCAAACCCGTCGGAGCCTAGGCTTCCTTGTCGGCTTAGAGAGTTGTGTGTAGCGGATACAGCGGAGTACGCAGAAGGTCTGGACGAGTTCGAGCCAAAGGAACCACCCATCTCGCGTCGCGAAGCAGATGCAGACCCGGTCGACCTTGACGATGGAGCCATGTGTGAGCGCATAGAGTGGAGTGAGCCTTGTTCGGACAAAAAGTCTGGTTGGTATACATATTGGGGCTGGAAAAGATCACAATGATGAGTTACCAAAAAAATGACTGAAGACGAAATCGCGAAAGACATACCAAACCAAACGTCGTCCGCCTTCCAGCAGGCCCAAACAATCCAGAAGCCATCGTCCTCCATCCTTCTCCCGCATTCGGGGGTTCCTCTTCCAAGATATCAATATCAATCGTCACATCAGCCCCACCCGGCGAGTCCATATGCGGTGACACAAGATGAACAGGGGATCCAGACGCCGTAGACGACAAATCCGAGTTCGCCCACGCCTTGGGTGAAACTAACGCCAAGCCAGGTGGATAAGGATGGTTCCTCAACGCAATGCTGCTGGTAGTGTTCGAATCTCTCAACGAGGTCGAGCTCACAAAATGTGGGATGGCAGAAGGAGGGGCGGGCGTGTCCAGAATATCCCCAGTTCCAGTCTGCGTAGAGAAGCTTGTCCCACCTGGAGCTGGGTCAGAGTAGGGATCCTCGTAAGCCGGTGGTGGAGCAGACGACGATCCTGACAACCACGATTGCTCGCCTGCAGGAACCTCAGGAGGCGTCACAGCCCTTGGTGGAAGCGCCAACACCGGTGTACTAGGGGCAGACGAATATGCATCATGATACACAGTACCGCCTGACGCTGCACTCCTCGCGCTGATATTCGACGTCGGCCTAACCCCATCCGGTCCCAATCCAACCTGCTGTTGGCCCAAGTTTGGATTCCTCAGCCGTCCTTGCTCAAAATCCGCATCAGTGAACGGCTCAACGGTGTAGTCCTGCGAGTGCGTAGAATGTCTGGGCTCAGAAGAGGTATTGAACCAGCTGAATCGGCCGAGCCCACTCAGCCTGAGAGCGTCGAGGAGGCCACTACCACTGGTGCTTGGGCCTGCAGGGGACCCGGTACTGAGCGGTGAGTAATGTGGCGAGACGCTTTCAACTCTTACTCGGCGCGCAGTGAGTGTCACAGCTTCCTCGGCATCAAGAGGATAAGAACTTTGATGCGAGAGGTGAGATGGGCTGCTCTTGAACGGGGGTCGAAGTGGGTCCATGGGACGGTAAGCTGTTTCTGGGTCAACCAACCGAGGGGGAGGGAGCAGAGGCGAATTCGAGTACGCGTAGGCACCTGTGTACTCTTCGTCGGGTTGGTCTTGATCAGACGGGAGCACGGACTCGTTCTGAATACGTTGCATATCATGCGATGAAAGTGGCTCATGTTCCCCCACATTTTCTTCGGGCGTAGATGGTAGCAAGCCCAAGCTGGGGCGGTCAAGGAGCACGCCGTACCCAGAAGCACCGGTGGATGAGGAACCGGAAGATGAAAGACTGCCGGTGGGAGGCAAAGGCATTCTTGGGGGAGAGCGAACGCCAAGCTCTGGGCCAACCTGCGTCATTTCTTGAGTCTGAGTTCCAGAGGGACCTGCGATGGGGCCCCTGCTACGCTGCAAGAAGGGATCTGCTTCTTCACCGCTATGTCTTGGAGAGCCTTCTCCTGGTGAGCGCCCGCCAGGACCGATGACGAAATAGTCTTCGTCAATGGGCGTGATGTACGAGAATCGGGTGCGCGAATTCCTGTTCCTACGTTGCTTGTAACAGAGCCAGAAGAAGATGAGACATGCAAAGATGAAGATGAGGGTCAGGATGCCAGCGACGATGATCCCGATTAGTTGGCCTCTGGAAAGGTTGCCAGCCGGAGTTACAGTAGGTGTTGGTAGGATAGATGAAGATGATGTAGATGATGATGTTAGATGAGATGATACAGAAGCAGATGAGGTCGTAAGAAGAGAAGTGGTAGAAGTGGCAGTAGTGGAAGAAAAGGAGGAGGAGAGGGAGGAGGAAGGAGGCATTTCGGGGGAGGAAGTCGTTATAGAAGTCGTTGGTATCGCAGAGGTAAAGGAGGAGAGGGAGGAGGAAGAGGGCATTTCGGGGGAGGAAGTCGTTATAGAGGTCGTTGGTATCGCAGAGATAGTCGTAGGGGAAGTGGTAGGAGCAATGGTTGCTGTAATCGTGGTTGATGCGAGAGTCGTGATGCTGAATACAGGCGAGAGGGAGCCACCATAGACCCAGAGTGTACCTAATGGTATCTATAGAAAATATCCGCATTAGAAACGACTTGGGTCGAGGAACCCAACAAACTCTTACACTTGGCCCGTAGTACGTGAGTGGCAAGTACTCGATGCTGGTCGATGTGGTTGGCTCGCCAGCAGCATCAGTGACGACAGACGGAACAGGCGTCAACCAAGGTGGATAGGCCTGAGTTGGTGCAGCCATAGCAGCGAAGCTTGGGCAGGAAAGAAGGTTTTATACGTTGCTAAAAGAACAGATCGTTAGTAGAGAGCGTGGTGGTTCTTTCTATATTCATCACAAGACTTGGTCAGATATCGCGCAACAAGATAGCTCAAACAACATACGAATTCAAGGTTTTGTAGTTTTAGGGCAGATATGATCAATAGATATCGCGGATAAAGGGGAGGGAGGAAGGGAGGAGGATGAGGAGAAGGAAGAGGAGGATGAGAACTGGGATGAATGAGTGGCGATTCAACTTGAACCATCGTCACATGACCAAGGCACAAGAGATTGTCCTGGAGTGCCTGCAGTGTATTTTATTTCCGAACATGTTATACCAGCTTGGAGGCTATCGGCCTCAGCTGCAATGGTGAACTCTACGCGTCATGCATTGAACGCTTTCTAACTGTGCTTATTTTCAGGCATCAACATACCTACGATAATCGTATCCTAGCAGAAGAAATCGCGGGTCCTGGATCACCTCTACACAATCGCCACAACGCGCCTATCGAGCTCATCCTCGGTTGGTTATGTTTTTCATTACTCAAAGATACCATCCATGTTTTCAGGCATCAGGATATCAGGGACCACACACCTCCTTCTAACACATGACGAAGTGTCGGGGTTATGTCGAAGGAATCGTAACTTGCCCTGGCCTCGAGGGCGACCGTTCTTGTCCAGCGACTTTGAATCCCTCTCTCCGATCTACTTCAATACGGTGGAAGAGCTCACGAATCTTCTCGACAAGCTCAAACCAAAAAAGACGAAACAAGACTTCGACACAAGCACACTTAACAAAGGTTTCAGAGATGGGAACGCTGGGCTGCTACGAGGCGCATTTGAACATGGACGGTGAGCACGCTTTTCAAAAATTATTTATTCTCCTAACGGGCATGCTTGCAGCATATTTTATAAGGTGCTACATCAATCGATCGACCTGCAAAAGTACGGCATGCGTGATTCATCATGGACACGATCTATCCGCGTCTGCTCGTTTGTCTTCAACACTCAACACATCCTATTCGATGGTCGGTCTACCCAGGATCGGCTTAGATACCCGAGAGTTCTCGATATCGCATTTGCGGAAGCCAAGATACCCTCCTTGGAGCTCGATCCAAGTACTGCGACATATATCATCAAAGCTGAAAACAGGACTCTCAACAAAAGCAAGGGTTTTTTTAGATTGGTAACGCCGCTTTCTTACCTCCTTTCTCCCTTCCTGACGCCCATGGTGTATCTAGCCTTTCGCACATGGGACAACGGACACCCTTCCAGAACATGAGATATCGAACCGTTTTCAAGACATCTTTCAGTCATACCAGGATAGACCTATGGTCCTCTTGGTCTATGAGGAGGAACTGACGAAAAATGCACTGAAGAATCTGGGAGTGCCAACTGAGGCTTTTACAGCTGACCTCAAGCATCTGTTAGAATTCGGAGCGGTCAAGGTATTCCTCTGGGCATCCTGAAATTTCCTATCTAACAGTTGTCATTAGAAAATGGAGGAGGACCAGAAGCCTCCAATCTCGTCTTCAAGGGACCCTCGAAACTACAACATCAAAAAGGAAGAAGATCACAAACCTCTAATCTCGCCCTCAAGGGACCCTCGAAAATACACCATCAAAAAGGAAGAAAACGACACCCTCATCGCCTCATCATCGTCATCATCTTCAAGAACCCACGACCCCCGAGCCCACGCCTCCGTGAAGAAAGAAGACAGGGACATCCCCATCCCAATCTCACGAAACCATCACCGCTCTCGCTCCAGGTCCCCACGGCGCAACAATTCCTCTCCGGACAAGAAGCCCTACACATCCCGTGAAGACTACCATTGCCCCCAACACCCCATCTACATCATCGACGTGAAAGACCTGCACGCTCGCGTGTCCGGCGAGTCTTTCGACGCGTATGACGTGAATGCGCCAGAGATGAGCTTGATGAAGCTCGCGAGGGGTTACGGAGTGTCGAGTGGTGAAGGGTGGTGTGCGGGTAACGAGGCTGGGTAAGTTGCCCTTCTAAGTTCTTCTTTCAGCTCGCTTATCATAATTTGGACAGGTACATATTCGATATCTGGCGCTCTATAATCTCAGGCCCGCCGATTGATCAACAGATAGAGAGACGTGTTGCAGCTGCTACTTCGGTTCTCACTTCCCCTGCACAACCACAACAGCAGCAGCAACAACCCACGGTAGATCCAGACGACGAAGACTACGACCCCAACGACCTGCCTGCGAACCCACTGCCATCTCATAGCAGCCAGGCGGCTCCTAGTGGTGGTGCTGCGATGTATGACGATGGGGAGTCTGATTATGGGGAAGGGTTTGATCCTGATGCAGATGATGATGATGATGACGATGATGATGATGATGATTAGAATAGTAGGCGCTTTCGTTTTGACGGACCACTGTACTGAAAATTTGTTTTATTGACTTGGATTATCTTCGCAAAGAATATCCAGATACTGTTTGTTCATGGTGTTGGAGCCTAAACTTGAAGAGAACAATGTTTGATGTACTCTACATACATGATGTAAATGGAAAGGGGCGGGGGTGCGACAAACTGAAACATGACGGACTCTCGGTTGTAACACTTCCACACCTACTCGCGAAGCACAGTATCCCATTTCCCCAAGTTCGATCTAGTAGTTACGATGGCACCTTTGCTCACATTCAGACTTCCTCTCCCTCAATCCGCACCACCCACTGGCTACGATTGCTCAGACCGTGCCTTGTCGGCTTCGTCGACAACCACCGCGTTCAACACTGGATTAGATGAACGAGATCAGTTCTTTGGAATACCTCGCTGTATCGTTTGTGGGATTTCTATTCCTGTAGACCGTTGCCGCATTATCTTGGATTCAGAGCGTAATAATGCAAGTAAAAAAACGGCATTGGAGCATTCCCAAGGCTAATGTGATACACAGTGGCGGGACCTCAAAGAGCGCTGTTGGATTCCCGATCAAGCTAAAGGTGCACCTCATCATGATCCACGCAATGGCATGATTATGTGTAAAAACCATCGTGGCCAATTCAACGCATATCGTTTCTTCATCCGTCTCTTTCCAGATGTGAAATTGATATGTCTTTGATTCAGGCAAAGTATTGACGGTGAACAGATTCGCAAGCTCGTGCTTATCAACTACTCCGGTCGCGAGGAACTTCAACCATTCCACGGTAAAGCTGTTGCTCTTGATATCAAAGATAGACACGTACCCTTCCCTTCCCTATTCATAATCCATGAGATGCGCGTCCGTGGATTTCACCCCTTTGAGCCTGTTTCTCCAGCCGTCCCCGATGACATACTTTGGCAAGGCTGGATTTTGTCAAAAGAAGTGTTCGACGATGCCTCAGGTTCTTTCAAGCGCGATGGGCCACCACGCAGTGACAAGGACAGATGTGTGGACTCGGAAACACAGCTCAAGCCGGTTCACCCTAGTACGACGACGGCACCTTCTGGTCAACGTACACTTGCGCTGAATGAAGACGTCATTGCTGACATCCTTGCGGCGACGCGCCCCAGTCCGTCGTGGAAGGCCTGCGTGCTTGAGGGAACGAACTGGGCTGGCACGGCGAAAGAAAACATCGAGAAATATACTTCTTCTATTGGTGCACAAGATGATTGATGTTATAAAACCCAAGAGGCCGCCGAACGTTTAATTCACGAGAGTTTCTAGGGAGATTCTACTCTATGTGTAACTTAATGATATAGATAGACCTGATGACTAGGACTATCTATGGCGAAGAATGTTCTGGATACCGTTTGTTCATTAGGTCCATTCTGTCCAAGCGTAGAGAGAGCATCATTGAATTGGCATTAGTTTGAACCTGGTATATGTAGTAGATACATTGCGACACAAACTGAGACGGTATGTACTTCATATATAATACAATCCAAGAAACAAACGATCTACCATGCAAGGTGATATACAGTGAATGAGATGGGCGATAGTGACAAGAAAGCATGATACATGATGTAGATTTCATGATGTGAACGAAGATGCATGACGTTGAACCGTATTAGCGGTTGTTTTTTGTCGTTGTCCAAGGGAGAAAAGAAACGAATGGGATTAGCCGCCTTTAAAGTTAGTAACCGCGATGTTGCTGGCCAGAATTATCAAAGTTGCCCTGCGCCGGAAACTCCGCAGGTGATCCGGGAACATAACCAGGGAAATGTTGCTGAATATGAGGGATGCCACGAATCGCATGAGTTCCCGTTGGCTGTGTAGGCCCCATTGGCACGTACTCGGTGGGAGATGTCGAAAAAGGATCAGTTCGCGAGAGTGGCCTCATGAAGCCTTGCTGTCCATACGGCTGCGATGCAGGTTGTTGCCCATGGAAACTTTGTTGGGGAACAAGAGATGACTGGCCAAAAGAGGGCTGGGGTGAGGCTGAGCCACTGTTGAGCATCGTGGAGCGCGGATCGACGGTGCTTGGCTGATAAACATGTTGGGAGTTAATACCAGCCTGAGGTTGCGAATGATGTCGAATTGGCTGCGAAGAGCCAGCAAAAGGAAGCATCTGAGGGGTGCCCTGAGGGTAAGGAGACATGCGCCTCGTAGCTGGCCGTCCGCGATGGGCGCGGGATGCATTGGAGGCTGATGCCGCGGTGGAGCTGGGGCCCGCAGGGAAGCCATGCATGTACTCTTCAGCGGAAGGAGACCCAGCGTTGGAAGATCTGGAAGAGTCGCAATCGTCGTCCGCTATCTGATCTTCTTCTGCGTCGTCGCCACGTCGTGGACGGTTTTGCTTGCGGCGCTTGCGTTCACGCTTGTATCCTTCGCCTTCAGATATGTCCAGTTCCCAATAGGCTCCTTTACCGGGCTCGGTGATAGAGCGGTGAGTGTTGCGAAAGACCTTGTTTAAAGATAGATTATGCCGGATCGAGTTCTGGATCATTGTTCCAAGGTCAATAATGGAAATCATTTTCCCAAGGTGGAACACACCTTCCAGGACTTATTCCCGGGATCGCGATACCATTCAAATCTTTGCTCAATTGCTTGATAAATCTCTTGGAGAGTGAGCCTCTTTTTGGGACTACCATAAATTGCAAGCTTGACTAGGATGGGCAAGGATTGGGTGGGCTTCTGGCCTGGCAGCGGATCGTCGAGGGAAGCCAAGCTGACAGGATGTCCTGAGGGCATGCTGAGTTGCCTGCGTAGGTAGTCGCCTGCATCGGGGTATGTAGGCGCGGTGTTTACGAATGCGCTTGGGTGATGTCCGCCGGAAGGTGGCGATACATCTTGGCTATTATAACCGGATGAAGATCCCGATCCTGGGAGCGACTGAGAGTGAGTGGGTGTGGGCCGTGACGATACCACATGGGAAGCCGACGGTGCGCTCGACGGATGGCCGGGAAAAGAGTGCTGCTCCCGTGTAAATCCATGATTTGAGGGTGTGTGGCGCGAGTCAACGAGGTAAGAGCCACTCCCCTGCCGTTGGTGCTGCTGGAAAAAAGCGACTGGACTGTGTTTGAGCGGATCGGCGTCGAACTCCGGCGTGTATGGATAATCCTGGACATAATTCTGTGAGAAAGGTTTTTCATCTCAGGTGACGTGAGAAAGACCGACTGGAGACAATATCAGAGGTTGCTCCGATGCGACAAAGGAACGATTCGAAGAGCTCGGTTCAACGTGGGTAGGCGTCAAAGAATTGCTCCGTCGAGGTATGAATGGGGTATCCTCTGCAGTATAATTGGGAGGTGTGTCATATGTTTGGCTTGAGGTTTTCTCGCCTCCCCCGGAGTCGGAGTCATCGGAGGAATGGTGATATGAGCGTGGTACGCCATATGAATGAACAATGGGATTTATATGTAGCGAGCCAATGGTGGGCAGCCAGTCGTAGTATGACTCGGAGGACATTTCTATGTTTTTTCAAAAGAGTATAGGGATCGGCACACCCATATCGAGAGCATTGAATTACAGGTACATTTTGTTTCGGGAGAACACGTGTTGAAGAAGGGTTCGGGGTGGCACAAAGGAAAAAAAATGGGATTGACCGTGAGCAAGATCGAAATCTCGGTAACCACCCACAAAGGAAACACGTACCGCGAGTGGTCACAAAACGTGATAGGTTACGAGATGATGAGAAGGAGGCGAATTCCTTGCAGAAGAGACGAGGAGAGGATCCAGGAATTGCGGTATGAGATTGCGACGAGGAAGCTACGGTTTGTAGACGTCCTTGTGTGGCCCAACACACAAAACGGCGGGCATCTTTTATATCGCATTTGCCCCCCCGCGAACAAGCGCTGGAGGCACTTGAAAATTACCTTTAGAAGCAATTCTGGGTGATCGCAAAAAGGGTGTTGAGACCAATCAACTCTCGGGATTGGTTCCGACCCACTTTTACCGTGGGACACTTGTCAGTCGTTGCCACGCGAGACCTCTGGCAGTGTCTAAAAACAGTAATCACCTCTGACATTTCCCCAACATGGCAATCTTTCTGCCAAGCTGTGGTGTGTTTGTGTTCAGGCGACAAAAATGGCAGATTTCATGGATTGGGGCGGACCTATATTTCTCTTATTTGCCTCATTCGGAGGGAGTTCATCTTCATCAGGAAAATCAGCGACAACGTTTGCTCCGCGGAGTCGGCGCAACGTGCACGACTCCTAGTTGCGCGAAAGGGCAGATATCCGTCCTGGTCCTGGTGGCGGGATTGCCCATGGGGTCGAAGCACATCTTTCAGATTAGTAGGTCCGCCGAAAGGGAGCAGAGTAGACCTGGGACCCTCTTCAGATGCCCCTCCAAACTGGGGCGTTGTGAGAGTGAACGAAGCGCACGCTTGTAAATATTATGTAAGGCGGCGCAATCAAACAAGCGCGGAGGCAATGCGCACCTTCGCCCACATTCGGACTTCCTCTCCCTCAACGCGCACCCACTGGCTATGGTTCTTCAGACTGTGCCTTGTTCAACAACCACCACATTTCGCATTTTACACTGGATTAAATCAACAAGAGAAGTTTCTTGGAACAAGTTGCTATGTCATTTGTGGTGCTGGATTATCATGGACTCCAACCCATACCATAAGTAAAAATGGCATTTGAGCCCTGGTGCCATTTGATCCCTGAAGCTCCACTCTGTCATGAACTGCACAATGACATGCTTGTGTGTCCAACCAATTATGCAAGATTTGTTCATATGCTTTCTTCACTTGTAACTTGTTCCTTTTCAGATGTGAGTTCAATTTGTCTTTGATTTGGGCGAAGTACTAGTATTCACAACAGATTCACAAGTTTGTCTATCAACTACCATAATCTTGAGTACCTCCAGCAATTGCACAGTAAAAGGCTATTGCCCTTGGTATCAAGGATAGATATGCATCCTTCCCTTCCCTAACTTACTCATATTTTATTCCATGGACTTCACCCTGTCAACCTGTTACTCCAAGTGGAAGGCCTGGAGGTTGGAGGCACAGCTGAACTGGCATGGCAGATAAGCATCCAGAAATAGATCTCTTTCATTGTTGCAAAAGATGGTTGACTTTCTTGTAACCCAAGAGGCTGCAGAAATTTTAATCCCTGATATGAGTTTTCAAGGACATGAAGTTTAGATGTCACCATTCCTCCTTCTCAGTTTTGAGTCTTGGTTAAAACTTCAACTTAAATCTTGCACAAGGGCCTAAGAATCTAAAAACAATGTAGATTTTTTTAAAAGGCTCTTGACCCTCTCCCCTTCCAAATAAAATATGTTTCAATCCAAAAAGGCATGCTTTTTCCACCCTTCTTTTGAAGAAATTTCCAGCTGTGGGCCATGAAGCTTTTCTGCCTTTCAAAATGAATCTAAAACATTGAAATACAGTCATCCACCTGCCAATGATACACCCAAAATGAGAAATTAGCTTCAACAGCTTTGAGAATAACCTTTCTCTACAAAAACTATATGAAAATCTCAGATAAATGCCCTTCTATGACCATACTACATTTCAGAATGTTTGACCCACATTTCACAGAGAAAAACTAAGATTATGGGTGTATCATTGAGGGTTGTGACTGTATTTGGCTATTTCCAAAAAACAGTCCATTTTGTATGCTCCACAGCTTTGCCAATTCTGCCTCAATTACATCCAAATTGTGTACTGGGGTAGATATGAGTTTGTACTACTTGTTACAACTTGTTTCGTAAAAATCGGTCTAGTATTGAGTGAGATATTTGCTAGTCAAAAGTGTATCAAATGGGGGTGGTGTATCATTAAGGGGTGGATGACTGTACACAACACGTTTTTTAAAACTATGAGTTGGTTCAGAGAAGACCTGCCAGCAAACCAAGTTCTAAATGTCGCTGAAGCAGAGATACATAACATACCTGCAATGTCTGTGGTTTGTTCGAGCACATTATTTTTTATTTATTTAAAGTTTTGTGTGTCAAGAGGCATGAAAATAGTTTCAGTTACTCTCTACCCTTTCAGGCAATTTCAGCTGCTTATGGCCTATCAGTACCCCTGTGAAATGGCAGCCACAAAACATCACATTTTTTGGTGGATCAACATATGCCTTTCTCAAAAAAAAAAAAAAAAAGACAGAACTTTGTCTTCATTTTTCTTTATGGAAAAAAGCAGAAATAGGCTGGCTTATACCCAGGAGCTATCTTGAATTTTGTGGAAGGGTTGGAGATCAAAAAAGTGCCGATGGAGAGGTGCCAACTTTGTACTGATAGGGATTGGTAACTCAAATGGGAAGCAGGATTGGCCCGAGAAATATGTTTACATGATTAATGTCATTCCTGCAGTCTTTGAATTTACTCAAGGTGACTCAATTTTATCTCAAGGTGTACATGCATAAGATATGACCTCTCAATAAATGTTTCTAAGGCCCACCTCCCGTCACGGCCTGAATTCCCGGTACCCTGATCTCGTGAGGACTCCGGCATTCAGAGGGTGATGTAATCTATAGAAAGCTGTTTTTACCTCGTCCACCTCGTCTCTCATTGTAAGTCCCCAAATATACTCGTCAAGACGCAAATCTCCTCTCTGAGAGTCAGACCTGCGTAATTGTTTTATTATTTACGGTTTATTTATAAGGTGGTTCTGACTCTTCACACAATCACATTGCCTCTTCCTCGTTTCTGACTCGTCGGTAGTCAAAGCTTTGTTTTTCTTTGTTACCACCACCACCTCTAAATTTCTTTGTGTTCCCCGCACCACGTCACTTTATCGGACTTAAACAATGGCTACCGCAGCGAACTCGTACTATTTCCGCCGCCGCACAATGGGCCGAGCAGCGTCCCCACCCACATGGGCCTGCTACGAGCAGATCAGGTACGACGACGAAGATTATAGTGATAGTTGTTCGGATTCCTGTTCCGAGGATGAGGAAGATTACTCCGGATCTGCTGCTGCTGCTGACTCGGGTGTGAGGCAGAGTCGTGGGGATATGAGTGACGATGCGGAGGATGTCGTGGTGCATCCGACGACGACGCAGGACAACAGCAGTGATATTGACATGGATATGGGCGATGGTGATGAAGCTAAGAAGCATCAGAAAGACCAGATACAGCAGAAGGATGTGAAGGGCAAGCAGCGCGCTATAGAGCCTGAGCCGGAGAGTCCTAGACGCCAGAGGAAGAAGAAACAGCAAGTGTACACTCTCCGGCCTATCTTGACTATCCAGAGGAGTCAAGGATTCGTATGGAATCAGGTCCGTTGGTGGTCTTTTCATCTTCACTCTATCATCTTACCTCGTCTTGCAAACGTAGGACCTCTTCGTACCGCCGTATATTAAAGATCGATGTTCGTCACTTTTACCTCTTCTTCGATGCCCATGACATATATGAACTGACTCTTTTCTCCTCCCTCAACCTCCTGCTCTTCTGCTACCATCACCTTCACTCGAATCACGTCACGCAGATGTCGCATCCACCTCTCCACCGAACTCTCGCGGGTTCATCTCTACCTCTGCGTCATCTACCAACTCGGCTTTGACCGACTACGAGGTCGAAGTCGTTGAGATTCGAGTGCAGGAGGGCGATCTCGATGATATTATTCCTTAGATCTGAACTTGCCGCAAATTCACTCCATCCCCATTTTCCCTTGTCCATTGGAAATCCTACATTTATAACTTCACCCCCCCTCCGATCTCTTGGTTCGCGTAATTCCCTTCCGTATTACTCTTACATGCATATACATATAAAGGTCGCCATTCCCATAAATCATTGTACTTACTTTCAAATGTATTTATCAACTCCCCACTCTATACGTCGTCTTGAGAGACTTCAATCAAAGAGTCAATAACGATCTCACCTTCGGTAAGCAACCGAGCTCAGGAAGAACACCCTTTTTGAGTTCTCACGTATAACTCACCGTTCGTGCATGCGCGCATTGAAGCATCTTTGACACTGTCAGAATTTGACGGAAAATGTCATATCTAATCTAATCTATATTAGAGTCCCTTTATAACTGTTCCTCCAATGGCAAACTCCAAATATGCCTACGTCCGCGACTTTGAGCTTCCCGATCCCCTCCTTCCCGGAGTGTTCATGGTTCTTCGGATAGATGGACACTCTTTCCATCGGTACGCGTTCAGATAAATTTACTGATTCCGAGTCATCATACCATCTTACAACGTAGGTTCTCCGAAAAACACAACTTTGCGAAACCGAACGATGTCCGTGCGCTGCAGCTCATGGACCACGCCGCGCAGGACTTGATGGAGGAGTATCCCGATGTCGTGCTTGGTTTTGGGGAGTCGGACGAGTTTAGGTCCGTTCGTCCCGTACTTCCGCCTCTTTTTGCACCCTTCACTCAGCTCCAAGAGCAGTTTCCTCCTTCGAAAGTCCACGTCACTCTACAATCGACGACACTCCAAGATCGTGTCCACCCTGACGTCGTTGTTCACCTCATCCTACGTCTTTCACTGGTCACGATACTTCCCTGATACCCCACTCGGTTACCCGCCGAGCTTTGATGGGCGTATCGTGCTGTACCCCGGGACGAAGGAGGTGAAGGATTATTTTGCGTGGCGGCAGGCCGATAGTACGTTTCGTTCTTCTTTTCCCTTCGTTGAATAGGCTTACAGACGGACTTACATTGAAGCGCACATAAATAACTTGTATAACACGACTTTTTGGGCCCTCGTTCAGCAGGGCGGGCAGACGACGACGGAGGCACATTCTACGCTACGGGTAGGTTACCCACCCACATTTCTCTTTCCATCATACTTGGGGATTTCTCATTTCTTGTCCAGGGGACGTTTGCAAAAGATAAACATGAGATATTATTCTCGAGATTTGGAATAAATTATAATCAGCTCGATGCGCAGTTTAGGAAGGGCAGTGTCTTGGTTCGTGAGGATCTTGAAGAAGAGAAGGATGGAGAGGTTTGTATTTTGGTTTAGACTGTCGATTGTTTGGGGCTGACTTGGGGGTGATGTAGGTCACCAAGGAGGTTATACCTGACGAAGGACAATATGAGCGAACCAACGTCAACGTAAGGCGTTCACAAAATTTCTCCCCAACACGCCGCGTAACATAAAATACCCTCAGGTGCTCGATAACGAGCCAGTACTCGCCCGTTCGTCAAAATCGGATTCGAAGCAAGAGAAGACGAGGAAGGGGAAAGCGCGTCGTCCGAAATCGAAGGTTGTCATGCTTCATTGTGATATTATCAAAGATGAGTTTTGGGAGGAGCGGAGTGGGTTGTTGGTTGAGAGTTGACGCGGACGATTTATTCTGGTTGATTACTGGCCTTACTTGGTTCCCATGGCCTCCGTAAGGCAGACTTCGACGCCTTTTTTCAACCTTCAGGATTTTTCGTGTTTGGGTATCATGATCATCGTTGAATTTTGTACAGAGTGTGCTGTTTGATCAACAACCCTCACCTGCACAGTGCAGACTTTTCCTCATTCACTAGAAACAAATCTCAAACGACTTCCCCTTCGACCGGTACGAAGGGACATCTTAATAGTTCGTTTGGCGAGTGGCATACTCTGAGCATACTACTCCAGACTCCAGTTCTGGCACAGTGATGTTCTTCAAACTTTCAGCTTGCGGGCCTATCACGGTATTGGCATTGTCCTGATCAACAATGCTGCCTCTGGACTTCTTGATCCATCCCTGCGACGCTTGCACTCCGACCTCTACAGTCCTCCTCACATGCACTGCCTGGTCCACTGCTCACGGCGGGGTTCACTACCACGAAGAGCTGCCCAAAAAATTAGTGAACGGCTAGAGGGCGCCGTGAATAGGCCGAGGACCTAGTCTGTGGCGTCGGCACAATTGGATGAATTTGAGTGGATGACCGTGATGTGGTTGGATGAAGAGGCAAAAATGAGTGGGTTTTGTGACTTTCCTTCGCGGCCAAGGCTTATCATGAGACTTGAAGAGTGCAGACACAGGCTTACATATCTGCCTACTGAATTCATCATTGCCTGGAGCATTCCACCAGACCCGGCGTCTGTGGAATGGCCAAAGATACGCAAGCGGTCTGTTCATCCGGAGTTGGCTGTCCTCTCAAGGGATCGCCATTGTGGATAAACTATCAAAGGGCGGGCTCGTCGCCGGCGTTGACGTGCAAGATAGAGTACGTGATACAAAGGTTGAGCCCGACTCGGGGCAGATTACTCTGCGAATATCATCGAGACTCGGTATGTCGCTTCCCCTTTTGAAGACCGCACCACTCTAATTTTGGACCCAAATAAGATGCAAAGCAATGCTACCACTAGTCAAACTTTTCGACCCAAAATCTCTTCTTCCACAATACATGCTCCCTCCCTATGGATCGACCTCTCCGAACGTTACCCTCCCTGAAAATTTTCTTCCTCCGCACACTTTCCATGGTATGCGGAGTAACGCAACGAAACCACATGCCTCTAAGCATACCCGAGCCCGCTCTTATTACCTGTCACTTCTCTTTGACAAGAACGAAAATGAACGGGCGGAAGGTGTGGGGAGCAAATCAAGCACAAGCTTGCAACACTTTCAATGCGGCACCTAGCGAGCAGGAAAGAGTAGGCTCTCGAAAGAAGTTCACCAGCTCGGAGGATTTGGCATGACTGTGGTGGAGAAAACGCGTGTTAGGTCACCTTTCCGATCCCAGGCGGTGATGCAGTCATACGTCTTCCTGCTGGACTTCAAGCCGTGGGAGGTGGTGGGAGTGTGCTGGATGATGTCTGACGACGAAGACGACGACCGGATGCTGACTCCGAGCAAGCCACTTAGAAGACGGACGTAACATTCGTGACGCCTCCTCGCCCCTCACGAATAATCTTGGATTCCATGACATTCAATCACTCCCAATTTTGGGGTTATGTTGATACTCTGGGCACAGCACTGGTGAGTGATCCTTTCAGAACAATCAAACCGAAGTAACCATTCCGGGTGTTAGACTCCTTGTTGTGCACTCGACGGGAACTAGGAGCAATATTTTTGCCTTGTTCCCTCAGTTCAAGGTCGACTCATATTGTGGCCCCACACAAAGCTGTTGTCCTGCTGTGATGCCTAAAACAAATGAGCAACACGCCCCGACTCCCCTTGGCATAAGACCCACGTTCATCGCCCAATACTCGCCACTCAGCCCAAGTAATGAAGATGCTCCCCCTCCAGCACGAGAGAATACCCTCGTAGCCTGCTCCGACGTGCGAAAGGCGTCCAGCCGACTTAGCAAGGCCGTATTCCAAACCTTGGACGATGTCCTGGAAACTATGCTGATCCTCCTCTCGAATTTGGTTTCTGGGTCTTTCGTCGAAGACCATATACTCTCTATGCTCGTGTGGGATTGTCAGACTTTCTTTGCTCGGTAGGTGCTATGTCATATCCTTTTTCTGGTACTGAGCGTTGACCAGTGATTGACTTGGATACATACATTCGTGTTGAGTTTCGATATGATCCCCACAAAGCTGTGAAACCTCAGGGAGCTGTTGGCCTTTACTATCAGCATGCGGTGGTATGCTTTATTTTCCTTGGAGTCAATTTCCTTGCTCAAGGGCACTGGCATAAGAGTACCTTCATCAGAAATACCCGCCTACTCACGTCCACTCTCTTGCCTCGATGCCCAACGAAGCTTGCCTGTAGGTTGTACTTTATTTATCTTTGCGGTACACTGAGCAATGCAACATAGGAAGATGCTCAGGAAGATCTTAGCCGAATACAAAAGGTACTCCGCTTCTTGGCTGGATTTCAACGCTCCTGTATGCCCGCGATTATATCCTTTGCAACTACCACCAGTCACAGTAACGCCACCTTCAGCCTCAACCCCTCATCGTCCTCCTGCAACCCACCTCGTCCAGCTTGTAGGCCTAAGGTCGTCGGGAGCTCTTCTTACACGCCATCCACCACTGTTCGTGCTCCACGGATTGTCCGACACTTCCTTCCAAGCTCTGTTCAGCCAGGATGGGTACTCAGTACATCTTGTGGTCTCTATGTGCGCGGTTCACATTGAGAGGCGGCCTGAAGAACCACTGCGTTCTGCAAAACGGAATAACTGGGGTTCTTCGGATCCCCAGGGTAACCCGCAGAATTTGAATGCGTTGACGGTAGGAGGGCTGCTCTTGTCGAGCTGTGCTCCAGAAGAACCTGATATCTGGACCAGTGAACATTACCGATGGTTGTATGGACTGAGGCTGGACTCGGGGGACCTGTAACTCTTTTTCGGAGGGAAATTAATGAACGGACAGTTCGTGAACCCTGGTGGCCTGCGACTCCTCTCAATTGCTAGGGGTCTAACTTCCATGGACCGATTTTACGAAACCTTTGCGAATGTCGTCAAATTTGGAGAGTGCAGATACTTCAAGTTGTAAAACTTTTTACTGAATGAAAACTGGTTTTGACGTAAAAATCAATCAATTTGGACTGGCCCTCGAATGATAGTTACGACTCGGACGGCCTTGTGAGTGAACGGGGGTGAACAGGTGGAGGGTTGACTTTGATGTCGATTCACGTGCCCACCAGCCTATCAACAATGCCCATCACACGGCAGCCCTCAGTCAGAACCCGGTGAAAACTCTGAATCAGCCTCTTTGGTTAACAATAAAAGACGGGGAAGACTCAGGAAAGAGGTCGGATAGAGGTTAAGAGATTCATAGTAAAATATCACGTGAGATGCGAACCAGAGCGGAGTATTCCGTATGCCCCTCATTCCAACGCTCACGCTCACCTACGAGAGTACCTCTTAGATATCTCTTGAATTGTTTCACGATGATGTCCACAAGATCGCTCGGGCTAGGCTCATCTTTCAGAAAAGCTGTCTTTTCTCCTAGAATTTGTGTGTTACCAGCCCCGCCATTCGCCATCGTGTGCTCAATGATTCCTTCACAGTGCGCAACCAGGTTGTCCTTAGAAACGCTGTCGCAAAGAGGTGCGGTTGCAAGGTGCTGTATTTGCGGAGAGACTTACCAAAGGCGAGAAAAGATCTGTAACAACAACAACACAATCCCTCCCATCCTCGGCAGCTGCAGAAATTCTGGACAAGCAACGCCTCCGCCGACCCAGCAGCCCCCACTTTACAATATACCAGCCTCAGCTTACATGGATAGCTTCTATAGCCAACCGCGTTACCGGGGCCGGCCTTAGCGTCTGTGAGTATTATCTGAAATCCCGGAGGACAGGGGTATTGAGGGCTGATTCCTTGACAGTGCTCTACGGCTTTTCTATCGCTTACCTCGTCGCACCTGGAACCTTTGATAGCCTCCATGTCGTCGAGTTTGTTGCGGGTCTTCCAGAAGTAGTCAAGTACGCTGGAAAGGCAATTCTCGCAGCCCCTTTCGCCTTCCACTCAATCAACGGTTTGAGGCATCTTAGTTGGGATATGGGAAAATGTGAGCTGCCCATGCACAATCAGTCCTGTCTGACGACTGACAATGTCGTTAGTCATGACGGTCAAGGCCTGTTACACGACTGGATACGCCGTCCTTGGAGCAACGGCCGTCTCTACCGTTGTCTTGACCCTGATGAAATAAACTGCAAAAGTTGTAATGTGAATTCTCGGTGCATATTTACATATAATTCATCATATTATCCTCGCTGGGACAATTGGATGCTGCTTCTACCCTCCGATCTACAGCCCTTTAAATCGCCAGTCGGATATATTTTGTCTTGTCTCCAGAATGTCAATTTTTTCTCCCTATAGCGGTGAAGCGTCACTTTCAAGATTGCTCCAAGCCTGTGTTTCAACCGCCATGGTTCCAGAGCCTCTCTTTCATTTATTGGGTGAGTAAGCCCAGTACTTATAAAATTGAGCTAGGTGAAGTTCTAACGGCGGCTTCAAGTCATTGAAATAGGATGGCCTTCCGTCATCGATAACAAAGTTTTCTCCATGAAAGTATAGGAGAGATGAATACGCTATAATGATTAATGATCGTTAAACGTTCAAAATTCATCATGCACCGTGATCAATAAATCTGTGGACAGCGCGTTTGCCGATCATAATCACCATTCCTGCTCCTGCCTTCATCATCGCAACATAAGGTAATTTATCGTTCCTCCGTCTTCGGGTTTCGAGTTTAACTGCAACAATATTCGAACTCGCATCGATCGCGACAAAGTGCATGACCAAATTGGATTGGACCGCACGTATCGAATTCGACAAATATGATCTCGGTCAAAGCTTCAGCATCACCATTTTTTTGGGAAAGGTTCCTGAAGATGCTACAGATTGGCTTGTTTGCCCGGAGTTTGTTGGCGCGCACCATGCATTCATCCATAGCACCTGTCGAGAAAAGGGTCTTGTCATCGACGAAGGCTTTGTACATCTTTCCCAAGCGATTGTAGACCGAGGTCGTTTGGGATCGCTGGAGCCAGCTGCAGTTGAACTTTATCTGATGGAGAGCCTTCACTAGGGAAGGGAAAGGTCCAGTAAATAAGAATCTCGCTGATTATTTTTAGACAAGACTCTGGGGATCTAAAAGATTCCCCCGTAGAACTCAATTCGTTGGAAGTCTGCGTTTTCGCGACGCGAATGACGATACCGCCTGGTTCTGATTTTTTCGTGCTTGCTGAGAAGCGTGAATGTGGCAGAATTGTCCACGACCGCGAAGGCGGCTGCCGAAGCGCGTCAGGAACTTTGTAATTCAACTTTTAAAAATAATTAAAGTCGGTCCATGCATGTCATATGCGGAACAAGAAAATTCCTAAGAATGTATCGAAGATGCGGCACACGAATCCCCGTCTCGCGGTTCCCAGGAAAACAAATGGGAAAATTCACCGAAATAGAATAACCTACTATCATCGCCATCCCAAATGGAACCCAGCTTCAGCAAATGTTCTGGAACATAGGGTATACCGTCGGAAGGCGGGACAGCACTGGATCTTCGACTTGGCAGGCTCTATCGTTCGATGGTAATAAAAAAAATTGAGTCACAAACTCGAGATTAGAATGATATATGCTATTGGCTAACCTGAGTTGAACGTAGTTTGTTTCGTGGTAGATCTAAAACGAGTGTGGAGTCTGTCGACCAGCTTGACGGAGGACGAGAGGCATGCGGCCTAGATGGAATCTTTGAAAGAGCGCGGTCACCTGCCACAGTTTGTGGGTCGGGGTTGGAATTAGTGGGCGAATGGCTGGCCATGTCCGTAAATTCTGTCTTGATGGGGCTTGGATTCAAAGACGTCAAAGTTGTCCATGCGAATTGGTTTGACGCGATACGAGATTGACAAGTATTTCGGCGGCGCATCCACAGAATGAACTGATGGTTTTTTAGTCTGCATTCGAGCCCATTGAGGTAATCCGAGTCTCACCAAGAGTAGGGACACCGAAGAAAGCACCCCGATTACGGCGAGGGAAACACAAATTATCGTGCTAGTCCTCGAGGTAGTAGTTGGTCTGAATGGTCATTGCTCAGGGTTCTGAAAGTTGATCAGTGAGAGGGTTACGGACTGTTGAGGAGCATCGGCCTGTGGAGTGTCATTCCACGCAACGCTGGAGAAAATTGCTTCCATTGCTGCGACCAAAGATGTGGTGGAGGAAGGAAGAGGAAGTAACTTCAATAAGCATTGAAGCGACGGGGATTACCTTTCATCTTTAAAATCATTGCTTGAATGCTGCTCTTCAACATGCATCTGTCACGCGTTGTCACTCTGGAAAGATCATGCATGATGGTCCACATTTCAATGCCGCGACTTCACCAATCATGGTGCCTAGGAGGAGGTCGTTTCTGTTCAAAGCAAATCGCGAAGTTGTTGAACACGCGACTGTCACAAACACGTGAACGTTACTAATACGACATTCAAAAGAACGCACAAGGAGATACAAGTACAAGTTGAGTCGACTTCTTCTTCTTTATCTGCCACGTCTACTCCCTTAAGCATCATGGCTCCCTCCTGTGCGACCATGGGTGATTGTGTTGTGTCGACGAGCCTTCCCACCAATAGGGAACAGGGAACCATGAGGGTACGACAGTGGCGTTGCGAAGATGGTGACTTCCAGAGATGGGATTTCGACAGGCGAAGAGTCAAGCTACAGATCAATCGCATCAGCCGGTGGAACGATCAAATCAAAACAAAAATGGATTGACGAACCCTCACAGCTCTCCAATGCAGTTCCTTCTTCAGGTAAGGCTCAACCTTATCCGGGTCCAAAGTAAACAAATTCCCAAGATCCAGAATACCTCCATCGAGGTGGACGAAACCTTCATTGACAACGTCTTCTTGTACTTTGCAGTTCGCGCAGCGTTCCGAAGAGCTATTGACGAACTCATGATGTGCACCAACCAAATTGGGGCTGACGAGATATTCTTTGGGATTTTCGGGAACCGAGCCAAGGAAAAACAGAATGGAGAAGCTAGTGCCAATCTCAAATTTCTTAACTTTGACGCGAGCGGTCCAGTCCCAGAGCTGACCGGCAGCGGTTCCTGCGATGGTACTGGCTTTGGCTGGTAAGAGGCCTAATACCGCGTCCCCGTAAAGCCCGACAACAATAGCAGCGATAGCTTTCTGGACAGCGGCGGGGTTAGCCATGTCAAGGCCGTTAAACTCGGGATACGTATATCCCAGTTTCGCGGTGTCGGCAATGCCAGCGGAGGCCCAGAACGTTTCCTGGGAATTGTAGAAAGGTGTCAAATCTGATTATTTCAGATCAGAAAGATGAACGAGTAAAGGAAGGTAATCGCGTACGTGTATTGTCGTCGACGGGAAGGCCGGCGGGGGTAGTAAATGTACCCTCCTCACAGACCTCCTCAGTGACCCAAACTCCGGGATGGAGTGCAGCCCAAAGAGAGAGCATCCGGTCAACGTTGGTATGGTGTAAGTAGAAAATGGGATCAAAGCCTACAAAACTACATGTTAGGCAGCTCCGAGTTTGAGTGTAAACGATCATCATACCGGCAGTGCCTGTGTCGCCCATGTGCCCTATACCTCCAACCAGGTTGTGAATGCTGTTGTGAATCGCTTCGAGACTGTTACTGGTACTTCCGCCATCGCCGGCCGTGCTGTTGCTGAAGGCAGGCCAAGTATTCACTCGAGTAAGCATATTGAAAGTGTTTGACCGGATGTTTGATTGCGCGTTCTTCAAGACGCTATCCAAATTTCTTAGCCCCGAATCGTCAGAACACAAATGAAAGAACATACGCCACGAGCTCGGCTACATTATCCCCCTCAGTCGGGCTCTGGGTTTTGGGTCGCCTGAGAGTCGTTGGCCAGTTGTTAAAAGGAGTCGGAAAGGATGGATCAATTGGGTGGAACCTATACTGATAAAGCGGGTTGTCGACCAGCTTGCTCTTCCCATCGGGACCGGTGATGGTAACTTGCAATAGAGAGATAACTTCCGGGGGCGGCACAGAGTCTTTGGCCCAGTCCCAGTATGGCTGTCTGATCGTAGTAGCGGCAGCCTTCCAGTTTGCCTGGTCAACGGTGTAAGTCGCGGCGACCTCTTGGGCGCGAGTCCACAGAATTTGCTGCAAGTGAACAGTTTAGTAATCGGAATATAAACAGAGCACTTGAAACTACCTCGAACAAGGCCATATATGGCCGATGCCAAGTGGGAAAAAGGACCGAGCTATGAAAGCAATATCCAGCCCATTGATTGTCCGCATTGACAGGTGGGTCGACGGTCGCACCCTCCCACGGGGTATATGGCAATCCATGAATGCCGCCAACCTGGAAGAAAGATTGGGCATCGGATTGCTGGCGTTCGGTATACATAAGTTCTGACGAGCGTTGCTGGGAGTTAGTTCATTCAATGAACGATCAGCAGAATGTCAACATACGCAGTGCTTGGACGTAGAGCGAAAAATATTTGTCGTGCTTGATGAAGTCGTTGATTTCGAGACGGTTTGGGGCGCCTCCACCAGCACCAGAGATAACGAGACGACTCATGATTGTAAGTGTAGGATCGGTAGGCGAAAGGGCAGATTCCCTAAGCGGTGGGATGTGCAGCCATTGACCTTTATACACTATTTGAGTTTGGCCTTATTAGTGCCTCTTTCTGTCGTCCGATGACATAGAATGTTCACGATTCCGTATAGTTCTTCGAGAAATTGAGACAGAAGCAAGAATGGGAAGCCACCTTCGACTTCTTGATTGATCAGCGGCAATATTGCGAGCTCCGGTGTAGCATCGATGATGACATTGATACCTCATCTGCCCAAATGAGACCCGAAAGATATTCGCGTTTGCCGGCGGTCTCTACCGTAGCTGAAAGGTCCAATCACGGGCGACAAAGATGTTTCACTTCAAGCCTTCCTATGAATCACATCGATATTCTTGGCCGGCGTGTCAATAATACCGATGGTGCGGAAATACATCGAAGATTGTTCCAAAGTTCTGCAGTCGAGGAGTTTCGGGAGCGCAATTTTGACGTCGGGATGACCGATCGGTGTTCTGATGTTGGGGACGACAGTAGAAGTCCTGCCAACATCAAGCCACTATATCTCTTCGTTCCAATTTGTAATGTGGCTCCACTTTCTAGAGATGCCGTTCTTGAATTGTGTATCCAATGTGTATCGAAAAGATTTTCCACTGGCAGAAACTCATAGCACCAACGACCCAAATATGAACCCCTAGAATTTGGGAAGAATGATGATGTAAACCAGCGGTACCAGTCGCAATTCAGAAACGATAAAGAATTCCACGCAGAATGCACCTCTTGCGGTGAAAGTCCGGTTCCAACAGTGGGGGGTTCCAAAAGTTGTGCATCACAACGTTTGGCTGCGACTGGTCCGCCAAACACGGCTTTGACTCCCGATCGCCTATAAGTAGATGTCTGGTAGATGCCCCCACAAGTTACAACGAGTCACCAACCGCAGGCGCAGCGAGAAACCCGTGGCGCAGCGCAAACTAGCCAGGTATCAAATACTTGAAGCTCGTCAGATTGGAATCGTTCGCCATCCCACCGACAACTTGAACACCTCAGGCTTTGAATCTCCTGCTGGATCATGACGATGAATACCCTCCTTGCCGAGCCTTTGACGCTCTCAGAGGTATCGTACGACATTCTCGAACAAATTTTCCATCAAGTAAGCTCGATACTTGGTACTCATGATCATGTTTTATGAAAGTTTAAACGTCTGGTGCCTTGGTATATAGGTCAATAGAGGTAGCAAGCCCTTGAAGGATCTCGCTAGTATTCGTCTTGCATGTCGTCGACTGAACCAAGTGGTCGAGCCTTTGTTTTTCCGTGATATTGTTATCAACTGCGACAGTCGCTATTTTACCATCACCCAAGTGAAGACCCAGCTTGCTGCGCTCGCAAATCAGCAATGCCCTGCATCACGCCTCACGAAGCGGTTGACTATCTTTTCCTTGTCTCCGAACGCCTACAATGGTCGACCAGACCTCGGGAACGCTGTACAGGAAAATCCTATGTTCGCTGAGCTGGATAAATATATCAAATCCGCCCTTGACGCCCTGGTTAGCGTGAAGAGTGTCAGGTATGCGACAATAATCTCTACGTCGCTGTCGGCCTGATCCACATAACAATACTTTTTCTAGATGGCACTTCAGAAACGCAGATCCTTACGAGGTCGCCGTTGCCAGCTTGAGCGCTCTTCCCCTGCTCAAGGATGTCTGTATTCAATTCGAAGGTCAAACACCTAATCCATTTCATCTACCTCTAAAAAAAATCTCCGGTCTTGAAAAGCTCGCTTTGTGCAATACATACGGAAAAATCTTGCTGCCCTCGGAGATTATAGATGAACTGGCACAAGTGATCGCTAATAGCCCTCTTCTCTCCCATCTCGAAGTCAACGTTCATTTCTCTAAACCCTCTGTATCATTCCACGATTTTCTACTTTTGGCATCAAAACAGAAACTTTCTCCCGAGAAATCACCCTTGACGCATCTGGCGCTCGATACAGTCAAGTTATGCATTGACGCAACCACGCTTCCCTTCCTTCGCTCCCTTACCTCACTTGATATCTCGACCTCACCTGGTGAACACAACTCTGAACTTTGGAAAGGCTTAATGGGCGCCAAAATCCGCCTGACCAATCTCAAGACGGACATCGTGACGAGCACATTCATCGACTACTTGACATCATACTCAGGCCTTCAGAAATTAACGTTGAATTTGCGTATGGTGCCCCATGATTCTGAGTTCGGGACGACCGAACATGTACATGACCTATTCCATTTGGCTCTTCCAAAGCACGAGGACTCCCTTACAGTTCTGTATATCAATGCTCCTGGTGCGATGAGGTGGTGCATTTGCCCTGGTTTATTGTCACCCCTCTATACCTGTCAAAATCTGGTTGAATTGGGCCTGCTTGTGGACGTCAAGGTGGCAGATGAAGGGGATGTGGAATTGTTTGGCGTGGTATGCGATCTCTCAAAACTTCCTAAATTGAGGGTTAACTGTTCTATCGGTCAGACGGATATGGTCGCTTCCGCCGCGAACTTCCGCCAGCTTTCTATGCTTCAAATATTCCCCGCTGGGCCAATCAGCGTCTGGGGCTGTGGGACGGGTTTCTTGAAATACCAAAACCGGTTGCGAAAAACTTTTATGGACAACCTTGCTAGTTTCAAAATCAGCGACCCGGATCGATACTTGTTCCAAGTGACTTGCTTCGGGAACTTATTTGAGCTCCTCCCTGATCCTGTGGAGATTGGAAAGTATAGATACACTCTCCTGGAGCTTGAGGTAGTTCTTTGTAAGTGATTTTGGCTGGGTACGGTGGTTACAAAGGGATTTTAAATATTGCCGAATTTTTGTTGGGAGAATTCCGAGTTTGGCGCCTTGTTCAACTTTCTAACGTTGACCGTTGATAAGTCATACTCCCACTCACATACCGTCTTGTGAACCTGAAAATCCCCACGTTGGCCTCAATGAGAAGATGTTGAGGAAGATGCTTCATCCCTGGAATCATTCAAGCCCTGCAGGAATTCATCATGAGGGACCCGGGTGTGGGATCTTGTTTGGGATCTTGTTTCAAAATGAAGGCAAAAGTCGACCGTCATATCAACCTGCCTTGGAAATCGGAAGTGGTATCACGGAGGTTGGTGCCCAAGTTCCCTGAAATCTCCTTTCAGAGCGTTTCATCGGCACTTCATAATAGTAAGCACATCTTTCATCTGCCCCAGTGGGATCGAGGGAGTCAGTCTATAAGGCTCTGTTCGGCAACGAGAATACGGTCGTATTCTCATTTTGATGGCAGACGGTATTATTCCCACCATGCCAGATCATGTAGCCGCGGCACGTGGATAGTTACCTCACGCTTTATATGGAGATCTTTTACTTATTATTTCTGCACATAATTATTGGTGTTCCAGCATGCAGTTCCTATCTTAGATTCTTAAATATAAAATATGCATATTGATCACAACCTAATTTAAGCTGGTGTTTTTTTTGAAGAGTATCTTGAAGTATTGTGCATATTCTGAATACTGGGCATATTAAAATCACATATTTGAATTTTGATGAGCTATTTTAATTATTCTAATATTACTTTATATTACTATATTTCTTATTTAATCATTTGTACCCATCTTAATAGTGGAGATTCAATGTTGGATATATTCCAGACAAATGTGAAGTAAATTGAAGTACAATAATGCCACTAATCAACCAATCCCGCACCTGCTGAGGAAATGACGGGAGTGAAATCAATGTGAGGTAGCTTTGCACGTGCCGCGGCTACCTGATTTGGCATGGTGGGAATAATACCGTCTGCCATCAAAATGAGAATACGACCGTATTCTCGTTGCCGAACAGAGCCTAAGAGTTATAAATTAATGAGATGAAGGCCAATTGTAATCGATACAGCGTTCCGATCTAAGCGTCAAGCCTTTACGTATATACGTCCATAATAAATAATAAGGCTATATATGTTCATGACGCGGGTGGATGGGAATGGGGAATAGGACGAGCTATAAAAACATCTATGGTGGATGGATGAGCTATGGAAACAAATAGACAATCAATACGAAACTCTATAATTAATCGATACACAAGAGGAGAACGAGAAGACTTGAGAGAGGTGTTATCACCAATCAAGAACGGGTGGGAAGAACTTTGCGATCAGGCCTTCGTAGTAGGGTCTCAATGTCGCAGGGTCACAGGGGTCATCGGATTTGCTATACAGGTCGTACGGATTGAAAGCCTGGACCGCTTTGAGTATCTGGGCATCTTTCCCGTTCATGAGATGTTGGTAGGCACCCTCACGGTGCCATGGGTAGAAGCTGTGGTACCGGATCATGGCGAGGGCCTCATCTGGCAGGGAGCTCTGATACTTGAAGACGTTGTATAGGTACTGACGATGGACAGCGATGAGCACAGAGAGACTCAAGGAGGATGGAAGCGAGCTCGACTACACACCTCGTCGTGTCCCCAGGACAGCATCACGTTGTCCAACCCACAATGCGGCTGATAGATCCCGTATTCGGTAGAATATACTTCGTCGTAAGTGTCCGGATTGTTCTTGAACGTTTCCGGGTATATGATCTTGCCCGAGAATTTGCAGCCGACAACTGGTGACGCAAGATCGGATTAAGGTTTTGTCAAGGTAGCCTTTTGAAGAAAACCCTACCAAATGTATCCTGCAGGGATGGGTCAGCCAACGATCAAACAAAGATAGGGACGGAACTTACACCAACAACATCCCATTGACCTTGAGAGCCGAAAAGGAGCAGGAGCTTTCCTAGGTCATGCACGAGGCCTGTCACCTGGGCCACTCATCTGTTAGCCGGCGGGCAGTTTATGTCAAGGGAGAAAGACGAACCTGCATCCATTCAGGTTTGCCGTCTCTTCTAATAGCCTCTGCGGTCTGGAGCAAGTGCTCGATTTGGGATACACTCGTCTATTAAAAGGTCAGCCGCGGAAGCGGCCATATATGGGAAGAACAAACGTCGGGGTCCGACTCGTCAATGAGCGTATTCAGCATCTCCATGGCCTCCCAGACACCCATCTGGGCCCGTTTCTTTGTCTTGAACTCAACGCGGGCCTTGACATTGAAGTCAAATGTTTGTTTCTCTATCAGGTAGGTGAGTTGACGATTGGTGGGTGTCATGCGAGAAACAGACCGTGTTGCTCTTTATAGAATGCTTTGACTCGATCACAAGCAGCTTCGTAGTCTCGGAATTTGGACTTGTCCTTGGCTTCGTCAAATTCGGACTTGTCGTCCCAAAGCTTCCCTCTCAGGACATTGACTATAAGTGGAGTGGGCGTTAATACTTTGGACAAAAGTGGACTACAAAATACCATCATCAATAGCGTCCGAGGTGACATCGAGCTCTCGACCCATAGATGGAGAAACGGCAGGAGGCATGGGTGAATACCGGTCGAATAAGAATCGAAATAAGTTATTGAGAGAGAAGTCAAACTTGGGTGTTTTTCCAAGGAATGGGAAGGTGATGGTGAACTTTACACCGAAGAAAGCTGGTTTTTTAAGGAATTTAGAGAAGAGCTTCATGGAGATACGGAGCAGTATGAATAGGTTGGAAATCAAGTTTTGCGGTATTCGCCGTTGAGTTTTCGGTTTCAAGATTTCAATGGTTGGTAGGTTCGGAAGATAGGTTCGGAGGATGGACTTTGATCTAGATTGGACGCGAGGCAGCCACATGTCATAGAGGGCCGAAAGTCGCGTGGTGTACCGCACATTGCCGTGCCCTGGGATGCTCCAGAAGGGTTCAAAGGGTCATCACGGCCCCTGCTCTCTGGATTCGGGTGAGCGCTGGCCCGCTGAGATATTGGCGCATCGTAGTAACGACGATTACGAGCGCTCTACATCTTGTGTAAGTCTCTTCACCGGATGCGCGTCGGGAAAATCATTGAGGAGAAAGGTTTAAGTTCCGTATTTCTCAGCTGATAGGATGACGAGAGAAATAAGTGCAGAATTAGAAGCAGGAATAACGACAAGGAGGAGTCTTCAAAGGACTAACTTGTCATCTAGGTACATCACGGGCCTCTGGTACTTTCCGGTGTGTAGTCGCTAGGAGGAAGCCGAGGGATTCTGGCTGTGGTTTGTAATGCCGTGGCCATTTCTCGCCGACCATGTAAACGAGAATGCAAAAGGAGCGGAAGGAAGGAAGGAGGTGAGAGTTGAAGTCAAGATTCGTGGTGATCTGAACCCTTGTTGGCTTACATAACCTGTTTGGGCGTGTATCATTCTAAAGGTCAATGTTGCTGCACGTGCCAAGCTACACGTCGCTCCCCCGAGTTTTGGAAATTCAAGTTTCTCTATCTGCTTGGCCGGCCATCTCTTTGAACTTTTTCTTACCTCTTATTGTGTTCACGGCGCTCGCTGACCTTGCCGACGATGGACGTCGACTCTTCGCTTCTCGACAAGCTCGATTCGGCGGTGCCAGCGCCATTGGCCAAGTTCGATGCTTTTCCGAAGCTTCCGTCGACTTACAAGACTCGCACAGAGTCACGCGGCTTCATGACCATCTTCGTGATCTTGCTCGCATTTCTTCTGATGCTAAATGATATTGGAGAGTATATCTGGGGCTGGCCCGATTTCGAGTTCAGCGTGGATGACAACAAGTCGAGTTTTTTGGACGTCAATGTTGACTTGGTGGTAAATATGCCCTGCAAATGTAAGTCATGCTCGTATTGATGGTACCGCGTTTATTTATATGTTACTTCGTCAGTCATAAGTGTGGACCTTCGGGATGCAATGGGGGATCGGTTATACCTGAGTGGTGGTCTCCGACGTGATGGGGTGGGCAATTTAGCCAGCGACATTTATATCGGGAGTTGACATAATTTCCAGACCGAGTTTAATGTTGGACAAGCAACGGCGCTGAAGTGAGTTCTTTTCCTAGAGTCGCCAACCGTCTAAACTGACCAATGTTTAGGGAACACTCGGAAGCTTTGTCTGCTCGTCAAGCCGTTTCACAGTCCCGGAAATCCCGCGGCTTGTTCGCCAATTTATTCCGAAGAAACAAGTCCAACTTCAAACCAACGTATAACTATCAACCACACGGCAACGCATGTAGAGTCTGGGGTTCTCTTCAGGTCAAACGGGTTACGGGTACGTATTTTAGCCCCATTTCTTGTGACTTTCCCTGACCTATGGCGTATCAAAGCCAATCTTCACATCACTACCCTCGGCCATGGTTATGCGAGCTATGAACATGTAGACCATAACCGTACGTCTTTCCCTCTTCCTCAACATCCGGGCTTACATCGCCTTTAGAGATGAACCTCTCGCACGTCATCACAGAGTTCTCATTCGGGCCTCATTTCCCCGACATTACCCAACCACTGGATAACTCTTTCGAATCCACAGACGAACGTAAGTACAACTTCTCTTTCTAGCACCCCACCTAAACTCCCTTCAAAACAGGTTTCGTAGCATACCAATACTTCCTACACGTCGTCCCGACAACCTACATCGCCCCCCGTTCCGCGCCCCTCCAAACCCACCAATACAGTGTAACGCACTACACTCGCGTAATGCAACATAACCAAGGCACTCCAGGCATCTTCTTCAAGTTCGATCTAGACCCACTCGCAATAACACAACACCAACGAACCACAACCTTCCTCCAACTCCTCATCCGCTGTGTCGGCGTCATAGGCGGAGTATTCGTCTGCATGGGGTACGCCATCCGAATCACCACACGCGCAGTAGAGGTAGTGAGCGGCGCAGACCAAACTCCAGGGATCGTCGCCGCCGAAGCATCCGGCGCCAAAGTGGGACTCAGATCGAAATGGGGCGGGGGCGAACTCCGGGCTCGACCCAACACCGGCAAGATGGTTCCTCAAGGGAGTGGCTGGGTTTTGGAAGGCTCAAGCACGTCGCCGTATGCTAGTTATGCCAATACGCCGCTTACGGGTGGGTTCCCAACTACCCCTGCTTCTCAGGGCGTGCAGTCCCCTTTTACGGGCTCGTCGTATTCCCACCTCGTTCCTCCGGGTTCTAATCCTGTTTCGCCCAACCCCTCAGTGGCAGCTGGTCATGGAGGGATTGGCCTTGGGTTTCCTTCGGCACCGGGGAGCATACGTGCGTCTGCGAGCTTGGGGCCGCCACCTAGGTCGACGTCGGGTGGTGCGAGTGCGGTGGGTGTGGGACGGAGTCCTAGTACGGGGGAATATGAGGGACTGACGCCTTATTCACACTTCCCGCCCACTCCGAACCCCGCCATCAATACGAATGGAAATGGGAGTGGGGATATAAGCCATCCGCCGAGGAGACCGACGCCTGTTGGGCCTAAGAAGGATGATTGATGAGGATGGGGTATAGTGGCTGATATTGGATACCATCCTGTACATATGTATTGGGCTTCCTGTTGTTTTGAAGATCTGAAAATTGCAAGAAAATCGGCAATTATTGCAGCTGATTGCGAAACGTTAGAGCAGCTCGCTTCCCCTTCCAGCCCAACCATCTGTTTGTTCCGCGATGAGCGAGCACGAGGAACGAGTGACAAGCTCATTATTGGATAAGATAACGTCAGAGCGTCAGAACGAAACCTCGCGTTTGTAATCTGGTTTTTTTTTTTTTTTTTTTTTTTTTTTGGCAGATGTAAATACAAAGATGATACCCATGAGTTACAGAGAGAGGTTCCCAACAGATGCAGCTGGAAACCGGAGGAAGTGTAAATACAATAGATAAAATTGACTGATGAATGAGAAGACTTTTTTACGTGTCAGAACGATAAACTGAGCGATCCAGTTCTCCTTGTCAGACTTTCGGAGACATGTATGATTGTTTGTACTTATGAGTGCCGCTCGATTTGGGTAGTTCATCTTGCCTCTGAACCAACCTGCTCGTTGTGAGCTTACACTCTGGTTGGCATAGCTGGTTGGTTACTACACACAATTGAGTTCTCCAGACGCTCAGGTCTTGCCCGTCTTCTCGGATATTATTATTACTAGATTACTATCTAAAAATCCGAATTCTGAGTGAGTTGGGCAAGTCCTAGGCAAAAACAAGTTATCCATGGACATGGATTTCTTGCATCAAAATTTCCTTCCTCCCTTCTATATTCATAGGATGCTAGAGTTATCTCATTTGTTGATGGCCGGACACAAGGGGGTACCGGCATTTAAATGCCAGACCAGGGGCCGGTTGGTTGGTTCGGCCGCCAGGCCGCTAATTTTTTTTTTGACATCCGAATTTTTTAGTGCAAAAAGGACCCAGAGATCTTTAGATACCTTCTAATGTATTAGCCACAGTCTGCCACAGTCTATCTACACACAAAGAAGCCAAAAGCTAACTATCATATGAGATAAGACATTGATAAATGAGGCAGGATACCAAGTTTTTCCAAGCCTAAGCTCGAATTTACCTTTTTACGGAAAACGAGACCCACGACGACTCCGATAGCGATGAAGAGGAATTTGACGAGTAGCAAAGAGTCTGAACTTGACAATCTGGAGGACATAGTGGGTCCTCAACGCGCACACGAAATGTCTGAAATGTGCAGGTATTTGTTTGAATGAAGCCGAGGTGAGCTCTTCAATGAATGGAAAGGTATCCTACAAATCATCTAATGAACTTTTTAATCAGACTCCTGCATTATCTTCTGACTCTATGATTGTAAGAGGTGGCGACGTACTGGTAGATAGATCCCCTGATCGCGAAAAGCAAGTTTCAGCGCTGCAAACACTTCAAGCTCGTCAAATGAGCCCATCGAACAGCCTAGGATAGCTAAGCAGCAAGTGCATCGAAAGAGCTAGGTCGTTGTTCTCTATGAGTGCGACTGCGGCCTTCAGGTGGATGCATCTGCAGAATGCAATTCAGTGCAAACGCAAGGGTACCCAAGTACTCAAGTACTCACATTTCAGCCTATTCTCAATGTGTCAGAATCATTTTAGTCTCATTTAGGATGTATGAGGCTCAACGAGGAGGTCAAGAAATGGGTTTGCACCATCTGCAAGGCATCAAGTGGTGGGAAGGGAGCAAAAAGGGAGAAAGGCAGCACGTTGATGACATCATATTTCCTAAAATAGACGCGTGCCTGATTACGTTGGCTGGTTGGTTCAGCCCCAGTCCCACTAAAAATAATTTCGACGTCCGGTCCTTCACTCAAATCCCAGCACCCCCTTGGCCGGACATCAGCACCTTCCAAAAGCAGCACCTGCTTTTGCCAAGCTTTTGCTTCAACTTTTCCCAGTCTTATTTACATACCCTCACCTCCCCCTCTCCTCAAATAATAATGGTGCCGAATGGTCACCGAAGACACATTGCATAACCTGTCAATAAAATGCTTGCTACCACGTCTCGTCAAATGTTCGAAAAGCCCTATCAATCCGATTTATTTGGCTTTGGTGTCCGCTGCAAACAAACACACAGTTGAGCTGGAACGGGAATCAAGCTGCTCTAACGTTTCGCAATCAGCTGTAAAAAGGAAATCTGTCCACTGTGCAGATTTTAATTCTTAATATTATTTGTCCTGTCACCTGTGGACACATCTTTACAGTGCCATCTGCACAACAAAGTTTCGAAAAGTCTGTTTGGTTTTGTATGTTCATCACAGATTGTCACACATTAGAACCAGATCTGAATTTTGAATTTCTCATACCCAACTCTCATGGTGCCTCAGGTATCAGATGTGATGCGCACGTGGATTATCATTTGGCATGATGAGCAATATCTCTCAGCACAGGAGATTTCAGGCCTTGTTGGATGAAGTAGTCTATTTCTCCCCAATTTGTGGCAGTCACAGTACAACAGATACAAACATGATTTCCCAAATTCGTTGTGCAGATGGTAGTGCAAAGCACTGTAATGACACATTTAAAAAATAGCAACATCTACAGTCTTTTACAGGTCCTCAATACACCCAAATGAAAAACTCTTCCCATCCATGAACGACTTTGGTTTTCCAAAATCTGAAGAGACAGAACCCTTTGTATTACCTTAAATAAGCTATGTACCAGAGCATTTGAAGACATGTGCAAAGCTGGCTGTGTATCTTGTTGAATGCTAGTGTATCGAGGAGGTATAAGTCCATTTTAGGAAATGATACCGACAACAACAAGCCTCATTGCTCTGTATTCAACATTGACTGGTCATTATAACTATCGGAGAGTCTTTATAGAAGCCATATGTACCCGCAGATGATATAAGTACATGGATTTGAGGTGGTTTGAAGAAACTACACAAGTGTCAAAAGTGTATCGAGGACCTATTCTGTATCGAGGACCTGTAAAAGACTGTATTTCTTTACATTTGTTTGCCCTCTTTGAACAATACTGTACTATTTCGACCAAGTGTTCATGCCACACATCACATTGACAAAAAAACTAATTTTTTTATTCATCTTAAATCAAAAGAAAAAATTTCAGCCATCTCAGGGTGAAAAATTTCCAAAAATTGTGAACACTTGGTTGAAATAGTACAGTAGGCTGACAAACTGTCAAAATTAAAACTGCCCCAAAGGCCTGTCATAATCACATAAAAGGTTGTAAAATGATTCATTTGTTCAGGGATTTGTCAACAGCTCTACTCAACTGCACAATCATCCCTTGTTCAATGTGAGTGTTACAAATCACACTCAGTAAAAAGGAAAGTCAGGTAAAGTCATTGAAGTATCGCAAGGCAGTCATATGAAGTCACATTGGTCAATACAAAGTCATGTGGCACTCAGGGATGTGTCTGCAAAGATTTCACAACCTGACTGAAGTCGAGCAATAGTCAATTACTGGTCAATTACAAGTAATCTTGTAGTCTAGTTCTGGTCATCTGAGCCACTATCATATCTATTGCCTTTGTCCTCTTTTCCACACATGCTCGATGTAAAAGAACAGCAAGGCGAGTGAACAAGTCACAAATTTGTTGAAGTCTGTTGAAACTCTGACATCAGGTAATGTTGTTGATTTTTGAGGCACTGCAGCATCGTTCTTCCTTGCTTCCCAGTGCCCACCACATCAATGGAAGGTCCAATTCATGAATCGACAATGGGCCTCCTCCCTCCATCGATGGGCGGCCTCCTCTCCTGAAGAATGGTCTTTCCTTTAACTCAATTGGTCCCTCTTCTGCTCCTGCCACTACTCAGTTGACTGCTGCTTCAAGACTCTTGAACTGCATGGCCTCTTTGCTTGATGAATGGCTCTCAATGAATGGCTCTCGACAAACAGCCTCCTCACTCGAACGGCCTCCTCTTTCGACAAACAGTCTCCTCCATTGATAAAGTGTCTACTCCCTTGCTGAATGGTATCCCCTTGACAAACTCTCCCCTTGCTCAATTGACTGTCTCCTTCCATGCTGAATTGTGTCCTCCCTTGATGAATGGGCTCTCGGCCTCCCCCTACCTCGACGAACGGTCTCCTCAGCCTCCCCCTGACTTTGTCAAACAGTATCCTCCCTCCCTTGACAAATGGCCTCCCCACTTGACAAACACAGTCATCAACCAGTCGATGACACAGCTGGGTCAATGTCACAAAACAGTTTTGCTCCCCCATTTTGGCTCAAAACTCTTAGAAATTCTATATCATTGTAAGGGAATACTACATCAATATGACTGTGCTTTTTTTGAAGCAAGAGCCTCTCTTGAACCCCTTAGAAGCTCTATTCATTGGTTTTGATCAGGCTCTGACAATTCCATTACCCTGATCTGGCAACTTGAGTTTGGGAAGGTAGAGTTCTGTGGATGTTGGAGGGTTGTTAGCCTGGGAGCAGAGAGAGAGAGGAAGGGGTGAGGTGGAGGGAAACATGCATGATGTTAGGGCACATACCATCCTTTCTGCTTCCTTTCTCTCTGCCACCTGCTCATCTCTCCACTTGTTTCACTAAATGACCAAGTTCTCTGAAATGTGTAGCATTGTCGACATCCAGCTGATGGTACCCAATCACCATAAGCATTCACAAAACTTCTCAATGCAATGTCAATGACTTACCAGGCTATGTCCTCATAGCATACTTCGCGTCCATCGGACTACATGTCAAAGGCACCAAGGCTGAGGGCTTTGTGTACAGCATCCCCAGTGGAATGGGTAATGGTGTCAGCAGTAGCATGCAGGAGTGTTGAAACAAGTCTAGGATGCTGCAAAATGAGCCACAGTAAGGTCTTGAGCAGAGGGCAGCATAATGCCAAAAACACGAAAATAGAAACAGACATACCACCACAAGGACTTAATAAAATCATAAATAGTTTGCTGGAGCGTTTTTGTGGCATGCAGGAGTGTCTAAACAAGTCCAGGATGAAGCGAAATGAGCCACAGTAAGGTCCTGAGCAGGGGTTAGCATATTGGCAAAAACACGAAAATGGAAACAGACATACCTCCACAAGAACTTGATGGATTTGTAAGCAGTTTGCTGGAGCGTTTTCGTGGCGTGCAGAAGTGTTTAAATGAGTCCAGGATGAAGCAAAACGAGCCACAGCAAGGTCCTGAGCAGGAATGGCAAAAACACGAAAATAGTGCTTCTGTTGGCACAGTCACAAGTCCACAGGTTCTTCTGCTTGAACAATGCATGAACAGAAGTCAGTTGAACAGAGTAATATGAGTGAGAACATGACACTTGTGTTGTGTTGCAATGGGCGGCGTCATTGGGCTGTGGTAGTAGTAGCAGTAACAAGTGAAGTTGTCCAAGGGGCTAGGAGTGGAAAATGCTGATACACCCAAGTACCCCAGGCATGTACCCATCAATGTCCAAATTTGGACAAGTCGAGTTTGCTCAGATTTAGAAATCCTGCATAGTTTCAACTTGTTGAAGATGGCATATCATTCAAAATCACATCGAACTGTGAGTATAACTACCAAAATGCAATGTAAATGTGCCATATCCAAATGATGATATTCTGTGTAGTGTTTGGAAGTCTGGTCTCATGACTGGAAAAAGACCATAACCAGACCGGACCAAGACCGCAAAAAACCGGACCTGCGGTTACAGTCTTTTATTTTTGAGAACTAAAGACCGCAAAAAAACCGGTCTAAATGGACCGGTATTAACCGGTTTGGACCGGTCTTTTGTAGCCCCTTAAATACCCTTCAAAACGCACCCAAGCACATATTAATTGGTTCAGAATTGACAAAGATATAAATAAAAATGTAAAATTTCGTTAAAAATAGTAGATGTACACGACCTTTTTTATAGAAACACCAATTCTCAACGAAATTTAACGTTCTTGGGCTCTTTTTAAAGCTACGAAACACGTTAACAAATTTACCGATTCATAATTTTAAAATATTGGCCAGAAAACCGGTCTTAAACCGGTTAAAACCGAAGAAGACCAAGACTGGTCTATAGACTGCAAAAAGACCGCAGACCGCGGTTTTTTGCAGTCCGGTTCGGTCTTTTGACTTTTGGGAAAAATGCGGACCGGTTACGGTTATGGTTAAGGCCCAGAGGCATCAAAAAACCGGACCAGACCGGACTTTTAAACACTAATTCTGTGATTACTATATTTGGCACTTGTTTGGCATTGTCATCTATAGTATTTGGCTGCTCCCTTGCTGCTCTCTCTTACTTACCTTATGTACCATCATCATCCCTGGTTTCCCATAACTTGTATCTGCACTTTTCTCTCTGGCCCATGATTATCTGTACAGTTAGTTTCTGCTGGTTTTGCCTGAAGGCTTGAATGTTCCCCAGCTAAGAGACATCAAGGATCTGACTTGTAAGACTTATTTAAGATGTGCTCACAGTAGAAAAGGTATCCACAATAATATTTTTTGCATTTCTTGAGCTACACAACAAAGGATAAGAGTTGGCTCTACCTATCTACCACTTCTTACTCTCAACCAACGCCCTGCCAGCAGAAATATTCCCAATATGGAACAATTCTGGTACATGCCTGGGGTACTTGGTGTCTGGGAATTTTATGATCCTAGCCCCCTGAAGTTGTCTAAGTTCGAAAATGTGAGTTGAGCATGTCACATGACATCCCGCGACTGTACTGACTTCCATCAATTCACTCTTACACTTTCTAAGGCAGCTCATAACTATAACTTCACGAGTTTTGCACCTTTTGGCCTCTATGTAGGCTTGTTTTAATTGCTTTATTTATGCGAATTCAATGCACCTTACAGCGTAAAAAAAATTAGAGTATCTCAAAAACTGTAGCATGAACTATTTGTCCTGTAGTAGAGAGTGTAACATATATT